AAAAAAAAAAATAGAAAACACTTTTAAATCTTCAGTCATCTTATGTAAAAATAATTTAAATTTTCTTTTTTTTTTTTGCAGGGAAACTTATTATTTTGAAGTTAGGGTCACGCTGCTCATACGTCACACACATAGCAGTCTGCAGACACGAGTTTCTCCTTAAACTCATTGCCATACGGCATTCGAAGCATGGGTCTTGCGGTGGCTCATATTCGAATCTGTATGCAGACTGTCTTTTGTATGATGCATAAGCAGTGTGCCCTTCCCATGTCACTATATGTATGTCACTTTACCGAGTTCGCTTCCATAGGTAACATGTGCACTCACAGTGCAAAAAGCAAACATGCAGTTTTTTCCTTCTTTAGAGCACAACTTTAGAGCACGACATGTCAGGTAATAGTGAACATGCAAAAACAAAGACATTGGCACTTCATTAAGAAAAAAAACAAACAAGAGCAACAATGTAACATTGTGCAGTGCCACAGTTAGCACAAACAAGACACTGCCAGTTTTTACCTGTCTTATGTCACAAATGTGTGGCCCTCATCAAAACTACTACAGTAGGATGGAATGTGAACGTCAGGTTTACCAACCTAAATGCCTTAAATAAGTGAAAACAAAAAACAAAAAAAAACTGGTGTTATGTTTGTGCTAATCATGTCATGCAGACTGTAGCTGATACAAGGAAAGGGTAATAAATTGAAAGTTATAGCTCCAAGAAGGTACAAATATAAATTATTTCACCTATCACCCAAAATGCATATCATGAGGTTAACATCATGCTGAAATAGCCCAATCTGACAGTAAATTTTCACTGTTTTGTGTAGTAATGACAATTTTAAGAGCAGACCCAAATTTTGCCGTAAACAACTATATGGTCAGTTACGGGTTAAGAAAAGTTTTCGAGGGAAAAGAAGGCTGGGGAGGAGGAAGCAGACAAAATGCTTGAGAGAAGGGGAAGAAACCTTCTCCTCTTTTCAGCAGTCCATTTGTTTCCTCCTCCCCAGCCTTCCTTTCCTCTGAAAATATTTTTCTTAACCAGTAACTGACTATAGCAGAAAACTGCAAATGTGTTGATAAATGTAGTTACAAAATACTGTAAAAATAGCAAAAAACAATTGACAGATGAAACATTCATCTACATGCCACAGGAAAGATACTACACAAGCCGCAAAACTGTATATCAACAAAATATACTTTGGGCACAGGTTCTGGCTGTAAAATGGCCACAGGACATATCAACCATACAAATGTGAGCATCATACCAGACCAGACACGGTAAAAAGATATAAAACCTGCAGCACTGCTACACCTGAGAGTACTTCCAAGAACATAAACTTTCAGTTGTATAAAAAAAGCCTTGAAACAAATAAAAACAAGTTCCTTCAATTGCTACATGTTTTTAACACTTTCCTGACTGCGCCCATATGCCGTCGATCACCGGTGATCTCTGGTTTCAAAGTGCCATCAAGAAATTACATTTAGTGGGGAGAATTATGTTCCACAATCTTGTGGATAGGCGAAGAACTCTAGTTTCAATTTCAACGTAGTTTTGAGCTTTATCACAAACTGGCGGACAGTCAAAAATAGTCTTGAGAATGGTGGTTGCACTTGTCTAGCACGGCTAACTGCTTGCATCAGTCTTCGTAACAAAGATGGCATTATTTCCATAATTCAAGTGTATTGTGGCATATTCTTTAGACCTCAAGAGCTCTGGGGGCACTTTAAATTATGTTATAGGCATTGCTTAACAGATGGTTGTCGGCAGGGCCGTACCCAGAAAAAAATTTCGGGGGGGGTTTTCGAGGACAACGGCGGCCATTTTGTCTTATTTTCGCCTATGAATCATGTGCATCGGTGGCATATAATGGAGAGTTACAGCAAACCGAAGAACCGATCCCGGTTTGGTTCCCGGTAGCCGACCGGTGCCACTGCGCGTGCGCAGAGGTGGAGATTAAAATCGACTGGCTGCAAGTGCACCGACCAGGGCCGTACCCAGAAAAAAATTTCGGGGGGGGTCAGAACCCCCTATCCCCCCCCCTGGTTACGGCCCTGGTTGTCGGTAAGCACCACTATAATTTCCAATTCTGTCCCGAGACGGCGTGCATGTTTTATGTTCCCAACAAGTCGGACAAAAATGCTAGATATGAAGAGACTGCAATCGAGGGTGTAACAAAACCAAGGTAGAACACAAAGAAAGCATTCTGCTGGGAATGTGCGGTGTACTATCCGTGTTCCACCAATACAAGCATTCCTTATATTGAAAAGCGCACGTGTTACGGAGACTGACTCTCCGACGAACCAAAAATAGACAGTGTCAGTTAAAGTACTCTTAACTTTTAGAACCAATAGCCATGGGTGTGGAGCACATTGTGTATATTCTGAATTTTTCTTTTATATGAATAGCTGTAGAAGTGTTGGTGTTTATATGCCTTCCACACATACATTGCATTTTCAAGAAATAAACTTCTTAAAATCTTTTTTGCACATTATACCATCCTCAGTTTCTTTTGAAAGACCAACTAATTTGCTAAATTTTGATCTGTCACACTGCTCCATACGCAAATTAGTTAGGAAAAAAAAGTTTTGCACAGATCCTTTAAAAAATTGCCACTTTTCCTGTGGTCAGGAAAGAATTAAGTAAAAAAAAATGCTTTCACATTAAAGCAACATTAGTGATAAGAACAATAGGAATCTTCCTTAATTTCTGAACGTTCCTTCATGCCTTTCTTTGTGCAGCTTATAGATAACTAATCTCTGTTATGAATGGAATGAATAGAAAACAACTTGAAGTGACACCACAGCCTGAAGTTTCTAGTGGAATCTTATCTATATTTAACCCAAACAATAGAAAATGAGTAATAACTGCAAAGCGTTGCTGAGATTCTTGTTCAACTCGTCACCCATAGTTGCTGCACACCTGTGCGAGTACCACAGCCATACATGATCAGTATATATAATTGATATACAATTCGACTGGAGCATGGACCCTTAATATTGTGACTTTTGTGACTCAAGCTGCTTAGCAACTTTAAACATTACCTGTGTTATTTTTCATTAGCACATTGTTATATGCCAGGAAATTAAAGTCCATTAAACTCTAATCCCCTGCTATATGTTTACAACTTCTATCATTTCAATGTATCAAGGAAACCAATTAATGCTCTCCTTCCAATCTTGCTGTGAAACACTTTGGAGATCTTTGCTCTTGGCACTGTAGGCACATAATACAGGTCTGTCAGCATACCCTTCAACTGCCCTTCAAAAATGGGGTATGCCCTTCAACCAGGGCACCCAGCACACACAACTATAAGTTATACGGCTTTGTCTACAGCACACTGCTGTAGTGTAGAGATCATACTCTCTTTTTATGTACACCGAGCCTGTGACAAATGTCTTATTATAAACACCTAAACCTTGGAAGAGCGGGGACAGGTCTCAGGAGGGAAAATGCATCATGAACCTCCATGGTCGTAAATTAAAACATGTTATGCTTGGATGATTCGGCACTGTGTTACGAACACCAATGAGGGGCTAGTTGGCACTTGCCCTGGTACCAAAGCCCCATGAGCTGATTGGCCCTAGTCAGCTCTGGCCCTACGCTGTGATTGTGCACAGGCACAACCCGCACAAACTCCATCTTGCGGAAATGTTCAAGGAAGGCCTCCTTCAAGACCCTTGCCTGCACGACGTCCAGGCAATGGTGGCAGAGTGCGCACTCGAGACTTTGGGTACACATCTCGCACTCTTCCGAAGTGCACTTCTCCGGAAACACGGCAATGCCCCTGTCTGGCGGATCCGACGCCTCTGCCGCGGTTGCCAGGCCAACCAGACTAAGCGCGTTCAGCAGCACCCGCTCGTACAGGGCTCCGTTCTGGGGAAAGTGGGCCGACGAGAGGTTGGGCGACATGTTGGCCTCCATGAGGAACACGTTGAGGTCTTCGTCGACCACGAAGTCGAATCGCACCAACTCAAAGAAGTTGTTCCTGGGCCCGTACCCCGATGCCATCCGCACCATGTCGCCCTCTTTGTCGAGGCAGACGGCCGCGATAGCGTCCCTAATCTGCGTCCATATCCGGCCGGGGTCCTTGCCTCCGCGCGTCAGGTGCAGGTCGAGGGACTCTCTCATGCTCAAACGCGAGCCGACGTAGTACTCCCTTAGCGATGGCATCTCCCAGATGGGAGTGTAGTTGTCACCGACCACGTAGGAGTCAACGTCCGACGCGTCGAAGGGCTCGGCGTACGGATGGGCGCAGAACCGAAGCAGCGCTTCTCCGTCGTAAGAGTACACGCGGAGAGGGTTCAGCGACGTTAACACGACGTAGACGCCGACGTCGAACTTCTTGCCGTCCACGAGAAGAGGCTTGGCGAGGAACTCTTGCACGAACGTCCCCGCTTGGTCGATCGACACTTCGCTCAGACGCTTCACTCGAATCCCGCGGTGGTGGTCGCTTTTTTGGACCCACATCTTGGTGGGGTGCCCCTTCGCATACTCCAAAAATTCCCGTTTGGCCTTGGGGAGTTTGAAAGCGACCGGGACGTGCGGCGACGAGAGGCCCGTGGACAGGCTTCCCTTGTTGGTGATGTAGCCCGATCCCGGGAAATGGTTGACCCGCTGGTGGGGTTGGAGGTGTGCCAACTCCGAAGCCAGCTCGGTGAACGGGTAGTCGTGCGACCAGAGCACGCTCCACTCATCCGTCCGGTTTCCGAGACGATAGCCCAGGCGATCGAACACAGCGAACACGTGACGGAGGTAACCGGTTTCCAGCCTCTTGCCGTGCACCCACACGATCGGTTTTGAGCCGCAGTCGGCTTTTGAAAGCGACTGTCTCTCCGACCGCACTACGGCGTCGCGCTGGACGAGCAGAGTGGACAGGAGATTTTGCTGACGCGTGCACAGGCGACGGATTTCCAGCAGTCCGGCGAGAATGGCGATCACGCCGACCAGAACCGTGATGGAAATGCAGTTTACTGACTGAATGGACCACCGAGGCGTGACGGCAGTTTGGGACGACTGCTTTGGGCCATTGTGTATTGTTTTCTTGTTGTTTAATGAGTTGATTTTTCGACACCTCAGGGACGCCTGCATCGTCCCTGGTTATTTAAGCCAGAAAAGCGGACTGCTAGGACAAGCGTTTCGGGGCAGTAAAACTGGAAACGCCGATTGGCTGAAAAAAAATGACGTCACTTCCGGTTTTGTTATTTTGTTGATTTTTAGATAACGTTTTAAAGTAAAAATATATAAAAAGGTACTTTTCTTGTTTTTGTTTGTTTTTACTTTTTTTTTTATTTTTCTTGCTTGATTCTTTAATTTTGGTTGGTACGGTTCCGTCGTTCCGTTCTGTTCCGCCTTGGCGCCCTTGGCCGCGGGGGCAATGTTTTTGTTTTCGTTCTACGTTCAGGTGTTGGGTGGCGACGTATTAACCGTCGATAACCAGCTGAAGCAGCTCAAGTTCTCGAGTGGAACGAGGTTGACCGTGCGCAGTGGCAGCCGTTGACAACAAAAACAATGTCTGCACTCAGCTTCGCCGGATGAGTGCCGGCGTCGATCGCGAACCGCCAGAGCCGCCAAATACCTCTCGTACATCTCCAAGAACACCAAGAACAGGAGGTATTCATAAAGGTGAGTGTTCACCGCACTTTAGTGCTTCAGTTCCGTTTGGAGTCGTTTGACATAATTTAGTCCGGTGCGTCCGGGAACAAAGGCGCTACCAGAAATGGCGGGAATGGTCGGTCGGTGCTGAATGCTGATGCCATCCAAGCGGATTTGAATTGGGTTTCGTGCGCTCAACGTGTCGATTTGTTTCTTGAGCTGCCTTTACCAACCGCTCGCCCGAAATCGTTCGGTAGAACATGCGGACGTGACGGCTAGCAGAGCCCTCCGCAAAGGCTTAGGAGCGCGCTCACAATTTTGGAAGCTTCCGTATGACCGCAAGTGCTCAATAAGTCGCTATAGCAATGATTGCATGCCATCGACACAGACTTCGATCCAGTTTTTCAACGAGACAGGAAGGCCCAACGAAGCAAGCGTAGAATCTGATGCTTCGCCTGTCACTGTCTGCGCGGGAACACGCCGAGAGGCGCTTAAACGAGCTGCCAGGGCGTAATTAAAAAAAAAAAAAAATCTAACGCAGGTCTGAACCACGCGAGGATCGTCTCGAAGCATGGTAGCCTCAACAGACGCTTGCCGCCACACGCGAGGAGAAAGCAGGAGGCCCGAAGTTTGAATGTGAAGGTAAAACGTGCTTTAATAATAATGATCTTTATCTGCACGTTCCTTTGTATGACTAAGGTGATCGTGCTGAGACACAATGTAGCAGCGATTGCTCTCGAACAAAGGACAGGACAGCAGAAAGGCAATGAGAGGCAGGGAGATAACTGACCTCTCTGTTGTAAAACATTTTTCAGAGGAGGTGCGAAGAGCTGGCCCTCACTTTTTCAAGGCAGCCGCAGAACACTACGAGCCCCGAATCACTGCCGCGGCTGACTCACGCGGATGCTGTGCTGCACCCTGCACTGCACATGGTTCGAAGCACACTTCAGCGGACCAGTGCATGCCCCTGATGCATCGTCGAGGTATGTTTTGTACTGCTTTTCCTAGCGGTGCACTGAGCAGTCCAATCTTGAAGGGAGCACGCGAGTGCGTAGCCAGTGCTCCATGCAGCAAGGACCGCAAGCACCCGCGGAAGCTTGGAGCACACGCAGTGACGCCAGCAGCCGTGCACGCTGGCGTCGTCTGCTACTGTACCGTCCTTTCGTTCGGTGCGCAGAAAAAAAAAAGGAGTGACCGTTCTGTTAAAAGTCTGATGGTGAGTTCTGTTAAAAGTCTGATGGTGAAGGCATCCTTTACAGAAGCACTGTATGGCTCTCTGCACGCTAGAATGGGGGCTGTCGTTGATGCTCGCAGGGGCGTTGCCCACAACTAAGCAGACGACCAAAGTCCTGAGCAGGTGACTAATCGTTTCATTGTTCTTTGGTAGGGAAAGGTAGATAATGTGCTTCTACTCCCAGCTTTTTTTTTTTTTTTTTTTTTTTTATCACCATTTAGTATGTTACCATCAAAACAGCATCCTGGTGTTCACATAAATATGTGTTAACAATACCTATCGTCAAATATGTGACTCAAAGAGCCAACTGCGGCCGAGGATATCTTTTAAGTGTTCTTTTTCTCACAAAGATCCCTGGCATTGACTTTTTAGCCACGTCGTACCTTGAGTCCACAAAAACAATGTGCTTCAGCTAAATGGTATTCACACAAAATACATCCTGACAAGCTGCTTTCACTCTCGAGCCTCGAAGAAATTTTGCAGTTTGATTTGAACTATGTTGTAGGTTAAGGAGGTAGGGTCAGGGAAAAGAAGGTGGGAGAGGAGGAAGCGGGCACAATGCTGGTCAAACCCTCTCCCTTCGCCGGCGTTGCATCCATCTCGTCCTCTCCCACCTTCCTTTTTCTTCCCCTACCTTCTTGAGTTGTCACCGACCATATAAAAGGCATGCATTGATATCACTTGTTCGTTTTGTGGCCATGGCGCCAGCAAGGTTTGAGAAACGTATCCTGCTTCACAGGGATTCAGCACTCAACATGGAGAAACTATTGGCAGTGCTGCTGTAATGTCTTTGTCCTCGTCTTTTGCAGCCATCTAAAAAAGAGAAATATAATACTAGGAACACAGAGCAACGTCACGCGCCAGTACATAGTGTACTACGAAGGGCAGGTAAATTGACTGCGGAACACGATTTTCTCAATGTCCTCACGGTTCTTTCGGCCAAGTACATACAGATAAGACGATTACCATTAGAAATGTTGAACGCCAATCCGAAATGTTTTTTGGCGGTGTGCCGAGCAAAAGGACATTGCTGCAACAGAAAACATGTGCCATCCTCCGCCTTTGGTGCTTCTGTGTCTGCGCCGAGCTTCCGCAGCCACCAACAGTCAACGCTGCATGGACTGCCCGCCATGCTTTCATGCGTTCCATGTATGATTGGCACAGCATGTGGATGTGTCATGCAAGTGACATCAGCGCTGTTGGCAGTGCCATGCTGGTTGAGCTTTGCTAGGCTCTGACCATTGACAAGCTGTTTTATGCAATAATCGCTCTTGGAAGTCCCCAAACTGTTTTTAGCAATTCAAGTGTCAGATTTTTTTTAGCTATGGTTATACAGGTTTTCTTTTTTAACATTTACAGATTTCAAAGAAAAAGTGAAAGTTATGACAGTTATAAGTTATACGGCCAGGCGGACATTAGATTCATGGAAGAATGCAGCTAAAAGTCCGTGTAGATCATGTGTATCATGCTTCTCTACAGCGCAGCTACATACTTGCGTAGGACAACCCCCATGAAGTGGGGTGGGGGGGCTGCATGCATGTGTTGGGTAGCCCCTCTTGGTTTTACAACTCTACCCTGTTGTAAAATTTTAGATTTTAATGCGAACAAGTTGATAACAAAAAAGAACTTGGTCAACATTGATCTTACAACTAGAGATGTAAAAGGAACAAAAATAGAGAACAGCAAAATGTGGAAGAAGACATCTCGCTTCTTTCATTTTCATTTGACTAAGTGACATTGGTCGGCGACTGTAAGACTTTTAATCACAATAGTTATACACCACAGGTCCCGGGGATCATGGCATCGATGAGCTCGCTTTCGCCTTGTCCAAGGTAGCAGCGGAACACTACGGGCAGGCCCGGAGTCACCGCACCGGCTGGCTCACGGGCGTCGTCCTGTACTCTGCACGGCACTGCGTGTGGCTTAACCGGCCAAGCAGAGGGTCACTGCATGACCTTTATGAGGCGTCGCTAGCCATTGTAAGTATATTTTGGACGCTCGTGTCAGGGGATGTACTTTTGTGTTCTACAACAGAACATGTTTGGTGGCGGTTCAGTCTTGCCAATTCAGCCATTTCGAAACATAATTTTGTGGCGACTTGGCTTAGGTTTTCTGGCTCGGCCGTCTTTTGCACCAGTGTCTAGGCTCGGCGTAAGCCTCTTTGTTCTTTATTGTCAAGGCTAGTGTAATTTCTGCTACGCCGTCGAAGCAACTTCTGCATGCGAACAAGATGCAAGACGAAGCTACATGCTCGTGCTCAGTGCATGACCACATGTGAAAACTAATAGCGAGTTTGTTTCGCTGCACTCGTGCCCATGCGCAGCCACTCGCAACATGAAGTGAGTTTGTTTCGCCGCCGGCACTCCACACGTGCATGCGCTCGCTGCACCCTGAGGATTAAGTGTGTACCTGAATGCACTCCCGTCATGCATCACTTAGGCAGGGAACAAGAGCAGATGACTGGTTTGTCCACCATGCGGGACAGTAGAACTGCAGAAAAAGTGAATTTCTGCTAAAAAAATGACGTCCCACGAGCAACAAAATCGGACACGAGCTTGAATTGTGTGTCTGCTATTCTATAAAGCAAGCAATCCACAACCTGTGCTTAACTTGCAAGTTTTCAGTCATTTTGTTGCTGTACAGACGTCCATATACACCGGTGGATAAAGAAAGGTTCAGAACGAACATCAGCCACTGCGAGATATCTCTCACCATGTGTGCGGGGCTAAAGAGTTGGGACGTTAGTTGACAAAGCTTGCCCGGCAGAAACCTGCGACGCGTCCAATCGGGAGCCGAGAAAGCTAAACTGTTTTTACCCGAGGCTTGGATAAAATCACAGTGTTTAATAAGGAGCCATGGAATTTATTTTGGGTGGGATAAATTAATTTAGGTTCGTATTTTGCTAATACAGTTGAACCTTTCAAGAACGAAATTTTCGCGGCAACGAAGAAATCTGGCGGCCCCAGCGAACGTCCATAGGGTTCAATGCATTTGCACCCTCTCAACAGCAAAGAGTTTTTAAAAAGCAGTCCCGCATTAACGAAAGTTTGAGGTAGTGATCTGCCATAGAGTTATTCAATGTGTCTACCAAGTTGGCATTTTCAAATTCCCTGAGTTTTTCAGGTTTCCCCTGAGTACTTTTGTGAAATTCCCTGAGTGACACAGAACTTTGTTTTAGGTCAGGATGGGCGGACACCATGTCGCTAGATGCTGTCACTCTCTAAAAAGCATGTCATAAAATAAAATAACAACACAATACAGTTTTGATGATAGCGAGTAACTTTTATTACATTTAAAAAGAAAACAGAACGAAGTGGTTAGTAAAATTGATAGCGAATAAAGTATAAAAAAAGGTAAACTGAGGTTTACGTGACCCCCCCAGGTCTGGTCATGTGACCTCAGGGGGGGGGTGTCGAGACCTGACGGTGACGCCGCTCAAGCCGGAAACGGGAGCAATAACGGGGAAAGGAAAGGGTAAACAAACATAAGGCGTTCAAAGTGTGATTGCTCAACCCTTGTTGTCAAAACACTCCACCTGACAAAATCTTTTTTTTTTTTTTTTTTTTTTGGGGGGGGGGGGGGGGCTAAGGAGTCGCACAGTGACAGCGGTGTTTGGGAAAATGAGCGCACGCGACCGTTCCAACAGCGGGCACTCCCTGCCCTCCCCACGCGCGCAGGTGCCCTTCCCCTTGCTTTTGCCATCCTCCACTTTTGTTTTTTACATTTGGTTGCTTTTTTTATTTTTTATACAATTGCTTTTTCGCTGCGCATCCCCGCGTGCGCATTCCCGGGTGCGCGTATGCTGGCTTGGCGGTCTGCCAGCCCCGCAACCCGAGCTATGTGCTCCCGGCCGGCGCAATCCGACCTATAGGGAGAAGCGAAGAACCGCCTTCGTCTTCGTTCCCTACATCCGAGTGTCCCCTCCATGGGAGTTATGGGCATTCGATACAGAAAAACAATGCAATTTTCTAGGGGATGTTTGGACTGTTTCATATAAACAATAATTCGAAATAAGGGTGTGATATAACCGGGTTCGACAGTATGTTTGGCCGTCTCCCTTAATTTCCAGATACCTTCGTTCGTTTGGCACATATATCACCGATGCTAGAAAGCGCCGACGTCGTGTTCGCGCTGAGAGTGTCCGACAGTGCACATAAATACACGTGCGAAGCCGTTTTTGCACCATTTTTTTTTCCCCCATAGAAATGCATTACCGGAAGTCAATTTTCGACTGGTTGCTGTCTGCTTCAACTTGCGTCGGCACACTAGCGCCACTTGAACCTCTAGCGTACATTATAATAACCCTATGTGATCTGCAACATTTTTTCGTCACATGAGCCAGTTTGGAACCCAGAATTACGAAAAGTGGAGCAGTACACTCGTCCGGCAAGTTGGGCACATGCGTTTCCAACAAGCATCAGCGCGGCCATTGCTGTTTACATTCGGTCAAAAAATAATAACAATAGCAACTAGATTCTTTTTTTTTTTTTTGGTTGGTGAAAACAGCGTTTTGCAAGCCCATCTGTTGGCAACTACCAAGGTATGTGACGTTTCACGTGACAACACCGCCCGCTGCTATTTCGCCGACACCGCAGTTGCTGACGAGCTAATGCTCTTCAGCAACTGACGGATTAGCTCCTCCCGCATCGAATACGCGGCAAAGAAGTTTGTCACATCGCGGCAATTTCAGGCGATCGATTAATTAGTTCTATCCAATTTTTGCTAAGAATTGTTTACAAATGTAAAATTGCTCGCTGAAAAGCGCATCACACATTATGTGCAATTGGGACCGAAAAATTAAACATACAAACGGTAGGAATTCATAGCAGGTGTATACCTAATTTTTTGGCATGCTAATTGTCACCGACTTACTAAATTTAAGGCTTCGGTCGCGAGGGGATCTCGCATGCTTCACGTCGATCGAGTGAACAAGCAGGGATTTCATTGAGACGACTCTGGAAGCCAGCCACCGTCAATGCCAGTTGTTTTGAGGAAATGTTTGTTTACTGGTTTAAAAAGACCAAAAATGAATCAACTTGGGACTAATAAGAAATCAGCACTTACAAAACACATCGGAACCACCAAGATACACGGAGTCGCTTTCACTGAAGTGTTTACTACACAGGTTAGAGATTCCCGAATTTCGCTTTCCTATTTTCAATTTAATGAGACATTTCTTTCTCAGCTTTATTTTGTCTGAATAATAATAGTAAAATAAATACACCCTATTCGCCATGCTAGCTAGATGTTGTAGTGGGGTAAAGCGCTGGATATTCTATTTTGATCGTCCATCTTTTTGTACTGGGGTGGAGAACAGTACATCACCATCCCAGCATTTCGACACCTTAGTGCCAAAAGTGTTTGTTAGCACGACTACGCGTGGCACGGTTTCAAGTATAACTTCACCAAATAAAAACAATGCGCGAAATAAGCTTTGCTGCGCGATACAGCGCATAACGCTGACTGTCGAGCCGAAGGTTCCAAGATCTGCGCAGTCTGTCCCAGTGTGCCCTACCCGTGACGTCAAAAACGACGATGATGATAGCTAGTTAGCGCATGCCGCCAAAGAGTTGTAAACTGCGGACGTTCCGTCCGGAGTTGTCTGTCTTCGATCCTGCTCATTCCGTATCATGTAGGGGAGAGTATGCCATCCTGCTGGCCTACTGTCGCACACTGCCAGTGTTAAACTTTCAGAACTCTATGAGCCGAGAAATTGATGGAGAGGGGAAGTAAAAATATATAAAAAAGTACTTTTCTTGTTTTTGTTTGTTTTTACTTTTTATTAATTTTTTTCTTCCTTGCTTGATTCTTTAATTTTGGCTGGTACGGTTCCGTTCTGTTCCGCCTTGGCGCCCTTGGCCGCGGGGGCAATGTTTTTGTTTTCGTTCTACGTTCAGGTGTTGAGTGGCAACGTATTAACCGTCGATAACCAGCTGAAGCAGCTCAAGTTCTCGAGTGGAACGAGGTTGACCGTGCGCAGTGGCAGCCGTTGACAACAAAAACAATGTATGCACTAAGTTTCGCCGGATGAGTGCCGGCGTCGATCGCGAACCGCCAGAGCCGCCAAATACGAATACCAAGAACAGGAGGTATTCGTAAAGGTGAGTGTTCACCGCACTTTAGTGCTTCAGTTCCGTTTGGAGTCGTTTGACATAATTTAGTCCGGTGCGTCCGGGAACAAAGGCGCTACCAGAAATGGCGGGAATGGTCGGTCGGTGCTGAACGTGCTGAATGCTGATGCCATCCAAGCGGATTTGAATTGGGTTTCGTGCGCTCAACGTGTCGATTTGTTTCTTGAGCTGCCTTTACCAACCGCTCGCCCGAAATCGTTCGGTAGAACATGCGGACGTGACGGCTAGCAGAGCCCTCCGCAAAGGCTTAGGAGCGCGCACACAATTTTGGAAGCTTCCGTATGACCGCAAGTGCTCAATAAGTCGCTATAGCAATGATTGCATGCCATCGACACAGACTTCGATCCAGTTTTTCAACGAGACAGGAAGGCCCAACGAAGCAAGCGTAGAATCTGATGCTTCGCCTGTCACTGTCTGCGCGGGAACACGCCGAGAGGCGCTTAAACGAGCTGCCAGGGCGTAATTAAAAAAAAAAATAAAAAATCTAACGCAGGTCTGAACCACGCGAGGATCGTCTCGAAGCATGGTAGCCTCAACAGACGCTTGCCGCCACACGCGAGGAGAAAGCAGGAGGCCCGAAGTTTGAATGTGAAGGTAAAACGTGCTTTAATAATAATGATCTTTATCTGCACGTTCCTTTGTATGACTAAGGTGATCGTGCTGAGACACAATGTAGCAGCGATTGCTCTCGAACAAAGGACAGGACAGCAGAAAGGCAATGAGAGGCAGGGAGATAACTGACCTCTCTGTTGTAAAACATTTTTCAGAGGAGGTGCGAAGAGCTGGCCCTCACTTTTTCAAGGCAGCCGCAGAACACTACGAGCCCCGAATCACTGCCGCGGCTGACTCACGCGGATGCTGTGCTGCACCCTGCACTGCACATGGTTCGAAGCACACTTCAGGGGACCAGTGCATGCCCCTGATGCATCGTCGCGGTATGTTTTGTACTGCTTTTCCTAGCGGTGCACTGAGCAGTCCAATCTTGAAGGGAGCACGCGAGTGCGTAGCCAGTGCTCCATGCAGCGAGGACCGCAAGCACCCGCGGAAGCTTGGAGCACACGCAGTGACGCCAGCAGCCGTGCACGCTGGCGTCGTCTGCTACTGTACTGTCCTTTCGTTCGGTGCGCAGAAAAAAAAAGGAGTGACCGCTCTGTTAAAAGTCTGCTGGTGAAGGCATCCTTTACAGAAGCACTGTATGGCTCTCTGCACGCTAGAATGGGGGCTGTCGTTGATGCTCGCAGAGGCGTCGCCCACAACTAAGCAGACGACCAAAGTCCTGAGCAGGTGACTAATCGTTTCATTGTTCTTTGGTAGGGAAAGGTAGATAATGTGCTTCTACTCCCAGCTTTGTTTTTTTTTTGTTTTTTTTTATCACCATTTAGTATGTTACCATCAAAACAGCATCCTGGTGTTCACATAAATATGTGTTAACAATACCTATCGTCAAATATGTGACCTAAAGAGCCAACTGCGGCCGAGGATATCTTTTAAGTGTTCTTTTTCTCACAAAGATCCCTGGCATTGACTTTTTAGCCACATACCTTGAGTCCACAAAAACAATGTGCTTCAGCTAAATGGTATTCACACAAAATACATCCTGACAAGCTGCTTTCACTCTCGAGCCTCGAAGAAATTTTGCAGTTTGATTTGAACTATGTTGCAGGTTAAGGAGGTAGGGTCAGGGAAAAGAAGGTGGGAGAGGAGGAAGCGAGCACAATGCTGGTCAAACCCTCTCCCTTCGCCGGCCTTGCATCCATCTCCTCCTCTCCCACCTTCCTTTTTCTTCCCCTACCTTCTTGAGTTGTCACCGACCATATAAAAGGCATGCATTGATATCACTTGTTCGTTTTGTGGCCATGGCGCCAGCAAGGTTTGAGAAACGTATCCTGCTTCACAGGAATTCAGCACTCAACATGGAGAAACTATTGGCAGTGCTGCTGTAATGTCTTTGTCCTCGTATTTTGCAGCCATCTAAAAAAGAGAAATATAATACTAGGAACACAGAGCAACGTCACGCGCCAGTACATAGTGTACTACGAAGGGCAGGTAAATTGACTGCGGAACACGATTTTCTCAATGTCCTCACGGTTCTTTCTGCCAAGTACATACAGATAAGACGATTACCATTAGAAATGTTGAACGCCAATCCGAAATGTTTTTTGGTGGTGTGCCGAGCAAAAGGACATTGCTGCAACAGAAAACATGTGCCATCCTCCGCCTTTGGTGCTTCTGTGTCTGCGCCGAGCTTCCGCAGCCACCAACAGTCAACGCTGCATGGACTGCCCGCCATGCTTTCATGCGTTCCATGTATGATTGGCACGGCATGTGGATGTGTCATGCAAGTGACATCAGCGCTGTTGGCAGTGCCATGCTGGTTGAGCTTTGCTAGGCTCTGACCATTGACAAGCTGTTTTATGCAATAATCGCTCTTGGAAGTCCCCAAACTGTTTTTAGCAATTCAAGTGTCAGATTTTTTTTAGCTATGGTTATACAAGTTTTCTTTTTTAACATTTACAGATTTCAAAGAAAAAGTGAAAGTTATGACAGTTATAAGTTATACGGCCAGGCGGACATTAGATTCATGGAAGAATGCAGCTAAAAGTCCGTGTAGATCATGTGTATCATGCTTCTCTGCAGCGCAGCTACATACTTGCGTAGGACCACCCCCATGAAGTGGGGTGGGGGGGCTGCATGCGTGTGTTGGGTAGCCCCTCTTGGTTTTACAACTCTACCCTGTTGTAAAATTTTAGATTTTAATGCGAACAAGTTGATAACAAAAAAGAACTTGGTCAACATTGATCTTACAACTAGAGATGTAAAAGGAACAAAAATAGAGAACAGCAAAATGTGGAAGAAGACATCTCGCTTCTTTCATTTTCATTTCACTAAGTGACATTGGTCGGCGACTGTAAGACTTTTAATCACAATAGTTATACACCACAGGTCCCGGGGATCATGGCATCGATGAGCTCGCTTTCGCCTTGTCCAAGGTAGCAGCGGAACACTACGGGCAGGCCCGGAGTCACCGCACCGGCTGGCTCACGGGCGTCGTCCTGTACTACAGTACCGGCCAAGCAGAGGGTCACTGCATGACCTTTATGAGGCGTCGCTAGCCATTGTAAGTATATTTTGGACGCTCGTGTCAGGGGATGTACTTTTGTGTTCTACAACAGAACATGTTTGGTGGCGGTTCAGTCTTGCCAATTCAGCCATTTCGAAACATAATTTTGTGGCGACTTGGCTTAGGTTTTCTGGCTCGGCCGTCTTTTGCACCAGTGTCTAGGCTCGGCGTAAGCCTCTTTGTTCTTTATTGTCAAGGCTAGTGTAATTTCTGCTACGCCGTCGAAGCAACTTCTGCATGCGAACAAGATGCAAGACGAAGCTACATGCTCGTGCACAGTGCATGACCACATGTGAAAACTAATAGAGAGTTTGTTTCGCTGCAATCGTGCCCATGCGCACCCACTTGCAACATGAAGTGAGTTTGTTTCGCCGCCGGCACTCCACACGTGCATGCGCTCGCTGCGCCCTGAGAATTAAGTGTGTACCTGAATGCACTCCCGTCATGCATCACTTAGGCAGGGAACAAGAGCAGATGACTGGTTTGTCCACCATGCGGGACAGTAGAACTGCAGAAAAAGTGAACTTTCTGCTAAAAAAATGACGTCCCACGAGCAACAAAATCGGACACGAGCTTGAATTGTGTGTCTGCTATTCTATAAAGCAAGCAATCCACAACCTGTGCTTAACTTGCAAGTTTTCAGTCATTTTGTTGCTGTACAGACGTCCATATACACCGGTGGATAAAGAAAGGTTCAGAACGAACATCAGCCACCGCGAGATATCTCTCACCATCCGTGCGGGGCTAAAGAGTTGGGACGTTAGTTGACAAAGCTTGCCCGGCAGAAACCTGCGACGCGTCCAGTCGGGAGCCGAGAAAGCTAAACTGTTTTTACCCGAGGCTTGGATAAAATCACAGTGTTTAAAAAGGAGCCATGGAATTTATTTTGGGTGGGATAAATTAATTTAGATTCGTATTTTGCTAATACAGTTGAACCTTTCAAGAACGAAATTCTCGCGGCAACGAAGAAATCTGGCGGCCCCAGCGAACGTCCATAGGGTTCAATGCATTTGCACCCTCTCAACAGCAAAGAGTTTTAAAAAGCAGTCCCGCATTAACGAAAGTTTGAGGTAGTGATCTGCCATAGAGTTATTCAATGTGTCTACCAAGTTGGCATTTTCAAATTCCCTGAGTTTTTCAGGTTTCCTCTGAGTACTTTTGTGAAATTCCCTGAGTGACACAGAACTTTGTTTTAGGTCAAGATGGGCGGACACCATGTCGCCACATGCTGTCACTCTCTAAAAAGCATGTCATAAAATAAAATAACAACACAATACAGTTTTGATGATAGCGAGTAACTTTTATTAGATTTAAAAAGAAAACAGAACGAAGTGGTTAGTAAAATTGATAGCGAATAAAGTATAAAAAAAGGTAAACTGAGGTTTACGTGACCCCCCCAGGTCTGGTCATGTGACCTCGGGGGGGGGGGGTGTCGAGACCTGACGGCGACGCCGCTCAAGCCGGAAACGGGAGCAATAACAGGGAAAGGAAAGGGTAAACAAACATAAGGCGTTCAAAGTGCGATTGCTCAACCCTTGTTGTCAAAACACTCCACCTAACAAAATCTTTTTTTTTTTTTATTTTTATTTTGGGGCTAAGGAGTCGCACAGTGACAGCGGTGTTTGCACGCGACCGTTCCAACAGCGGGCACTCCCTGCCCTCCCCACGCGCGCAGGTGCCCTTCCCCTTGCTTTTGCCATCCTCCACTTCTTTTGTTTTTATTGGTTGCTTTTTTTATTTTTTATACAATTGCTTTTTCGCTGCGCATCCCCGCGTGCGTGTATGCTGGGTTGGCGGTCTGCCAGCCTTGCAACCCGAGCTGTTTGCTCCCTGCCGGCGCAATCCAACCTATAGGGAGAAGCGAAGAACGGCCTTCGTTCGCTACATCGAGTGTCCCCTCCATGGGAGGTATGGACATTCGATACAGAAAAACAATGCAATTTTCTAGGGGATGTTTGAACTGTTTCATATAAACAATAATTCGAAATACGGGTGTGATATAACCGGGTTCGACAGTATGTTTGGCCGTCTCCCTTAATTTCCAGATACCTTCGTTCGTTTGGCACGTATATCCCCGATGCTAGAAAGCGCCGACGTTGTGTTCGCGCTGAGAGTGTCCGACAGTGCACATAAATACACGTGCGAAGCCGTTTTTGCACCGTTTTTTTTTTCCCCATAGAAATGCATTACCGGAAGTCAATTTTCGACTGGTTGCTGTCTGCTTCAACTTGCGTCGGCACACTAGCACCACTTGAACCTCTAGCGTACATTACAATAACCCTACGCGATCTGCAACATTTTTTCGTCAAATGAGCCAGTTTGGAACCGAGAATTGTGAAAAATGGAGCAGTACACTCGTCCGACAAGTTGGGCACATACGTTTCCGACAAGCATCGGCGCGGCCATTGCTGTTTACATTCGGTCAAATAATGATGACAATGGCAACTAGATGCTTTTTTTTGGGGGTTGGTGAAAACAGCGTTTTGCTAGCCCATCTGTTGGCAACTACCTAGGTACGTGACGACACCGCCTGCTGCTATTTCGCCGTCCGCCGCGTGCACGCCGAGATCGCTCGCGCCTTGTTTACTACCTTTCGTTTGGCCTGTCGGAAAGATGCCGCCTCCCATTAAAAAGTTTAAGTTTTTTGCACTTCAGGAGAACTCTGCGATCACTGCCAAAGCCAGAAAGAAGTCTGATATTACAGAGGAGTTCAGTATCCTTTGCTTCTTGCTTTGTACGATTCTGAAATCCAAGGACAGCATCATGAAAAGTAATAGGTGTGCTTAGTTGTCCATTTCTGCAGCAGCGAAATTCTTGCGAGAACGAAAAACGTTTCCTTCCCCCGCGGTTTGGTTATTACGGGTGTGATGATGTGACTTAATGTGGAAAAGAAGTGCAAGTCAACCCATGGATCGGCCTGGAGGGAGAAACGAAGAAGAGAGATTTTGGAGTGCGTGCTCAGAGGGCGTGAAAAGGACTGGCCGGGAGATTGTGCAGAGAGCGGAACGACACGATCGGCCAGGGCAATCGGCGGCCTCCTACTGTCTGACCAGCAGCCTGTTCCAGCGAGGGCAGCGAATAGAAACCTACGCTGCCCCCGGCTTCCTACAGCGGGAGCGCTTGGTGCGGTAACTCTGGGGCCGCCGACGGAAGCCAACCGCTCCCGCTCCTGACTTCCAGCCACAACCGTGGGCCGACAACGACAGCACAAGACACACTGCTGCACAGGGACTCAAAGACATGGTGACTGATGCGTTTTCCTTTCTTTAACTAAGTTTTCTTTTTTTTGTATAAGCATATGAACCCTTTGATTTTTTTTTGTAAATACAAGTTTTCATGAAAAACGAAGGACATTGTATTTTGTCAATTATTAACCACAAAGAACCCTGTGACAACGGGGTTCAACTGTAACATATTGTTCAGTGGGCCGAGAGTCAAAAGTCTGCTTTTCGGTACGAAAATTCGAAAACATGACGGACTATTTTGTACTTCCTTTCCCTCAAAAGCTTTCCGCATTTTCAGTGCGACACATCCGTGGTACCCAAAGCACGTGAGCCGGCCCTAGCTCACATGTTAGACTCGACCACTGTGTCACCATTGGCGACGAGATGTTTTGGTGGTTTCATCTCGCGGACGCCTTCCTGTAGCGGTGCTGGTAGGATCGAGCAGACGACGCGCTACGTCAAAGCGCCGAGTGGCTAGTTAGTTCGCCTCTATGTCGATTAAAAATGGATTATTAACCCTTTGCAGTCAGATACTCTGACCAACTTAAAGGGCAACTCCGGTCAAAACTCAAAATGAAATAAATTACTGGTATCGTTGTAGACACAAAATACGACCTCAGCCAAAATATTACGTCCGTGGGACGCCGCATTCTCAACTAATGCCGATAATAAAAATGTGACCTGCCGCAAGCCGCTGCTTCTTAGCGGGCGGCCAGCGGGTTGGCGATCGCTAAAGCAACATTGCGCCGTGACGTCAGTATCGTTCTCTTTTCCTCCGGCGGAGTGCGTTTCTTCGAGCCGCTACCACCGGTACTTCGGCTTGTGATTGGCGTGTTTAGCCGTTGATTTTATCTGTAGCCCATGTAGCTTCGCTATAGCCTTTTGTTTATCTGCTTGTGAGGACTCCAAGACTCGTTTTAGCGAGCAACTTGGTGCGCCCAAGACTGCCCAGCTGTTCCTCAAAACATGCCGAGTACAACTTTTAGCGCTGTGGGCTGCTCAAACAACCCGCTGTGCAACACGGAGGTGCTTTTTCACTAGTTTCCAACGGACCAAAAACTGGAGAAGGTGTGGGTGAACGCTGTTCGACGAGTAGACTTTGGACTTCGGCTTTTAAGCGCCCGAGGAAAAAAAAAAAAGAACGAAAAAACAGACATGTACAGCCCAGCACACATGTGTTGGGGTGCCGCAGCCCGCGCCGGAGAACCTCAGCTTCGTGTCTGGGACTGTCCCGCAGCGCGAAAGCGAGGGGGCCCTCAGGGCGTCACCCATCCCTCCGTATCCTTTCATCCTCCTCCTCCTCAAGAGCTGCGCTCTAATCCGGCGTTACAGAGAGTCGAAAACGGCTTTTTTTTTTTTTTTTTTTTTTTTTTTTTTTAAGTTTTGAATATTGCTTATTTTACTGTAGGTAGATGTGGGAGTTGTTTACGAAAATATTTTTGGAGACCGCAGAAGCAGACCACACGAGTCACCCCCCTCGCCCAAGTGAGGGGTGACCTGCAGTCTGTTTGGAAAGATACTGTGTCTGTAGCTTTGATACAAAGATATCTTTCAAAGATACTTTGAAAGATACTGTGTTTGTAGCTGGCTTCAGTTGCTGCGTTCGAATGTGCATCTATTGACATTTGGTGACCGTAGCAGTCAATTTATTGTGCAGGAGGAGACTGGTGGGGCGAGATCAGGAGCACACTTGGGCTCTCTTGCAGTACTTTTCAATGCGGCCACAGAACAAGAACATAGGGTTCTAAATAAGGACTGAACGCAGATAGCCGTTACTCTCTGGCGCCTATTATTTTGACAAGCCTTCCATGAAAGGCACTTTTTTTTCTCTCACCTGGAACATAGGGTTGAAGTATCAAACCGCCCGTGATGTTGCGAGCGAAATAGGATATCACCAGAACATCTCGGTGTTAATAATCGCAGGGAAGATGAGAAATGCAGGGCATGTCTTATAGCTCAGCCTCCAGCGAGCACTCATCGCCTTTCCTCATGCTTTGGCTGTGCGTGCATTCTTGAGGTTTGCAAGATGCCTAAGCATTGCTGAATGGAATGCGAATGGCTGGGTGTGTCTTACAAATGTCCCGCCTCTACGCGTTGCCGAAGGTAGGAAGCTCTCTTGCTGGATGCAGGGCAACTGAGGCTTCTCATAGCCATTCTCATCTTGTGAGGGATTTAGTCATTAAACCATTTTAAAAGTGGCAGTGCTACACCATACAATAAAGGTTTTTACAAAAGCAATTTGTAATTGATCTTGTCAAAAGCTAGTTATAAATAGAAAGAAAAAATATCAACTTGCTTCAGTGAGAAAAACGGATGGTGCCTTGTATTCAAGTTTACAAAAACATTTCTACTGACAACCTAAAAAAATTCCATTGAATGGTGCTGTTTTTAACTGGAGTAAAGAGACCCATGTCTGTGTACAACTATCTATAGTCCGTTGCAACCTAAGGGCGAGGGTAAGATGGGCCGGGGAGGAGGAAGCAGACGGAACGCTGGAGAAGAGAGGGGGAAACCTCCTTCTCTCTTTAGTGTTCCGCCTGCTTCCTCCTCCCCAACCCGTCTTACCCTCGCCCTTCGTTCTTAGGTTGCAACTGACTATAGACTCTTTCAAAGCTTATATTAAAGACCCAGGCAGTGACTGTCTACCCTAGATATATCACCATCGTCCTTCACTGGTGCTATGAGACCTCTTCCACAACAATGAAAAATCACAACTTCTCGGAGATGAAATGCATGCTTTAAAGGGGCCCTGCAAGGGCTTTTTGACTGGTTTTTCATTTGCACCGAACCTGAGCGCACTGAACGTAGTCAGTGCAACTTAATTAAACTTTTCTTTTCTCGAATTTCGCTTTATTTTAAAAGTTATAGGCAAATTAAAATTACAAGAACAAGCAAAACATAACCTTTTTCATGACGTCCTTGGTCGCTCGAGTGGCCATGAACTAGAAGAGGGCTAAGTGAGCTCAGCGAGCGCTCCGTGTCAACAGCTCGAGAGGGCGCCATATAGCATGTTCTGGAAAGGCTGTATGAAGCGGGCAGCCAGGGGGGCTCGCATTGCATTTGCTGCACGATTAAACACTAATTCGGCATGACACTTCATTGGTCACAAACGACAGCAAACACGGGGTAAAGATCAGTTCAGAACGGGAGCCACTTCGCACTGCCATACCGCCAAAGGGCCAAACCGCAAGCCAAAGCTGCTCGCCGAAGGCCTTTGAAATGCTCGGAACCGGTCGGATTTTCGACTGCAGCGCCGCCGCATACACCCGAGACCTTTATACGCTTGCCCTCGTCATTGCCTGATCCCACTACACCTTTCTAGTATGCGCCGCCTTTTCCACCGCTTGGGTGGCGGGTATGTCGAAGGGTCGTTTCTTGTTTCCGTACTTTATAAACTGCATTTGTTTCTTTTCTGGTCTAAAATACTGAACAAAAACTACTTTCACAAATAATTGAAACGGTTCTTTTAGCTTTTAGCGGCTCCGACCACTAGTAAGCCCAGGACCAAAGACGTCGCATTTCGCGCGCTTTCAGCAATGCAGGTCGCCCCCGTAGGTAAAGGAGGTTTCTGCGTCGGCCGGTTAAAATATGACGCACTGACATTTAGTTACTTTCTCCGTGCCCGCTGGCTTGCCTGAACGCCAAGAGACGTGCAAACCGCAAAAAAGGTAGACGCTTAAATATGGTTGCAGGGCCCCTTTAATGAAGGGGCAAACAAATCAGTGCAGCCCTTAAAATAAAGCAAGATATAAAATCTGCACTCGCAGAACAGCCGGGCTTTAATTTCTTTATTGCTTTTAACATTTCGGTGTTAACTTGTTTGATTGCTGCAATCTTGTTAGTCAATATTACTAAAAAAAAAAGATGTGCTTGCATTGACCAAAGTGTGAACCTTGTTCACACTCTAACAATCTCCAGTCCTGCTTGGCAACGGTAGCAATACATGTACCAACGTTCTCAGATCTAGGTCAGTTGACAAACTTCGGAAAACGCCCGACGCCTTTTTGCAGTGTGTCCGCTCAGTGGCGTCTGCCGCAGTATCAGCCTGCCCTTTGGACAGATCCAGTGGAATGTTGGATGCACATTACCTGCAGTGGAAAGTGATTTTTTTTTTTGTTGTTGTTGTTGTTGTTGTTCTTATAGTAAACTTAAGGCCTGCACAATACTTAAAACAGAAAGAGCGTTGTTCAAAAAGCGTTTTTCGTTGACCGCAAGGGAATTGGCACTAGGAATGCTATCCGCCCTTACCTGCTTGTGCACCGGCAACAGAGAAAAACTGGTTTAGAGTGCAGCTCTTAGGTGCCCATTTCCACGCTTCATTGCGTCGCCGTCTGCATGATCACCTTGCTGAATTTAGTGAGAAATTGAATTTGTGTTGAGGTCACGCAATGTCAATTTTTCTGCTAAATCTAGCTGAGGAACTGAATTTGTTTGTGAGTGACGTGGCATGAAGTCATGTGCCATTTAGCAGGGTTGTTTCCTCAACGCCAATTCAGTTTCCCCGCTAAATATAGCGGGGAAACTGAATTGGTGTTGAGGTTGTGTGACATCAATTTCCCCACAAGATTTAGAGAGGAAACTTAAACCGCTAAATTTAGCGGGGAAATTCTTGCTAAATTTAGCAGGAAATTTAGCGAAAATTGCCTGCTAAATGGGAGGGGGAGGAGAGGGTATGGAGGGATAGGAGAGGCATAACCTCCCCTCCTCCTACTCAAGCGCTGCGCTCTAATTTCATGTTACAAAGAATTGTAAACGTCTCATTTTTTTTTTTTTTTTTTTTTTACTGCTGCTCTTCTATGGAGTTTGTCAACCGACAGATCTAAGAAAGTTGATGTGTACGGCCCGAGCAGAGGCATCTATTTTTCCAAGCACAAGTTTTGAAACCCCCTTTTTTATTGAATTCTTTCAAGAAGACACTCCGTTTAGAGGAAATGGCAACGAATCTCCTTTTAGCAAATTTGTTTTTAGAAAAACAAAATTCACCGAACTTGACTGCTTGCTCTAGCATTTGCTTGTCCTGCCTTGGCTGATGGCAAAGCCGAGCCAGTCAGTCAGTGAGTCGCTCGCTTGGGCGGCCAGCATATTCAGAGCATGATCGACAAGTTTTTATGCATGCCACATCCCTGCTGTTTTCGCAAGAATAATTTTACATTTTGCCTGGTTTACAGCCCAAGAGAGGAGAGTGGGTGCTCAAGCATAGGTCAACATGCCTCAGTGCATCATGCTCTAGTCTTTAGCATCTTCCAGACTTGCTTATGTTAATCGAATGGATTCACTAAACGGTGCTCCTTTGCAACCGATTGTTGTAGGCTGCACCTACAACAAGCAGTTGTAAGTGCAGTACATTCTATTAGCATAAAATAAAGGCACACAGCCAAATCACCTCAATGATGCCTAGCAAGTGGCGAAATAAACTTCCCTTTAACAAAGCATGTGTAGCTACCGAGACATCACATTATTCAGAGTGCAGATGCAGAGTAGCTTTCTTTTGGCCTTTGCATCATCTTCCATTGTCCAGGCACAAGCGGCACTGCCGAAAAAGACCAATAAATAAATATTCAACACGGTGTATTATTCACTTTTGTACCTGCAACATTACCGTCCTATATAGATAGTCGACAGCTGCCCCGGCAACTTTCCGGACATGCGGAATCAAAACATCTCATCAACACAAGTGCTATTCGCCACTGCCGTAAGTTGAAGAATACTTTTCAAAAAAATAAAAGTGCATCTTTCAACGCAGTGTCTAGCGTAACCTTACCCCAAGATTTCGAGTTACATCTAAGGTACCCAATATGAAAAATAAAGTTTGGTCCGACGTAACCTAATATGAAAATTAAAGCTATGACAAACAGAGCCCAAAATAAAAGTTAGTTACGTCCTATGTAACCTACGCAACGTAAGTTTCGCTTTACGGCCGATGCACGACATAAATACAAAAATGTCATGACTTACTACTGCATAACATCCGATGCAGCATTCATTAGTCAGTTAAAATCTCAACTCTATCCGCACCTCCAGCTTTGTTGAGGGGGCTGGAGTGTTCCTCGCACATTGAAGCTGCTGAAACTGGGCATCCCCTCCTCTAAAACAATTTACTCAATTGTAGGTACTGGAAACAGAAAATGAACCAGTGTGTGATGGGTTTGGGAGGGAAATAAACGTGGACAAAAGGCAACCAAGCAATTTAGAAGAGACTAGACCCGCCGAGCTAACGTTCTGTACGAACAATCTGAACCTTATATACTAGTTCTTGTACAAATACAAGATACCCACGATATTCCGCGATAAGTAGCCACCAAAATTAACATACCAATTAGGCAGTTCTGTTCGTAAGTCACGCAAGTCGCCGAACTCTCCTCGCAGAACGTTCGCGAAACAAAAACGGCCATCTTGGAAAAATCAAAATAGTGATGGTGATAGCGATGGGGCTTCTATAAAAACTCAGAGAACAAATGTAATCCCTTTATCCGATATATAAAAGAAAAAAAAAAAAAAAAAAACTTATGGAAAACATTTACCCTAGCAAAAACTTCTTAAAATAATGGTAAAGTTTAAAATAAAGATCTAAAGTTTAAACATTTAGTTATGTTAAAATACACTTGGTAAAGTCTATAAATCTTGTTTCAGTAATTAAATGCAAACAGAACACAGACTTCGTAACCCTTCTTGCTGATAGCCTTTCCTTGCAAGCGTGAATGGTCAAAAGCCGATGCCATAATAGGCAGAAATACTGCGTAGATAGCACGCTTAGAGTGTCCAGAAAAAATTAATGGGGGATGTCTATCTTCTTTCCATAAACCTTTTTGGAGTTTACCCTTCCTGCACGTTTCACAGTAATCTGCGGCATGGATTCACCACACTGTTTTTGTGAAGTGTGGCAAAACGTATGCACCACCATAAGAAAAAAATATGACAATTTATTTAAGTACAACAGGAAGCCACGAGAGGGGAAGATGGCAAGATCCGATCCACCAAAAAGGACTGGGCCTAAGAGTGCAGTCTTGAAAGGCTTGGCCCATGAATCAGGACGATTTGAAACCTATGATGAATGCAGAGAACAAAGGGGTCGATCAGGTGAACAGTAACTAATATCTGACCCTAACATGCAGGGCAAGATCTGTTTTGTTTACCTAATATTTGTTATGCCACCAAAAACCAACGTTACTAAAACACTCAGCTAGGAAACTCAACCTTGGAACCTGGACTGCTGGCGTCCACTGAGACCAAACTAAATATGATAACAGAGCCACTCTTTAGCAACAAGTCAAAACATGAAAGTTGCCTTGCATAGCTACTCCAAGATGGCCCTGCGAGATGACACCAGTGGCCCTTCCGAGAATCTACGGAACCAGTCAGTGCAGCAGTGTAGCTCACGGAGTGGCCACCGCGGGAGAAACAGTGGCATTGCGATTGCATTTAGTTTGATTCTCTCATATGGATTGAAGCCACTTTTTCAAAGGAGGCTCCTATAGCAGTTTTCCAACCGAGTGTACTAGTCACGTTGTCAAAAACTTAATTTCTTCCTAACAAAAGCCGGCATAAGTCCATTTTTTTTTAGAAAAAGTTAACCTCGAAGGCTTCAGGGGGGGCCGTCCCCCCCCCCCCCCCCTTCCCCCACCCACACAGTTTCCCCTAAAATCTGCCAAGAAACTGAGGGAAAAGTGAGGACGAGAGCAGGTGTGGATGTCAGGACACCCGAGCTCTGGTTCGAATGATTAGTGGGTACACCTAAAGCTAGGTGCCTTTGTCTTTACTGCACTCGTCAAAGACGTTCGAATGCGAGAGCCCAAAGCTGGATACCGGCGTTCTGCATTCGAATGTGTTCGACGAGTGCAGCAGAAACAAAGGTTGCCTTTGTCTCCACTGCACTCGTCGAACGTATTGGGATGCAAATGCCAAAGGCCGCCCCCGGCGTTTGGCTCTCGCACTCGAACGTCTTTGACAAGTGCAGTGAAGACAAAGGCACCTAGGTTTAGGTGCCTCTGCGTTCTGATGTCCCTGCACTCTCGTCTCCCCCTCTCCATCAATTTCTCGGCTCATAGAGTTCTGAAAGTTTAACACTGGCAGTGTGCGACAGTAGGCCAGCAGGATGGCATACTCTCCCCTACATGATACGGAATGAGCAGGATCGAAGACAGACAACTCCGGACGGAACGTCCGCAGTTTACAACTCTTTGGCGGCATGCGCTAACTAGCTATCATCATCGTCGTTTTTGACGTCACGGGTAGGGCACACTGGGACAGACTGCGCAGATCTTGGAACCTTCGGCTCGACAGTCAGCGTTATGCGCTGTATCGCGCAGCAAAGCTTATTTCGCGCATTGTTTTTATTTGGTGAAGTTATACTTGAAACCGTGCCACGCGTAGTCGTGCTAACAAACACTTTTGGCACTAAGGTGTCGAAATGCTGGGATGGTGATGTACTGTTCTCCACCCCAGTACAAAAAGATGGACGATCAAAATAGAATATCCAGCGCTTTACCCCACTACAACATCTAGCTAGCATGGCGAATAGGGTGTATTTATTTTACTATTATTATTCAGACAAAATAAAGCTGAGAAAGAAATGTCTCATTAAATTGAAAATAGGAAAGCGAAATTCGGGAATCTCTAACCTGTGTAGTAAACACTTCAGTGAAAGCGACTCCGTGTATCTTGGTGGTTCCGATGTGTTTTGTAAGTGCTGATTTCTTATTAGTCCCAAGTTGATTCATTTTTGGTCTTTTTAAACCAGTAAACAAACATTTCCTCAAAACAACTGGCATTGACGGTGGCTGGCTTCCAGAGTCGTCTCAATGAAATCCCTGCTTGTTCACTCGATCGACGTGAAGCATGCGAGATCCCCTCGCGACCGAAGCCTTAAATTTAGTAAGTCGGTGACAATTAGCATGCCAAAAAATTAGGTATACACCTGCTATGAATTCCTACCGTTTGTATGTTTAATTTTTCGGTCCCAATTGCACATAATGTGTGATGCGCTTTTCAGCGAGCAATTTTACATTTGTAAACAATTCTTAGCAAAAATTGGATAGAACTAATTAATCGATCGCCTGAAATTGCCGCGATGTGACAAACTTCTTTGCCGCGTATTCGATGCGGGAGGAGCTAATCCGTCAGTTGCTGAAGAGCATTAGCTCGTCAGCAACTGCGGTGTCGGCGAAATAGCAGCGGGCGGTGTTGTCACGTGAAACGTCACATACCTTGGTAGTTGCCAACAGATGGGCTTGCAAAACGCTGTTTTCACCAACCAAAAAAAAAAAAAGAATCTAGTTGCTATTGTTATTATTTTTTGACCGAATGTAAACAGCAATGGCCGCGCTGATGCTTGTTGGAAACGCATGTGCCCAACTTGCCGGACGAGTGTACTGCTCCACTTTTCGTAATTCTGGGTTCCAAACTGGCTCATGTGACGAAAAAATGTTGCAGATCACATAGGGTTATTATAATGTACGCTAGAGGTTCAAGTGGTGCTAGTGTGCCGACGCAAGTTGAAGCAGACAGCAACCAGTCGAAAATTGACTTCCGGTAATGCATTGCTATGGGGGAAAAAAAAATGGTGCAAAAACGGCTTCGCACGTGTATTTATGTGCACTGTCGGACACTCTCAGCGCGAACACGACGTCGGCGCTTTCTAGCATCGGTGATATATGTGCCAAACGAACGAAGGTATCTGGAAATTAAGGGAGACGGCCAAACATACTGTCGAACCCGGTTATATCACACCCTTATTTCGAATTATTGTTTATATGAAACAGTCCAAACATCCCCTAGAAAATTGCATTGTTTTTCTGTATCGAATGCCCATAACTCCCATGGAGGGGACACTCGGATGTAGGGAACGAAGACGAAGGCGGTTCTTCGCTTCTCCCTATAGGTCGGATTGCGCCGGCCGGGAGCACATAGCTCGGGTTGCGGGGCTGGCAGACCGCCAAGCCAGCATACGCGCACCCGGGAATGCGCACGCGGGGATGCGCAGCGAAAAAGCAATTGTATAAAAAATAAAAAAAGCAACCAAATGTAAAAAACAAAAGTGGAGGATGGCAAAAGCAAGGGGAAGGGCACCTGCGCGCGTGGGGAGGGCAGGGAGTGCCCGCTGTTGGAACGGTCGCGTGCGCTCATTTTCCCAAACACCGCTGTCACTGTGCGACTCCTTAGCCCCCCCCCCCCCCCAAAAAAAAAAAAAAAAAAAAAAAGATTTTGTCAGGTGGAGTGTTTTGACAACAAGGGTTGAGCAATCACACTTTGAACGCCTTATGTTTGTTTACCCTTTCCTTTCCCCGTTATTGCTCCCGTTTCCGGCTTGAGCGGCGTCACCGTCAGGTCTCGACACCCCCCCCCTGAGGTCACATGACCAGACCTGGGGGGGTCACGTAAACCTCAGTTTACCTTTTTTTATACTTTATTCGCTATCAATTTTACTAACCACTTCGTTCTGTTTTCTTTTTAAATGTAATAAAAGTTACTCGCTATCATCAAAACTGTATTGTGTTGTTATTTTATTTTATGACATGCTTTTTAGAGAGTGACAGCATCTAGCGACATGGTGTCCGCCCATCCTGACCTAAAACAAAGTTCTGTGTCACTCAGGGAATTTCACAAAAGTACTCAGGGGAAACCTGAAAAACTCAGGGAATTTGAAAATGCCAACTTGGTAGACACATTGAATAACTCTATGGCAGATCACTACCTCAAACTTTCGTTAATGCGGGACTGCTTTTTAAAAACTCTTTGCTGTTGAGAGGGTGCAAATGCATTGAACCCTATGGACGTTCGCTGGGGCCGCCAGATTTCTTCGTTGCCGCGAAAATTTCGTTCTTGAAAGGTTCAACTGTATTAGCAAAATACGAACCTAAATTAATTTATCCCACCCAAAATAAATTCCATGGCTCCTTATTAAACACTGTGATTTTATCCAAGCCTCGGGTAAAAACAGTTTAGCTTTCTCGGCTCCCGATTGGACGCGTCGCAGGTTTCTGCCGGGCAAGCTTTGTCAACTAACGTCCCAACTCTTTAGCCCCGCACACATGGTGAGAGATATCTCGCAGTGGCTGATGTTCGTTCTGAACCTTTCTTTATCCACCGGTGTATATGGACGTCTGTACAGCAACAAAATGACTGAAAACTTGCAAGTTAAGCACAGGTTGTGGATTGCTTGCTTTATAGAATAGCAGACACACAATTCAAGCTCGTGTCCGATTTTGTTGCTCGTGGGACGTCATTTTTTTAGCAGAAATTCACTTTTTCTGCAGTTCTACTGTCCCGCATGGTGGACAAACCAGTCATCTGCTCTTGTTCCCTGCCTAAGTGATGCATGACGGGAGTGCATTCAGGTACACACTTAATCCTCAGGGTGCAGCGAGCGCATGCACGTGTGGAGTGCCGGCGGCGAAACAAACTCACTTCATGTTGCGAGTGGCTGCGCATGGGCACGAGTGCAGCGAAACAAACTCGCTATTAGTTTTCACATGTGGTCATGCACTGAGCACGAGCATGTAGCTTCGTCTTGCATCTTGTTCGCATGCAGAAGTTGCTTCGACGGCGTAGCAGAAATTACACTAGCCTTGACAATAAAGAACAAAGAGGCTTACGCCGAGCCTAGACACTGGTGCAAAAGACGGCCGAGCCAGAAAACCTAAGCCAAGTCGCCACAAAATTATGTTTCGAAATGGCTGAATTGGCAAGACTGAACCGCCACCAAACATGTTCTGTTGTAGAACACAAAAGTACATCCCCTGACACGAGCGTCCAAAATATACTTACAATGGCTAGCGACGCCTCATAAAGGTCATGCAGTGACCCTCTGCTTGGCCGGTTAAGCCACACGCAGTGCCGTGCAGAGTACAGGACGACGCCCGTGAGCCAGCCGGTGCGGTGACTCCGGGCCTGCCCGTAGTGTTCCGCTGCTACCTTGGACAAGGCGAAAGCGAGCTCATCGATGCCATGATCCCCGGGACCTGTGGTGTATAACTATTGTGATTAAAAGTCTTACAGTCGCCGACCAATGTCACTTAGTCAAATGAAAATGAAAGAAGCGAGATGTCTTCTTCCACATTTTGCTGTTCTCTATTTTTGTTCCTTTTACATCTCTAGTTGTAAGATCAATGTTGACCAAGTTCTTTTTTGTTATCAACTTGTTCGCATTAAAATCTAAAATTTTACAACAGGGTAGAGTTGTAAAACCAAGAGGGGCTACCCAACACATGCATGCAGCCCCCCCACCCCACTTCATGGGGGTTGTCCTACGCAAGTATGTAGCTGCGCTGTAGAGAAGCATGATACACATGATCTACACGGACTTTTAGCTGCATTCTTCCATGAATCTAATGTCCGCCTGGCCGTATAACTTATAACTGTCATAACTTTCACTTTTTCTTTGAAATCTGTAAATGTTAAAAAAGAAAACCTGTATAACCATAGCTAAAAAAAATCTGACACTTGAATTGCTAAAAACAGTTTGGGGACTTCCAAGAGCGATTATTGCATAAAACAGCTTGTCAATGGTCAGAGCCTAGCAAAGCTCAACCAGCATGGCACTGCCAACAGCGCTGATGTCACTTGCATGACACATCCACATGCCGTGCCAATCATACATGGAACGCATGAAAGCATGGCGGGCAGTCCATGCAGCGTTGACTGTTGGTGGCTGCGGAAGCTCGGCGCAGACACAGAAGCACCAAAGGCGGAGGATGGCACATGTTTTCTGTTGCAGCAATGTCCTTTTGCTCGGCACACCGCCAAAAAACATTTCGGATTGGCGTTCAACATTTCTAATGGTAATCGTCTTATCTGTATGTACTTGGCCGAAAGAACCGTGAGGACATTGAGAAAATCGTGTTCCGCAGTCAATTTACCTGCCCTTCGTAGTACACTATGTACTGGCGCGTGACGTTGCTCTGTGTTCCTAGTATTATATTTCTCTTTTTTAGATGGCTGCAAAAGACGAGGACAAAGACATTACAGCAGCACTGCCAATAGTTTCTCCATGTTGAGTGCTGAATCCCTGTGAAGCAGGATACGTTTCTCAAACCTTGCTGGCGCCATGGCCACAAAACGAACAAGTGATATCAATGCATGCCTTTTATATGGTCGGTGACAACTCAAGAAGGTAGGGGAAGAAAAAGGAAGGTGGGAGAGGACGAGATGGATGCAACGCCGGCGAAGGGAGAGGGTTTGACCAGCATTGTGCCCGCTTCCTCCTCTCCCACCTTCTTTTCCCTGACCCTACCTCCTTAACCTACAACATAGTTCAAATCAAACTGCAAAATTTCTTCGAGGCTCGAGAGTGAAAGCAGCTTGTCAGGATGTATTTTGTGTGAATACCATTTAGCTGAAGCACATTGTTTTTGTGGACTCAAGGTACGACGTGGCTAAAAAGTCAATGCCAGGGATCTTTGTGAGAAAAAGAACACTTAAAAGATATCCTCGGCCGCAGTTGGCTCTTTGAGTCACATATTTGACGATAGGTATTGTTAACACATATTTATGTGAACACCAGGATGCTGTTTTGATGGTAACATACTAAATGGTGATAAAAAAAAAAAAAAAAAAAAAAAAAAAAAAAAAAAGCTGGGAGTAGAAGCACATTATCTACCTTTCCCTACCAAAGAACAATGAAACGATTAGTCACCTGCTCAGGACTTTGGTCGTCTGCTTAGTTGTGGGCAACGCCCCTGCGAGCATCAACGACAGCCCCCATTCTAGCGTGCAGAGAGCCATACAGTGCTTCTGTAAAGGATGCCTTCACCATCAGACTTTTAACAGAACTCACCATCAGACTTTTAACAGAACGGTCACTCCTTTTTTTTTTCTGCGCACCGAACGAAAGGACGGTACAGTAGCAGACGACGCCAGCGTGCACGGCTGCTGGCGTCACTGCGTGTGCTCCAAGCTTCCGCGGGTGCTTGCGGTCCTTGCTGCATGGAGCACTGGCTACGCACTCGCGTGCTCCCTTCAAGATTGGACTGCTCAGTGCACCGCTAGGAAAAGCAGTACAAAACATACCGCGACGATGCATCAGGGGCATGCACTGGTCCCCTGAAGTGTGCTTCGAACCATGTGCAGTGCAGGGTGCAGCACAGCATCCGCGTGAGTCAGCCGCGGCAGTGATTCGGGGCTCGTAGTGTTCTGCGGCTGCCTTGAAAAAGTGAGGGCCAGCTCTTCGCACCTCCTCTGAAAAATGTTTTACAACAGAGAGGTCAGTTATCTCCCTGCCTCTCATTGCCTTTCTGCTGTCCTGTCCTTTGTTCGAGAGCAATCGCTGCTACATTGTGTCTCAGCACGATCACCTTAGTCATACAAAGGAACGTGCAGATAAAGATCATTATTATTAAAGCACGTTTTACCTTCACATTCAAACTTCGGGCCTCCTGCTTTCTCCTCGCGTGTGGCGGCAAGCGTCTGTTGAGGCTACCATGCTTCGAGACGATCCTCGCGTGGTTCAGACCTGCGTTAGATTTTTTTTTTTTTTTTTTAATTACGCCCTGGCAGCTCGTTTAAGCGCCTCTCGGCGTGTTCCCGCGCAGACAGTGACAGGCGAAGCATCAGATTCTACGCTTGCTTCGTTGGGCCTTCCTGTCTCGTTGAAAAACTGGATCGAAGTCTGTGTCGATGGCATGCAATCATTGCTATAGCGACTTATTGAGCACTTGCGGTCATACGGAAGCTTCCAAAATTGTGTGCGCGCTCCTAAGCCTTTGCGGAGGGCTCTGCTAGCCGTCACGTCCGCATGTTCTACCGAACGATTTCGGGCGAGCGGTTGGTAAAGGCAGCTCAAGAAACAAATCGACACGTTGAGCGCACGAAACCCAATTCAAATCCGCTTGGATGGCATCAGCATTCAGCACGTTCAGCACCGACCGACCATTCCCGCCATTTCTGGTAGCGCCTTTGTTCCCGGACGCACCGGACTAAATTATGTCAAACGACTCCAAACGGAACTGAAGCACTAAAGTGCGGTGAACACTCACCTTTACGAATACCTCCTGTTCTTGGTATTCGTATTTGGCGGCTCTGGCGGTTCGCGATCGACGCCGGCACTCATCCGGCGAAACTTAGTGCATACATTGTTTTTGTTGTCAACGGCTGCCACTGCGCACGGTCAACCTCGTTCCACTCGAGAACTTGAGCTGCTTCAGCTGGTTATCGACGGTTAATACGTCGCCACTCAACACCTGAACGTAGAACGAAAACAAAAACATTGACCCCGCGGCCAAGGGCGCCAAGGCGGAACAGAACGGAACCGTACCAGCCAAAATTAAAGAATCAAGCAAGGAAAAAAAAAAATTAATAAAAAGTAAAAACAAACAAAAACAAGAAAAGTACTTTTTTATATATTTTTACTTTAAAACGTCATCTAAAAATCAACAAAATAACAAAACCGGAAGTGACGTCATTTTTTTTTCAGCCAATCGGCGTTTCCAGTTTTACTGCCCCGAAACGCTTGTCTGCTAGGCGCTGCCATGTTTTTTTACCAATGTGGCGTGCGCCGATGCCCAGTTACTATAACCAGTCAAACATAGCGAAAGTCTTTCATTCAGAAAATGGTTTTGTAATTATATTATAATACGTGTTTAAAGTTCTTTATAAAGTTTGAAGTAAGTTGTTTTTATGGTGTGTTATTATTATTATATTTAAAACCGTCTTTGTTTTCTTTTGTTTACGCTCTGATTTGTTCGCCAGGGGGCCAGAGGAGGCGCGCAAAATGGCCGCGCTCTGAAGTAGAGTTGTGAAGCAAGCTCTCTGGTACAAAGTGCCTTTCAGCATGAGTTCCGAAAACCAGGAAACTCCAGCTGATGGTGCTACGCCCTCCCAGTTTCTAGGCGCTTACAAAGATTCCAATGACTATGCTGAAGTAAGTATATTCCCGTCCCGCCTCGTGGTTCAGGATCACCGCTCGACCGCACGTGATGCGCTACGTCGTTTGACAGCTTTGCTCACATCTTCCACGAAAACTTGCGTATTTATTGGCATTTTACGCTTCTGCAGAGGTCTAAATCGCCGCCTAGTATCTCGCGCTATTGGAACCTGAAGTTGTGTTTACGACGGATCAGGATCGAGACGATTCGGAAGCTAGCTTCTCTGGCGTATCCGAGATCATGCTCTCGCGCGCAATTCAGTTTTCCTGTTTGAATGGTACGTATTAAAAGATGGTTCGCACATTTATGTCGGTTGCGTCCAAAAATGACAGAGACGATCGAAGCACCGGGACAACCGCTACTCATGATTGCCTCGCGGAGTTACTTTCTGCATTGCTTGGCACGTTGTGTACGGCGAGCACTTCTCCCTGTGACTTTGTCGTTGCTGACGTTTCGATCGCCCTGACCGCAAGTAATGATATACTGTCTGAACCAGGCAACAGTCGAAAGTTCCGCAACTTGAGGCAATCTTGACTTGAGAAGGCATCGAAAACACACAACCTGCAAAACTGTCAATGTGTGTGTAGTGTTCCATCCATCCTCGGTCAAATCAGGTTAAATGTGTGTACCGCAAGTTGCTCTCCACCCTCTTTGTCGAAACAGGCCTCTTATAGCCTCGTCCCACTAGAGCGACAAACACAGATTTTTGTTTGGCGTCACAACAAAGCTTTGTGTCGCTGATGCTGTCCCACTGTAACGACAAACACCCCTGATGAGCGCCAAGAAACGATTGACGATGGACAAGTTCTTGTTTGTCGTCTGACTTGAAGTGCTGCGAGCAGTCCCACCTAGGAACATCTCTCGGAGACAAACTTATCCCCCTCGCTTGCTTGTGCCCTTTGCTGCCTCTCTTCCCAAACTTCCTCCCATTTCTCCCCCGGTTCGCTTGGCTTTAGAAAAAGGCCTTGGTGGCCACCTGGGCTTCCTACTCGTTCCCATCCCTCGACAGCTCCTAGTGCTCGTGGCTTGCTTGCTGGCAATCGTGTTGCGAAAGTGAATTTGCTGTGGCTGGTTTTGCTCGCCAAAACCTGGGGTGCGAGGTGGTGCTTCTAAACGCCGAGGTTTACATCCCTCCATCAGGATGGATACGCCAACGTTCAAGGACTGACCAAAGAAAGACCGCTCACCACGAAGGAGGACTGTGTTCCGGCGAGCCATTGCGGCAGGCGAGGGACTTGTCATCACGCGCTGTCCTCAATCATTTGGATATGAACATACTCGAAATCGGCGTAAAATTCCAGGGCCCTCACCTCGATTGCCTCGGTTGGCCCAAACAAGGATCGATTTGGGAATTCTAGTTTGGAAAGTTTGGTGCTGATAGTCATGGCAGTTTGCAGAAAGTCGCCAACGGCAAATGAAGACTAAGCAGGAGACTTAATTAAGAAAGAAAGTAATTGTCTTTCTTGTTTTGTTTGCTTTTTTTGTTTTTGTTTTGCTGCGCTACCACACACTGTGCTTGCTTTTTCGCATAACTTGATCGATGTATCCTTCCTACCTTGGCTGCCCTACGGCCGGTAGTATCAATAAATAAAAATAACTCCCACCGTCTTAATCGGTGCGTTTTCCGCCCAAAGTGCGGAACATGAAAACAATGTCGCCCAACTGTTTGTCTGTGTATTTTAAAGTGTTTTGTTGACAACTCCAGTCCGACTGGGAAACAAGTTTCCTTGTCCCCGTATTGTGTGTCGTGTCCGCCAGGTGGGACGACGGTCTCCACAAACCGGCTGTCAGTCGGTGTCTTCTGTCGCTCGTTGTCGTGTGCCGCTGTCGTTTGTTGCAGTTTGTCGCTCTAATGGGATGCGGATATTAAGACGCCTCGAATTATTAATAAAGACAGTCGAAAAGGTTCTTCCAGGGTTTATTTATTTATTTATTTTATTTACCTTCAGCGCATAAGCATTACAGAGGGGGAAGTGGGTACACATAGACTGAAAGAATGGAACACATGGGAAAGCATAATAGCACTGTTATCAGCAGTTGGTCTGCATATCAGCATGAGGCTTCAGTGTGTTAACAGAGTACTGTGCGTCTCTTCCTACAGCAAGTGCTTCGTGCTGTGCTGCAAGCGACAAAGGCCGGCAACGAAATGCCGAGCCCGGGCGAGGATTACGAGTATTACAGCAGCTTTGCGAGCTTCCGTCAGGTGATGCTGTCTGAAGGGAAAGACATCCTGAAGCTGTGAGTAGGCACAGTGAGCTCACTTCTTTCGTGGGAGTTCTCATACTTCCTGTGACATGCGACACTTGTTAAGAAAAATATATAAAAAGCACGGCAGTTAAAGCTGACTATTCTTAAAACGTTAGGCGTTTATGCCCTAAACCAGCAAAAGACATGAGACGTGAATTTAGACTAGCTAATTAATAATCAGCACTCATCCGAATCCTTCGTTACATGGCACCTGCACCCCAGTCGGCTGTTGTAAAATGGTGGGCATAGGACATTGTGTATACCATATTGCATTGCGTATGTAGTAGTGTTGCACATAAGTAATAGAGAAGTAACACTAAGACTGATAATGCTACCAGTCTCAGTGTTTATGTATGGTGTCTATTTGCCTTTTCTAAAATTAACTGTATCATAAGGGCACCATTAAGATGCTACCTTGTAATGAATTGCAGCACTTGGTTTTCACACTGCCCCCCTGGAGATTTTAATCGAAACACGTAAGGTCCAAATAATAGACCAGTTATATTATCATGCCATAAAATGTTCCCCCCTTATGACCGAGATAGTTAAGAATGTGAAACTCAGACTGGAAGTAGAGACCTGAGATGAGTGACAAATGATACTAAGTTTCTCACAAGAAGTAGAAATAAAGAACTGACAAGTGAATGGCTCGCTTAGTCGTCAAATGGTTGACAGACATGAAGACTCGCACTGTCAGCAATGCATTTCTGCATGACGAAAATAATCCCTGGAGAAGGGGAACAAGGGGCACAAAGGACAAACACAAATCTCCAAAGGTGACTGATGCGTGACCTAAACAATACGCCTGGTCCTGGTATCGAACCAGGGACCTCTCCATTTCCAGTGGAGCGCGCTACCAACTGAGCTAACCAGGAGTTAGACGTCAGTGAGCAAATGGGATTTATCAGCTGCCAGCAGTCTAATACCAACAAGGATGAACGGCATGCATTTTTAAGGTTATGAAGACAATGCAATTCAGTGCAAAGGTGCAAGCGAGCTGGACAAGAATGGCGAAAATGATCCCTGGAGAAGGGGAACAAGGGGGCAGAGGACAAACACAAATCTCCAAACACAACTAGGTGACTGATGCGCAACAGAAAAAATCTGCCTGGCCCTGGTATCGACGCAGTTGACATAAAAAGTCCAGCACTTATACAAACTTGTTATTTATGAAGTGTTGCCAGTATGTAACCGACAGGTGACTGGTTTGTGTTTAGCATTCAAGCAATTTTACGTACCCTTTAAAGTTTGCTCGTGTGGGAAAGGGAGGGACGGCCATCATTTCCTCTCTGTATCCAGGATGTCATCGCTAGCGAGTCAGCAAAGTGGAAAAGGCAGATTTGAAGGCTTGGATTTGGAAGAAAAGTTTGACCTCCTCACGGACGTCAACGACATGGTCCTGGAACGAGTGGTATGTCTACGGCGGGGATCATGTTGGCGAATGATTTATTATTCACTCTTTTCCTTCTTGTCCTGGTTTGTGTATGCGAGCCACTAATTTTTGTCTTCCTGGTGTCAGTTCTGTGCATTGACAGGAAGTTTTCTTCTAGGGAAATCACCTCGATGAGGCGGACGGTATCAAGAAGAAGCCAGAGGATGTAGTGGTCATGACCGTCAGTACAAACAGACCCATCCATACCAGCTGGAATAAGAAGGTACTTATTAGTATTGACCACTGTCTTTCTGAAGGTCAGCTTCAACTAAAATTAGATTTCTGTTTTCTAGAGTTCTGGGAAATTGTGGTAACCTGTGCTATAGCAAGATATAAGTTAATAATGTGCTAGAAGCTCTGCCTCCAGCACGTACACATTGCTTTCCATTGACTGGCCATGCTCGGGAGATTATTGTAAAATAAATACCTCACATTTCCTTGGACTCAGCTGCGCAGATTGCACTCACCACTTCAGGCTGGCTGAGTCAGCAGACGTACCAACATATCCGCAAGCGACCAATCAGCAAGACTCATTTTTGGTCCTAGCAGGCGACGGGGAATGAAGAACTGACTCTATAAACTTCACCTACAAAAGTAGTATTTTTTATTTTTTTTTATTTTTACAGCTATGGTATGAATGTTTTGGGACTCTTGATAAGCAAGTAACTCAGAAGAAATTAATGAAAATCAAATGAAATTCGAGATTTAGGAGAGTTTAGGGAGAGCGGGAAAGCGTATAAGTAACCGTTCGACTGTAAATCATTACCGTAGAATACCGCACATCCGCCCATTCCACATTAAGCACCCATATCCAAATTTCTAAGATCTGAGAAAATATGCACAGTACATTTATATGTAAAACTGATGCCCGGACTAGTGCCCATCCCCCATTTTTTAGCCATTATCTCTAAATTTTGAGTGAGCGCCTGCTAAGTATTTTACGGTAGGTCATATTGGGGGGGTGATTTAACATTGTGGAAATATCTAGAAGAGGCAAGGGATGTGCATAACGTTTAGTACTGGTCAACAAGCTAGACCAGTACCAAACATTTTTGTGAATGTGACCAGTGCAAGAAGCGGAAAGCCACAAATTCTGTGTAGACCGAGCGAAGCCAACAGATTCTGTTTATACCTCATTTATTCATAGGATCAAGGTTAATCGATGCACAAGAGTATATAAATACATCATTTGTATACAGATAAACAACTTTAAAGGACTGGTTTAGACTTTTCCGGGATTTACCTTGCTGCAAAGGGAATTGTGGGGCTATTCTGATGTACGCCCATGCCGACTCGATCGCTTCACATATCTTGGAAGCTGCACGATTACTTCTCTCTAATCATTAGGAGCTCACAATACACAAAACATAGAAGGAACACAAAAGGACATCAACACAAACTCTGTTTTGCTTTCCTTCTGCCTTGTCTGCGTTCTGTAATCACAAAATATTAAACCACTGTCAAGTTCGTCTTTGACTCCCAGATAATCTCACGTGCAGTACGCCGGAACATCACAATGCGTCAAATAGACAGTAGGGGCACCGTATATGTCCAGAAAGGTCTATTTTTCAGGTATAAGGAAAACGTAATTGATCATTCATTCACATTTCTCGCATGTTTTTCGGAAGCGAGAGTTGATTTCTGGCTTTGTTCCGTGCTCGCTGTTTGAAGCCCTAAATCAAAGCGTGCTGTGTTTACTTCCCGACAGCTTTCCAAAGATGCCAAGTCCTCCCAGTTCCACCTGATGGCCGCTCGCAATGTGGTACGGCCTCAGCTGACCTTCCGGGATAAAGTGGACAACGGCCATTCGCCTTTCGTGCCCATTATTCGCTACAAGCCGCACTCAATACGACCCTTGGCTGTACTCTTGGAGAATGACGCCGGCGTGGAAAGGTGAAAGACTGGCGGGGGTCTGCTTTGTTTCTTTCTACACGAGCGCAAGCGATCGGGCGGTGGTCGAGAGTGTTGTTAAAAATTGCACTTTCCGTCAGCACGTGAACAAACGTTTTTTTACACATCTGTCATTTATGTTTTTTTTTAAAAAGGAATGTCGCCCTGGAATTGCTATTTGTAACTGACAAATGAATTTGTTAGCTTGCATATTTTGTTGCTCCAACTTCTTAATTGTGCACTGATGCTGGTACCTGCACACCCCAGCCCATACCACACCAACCCCTCTTTCTTACATCGTGCAGCAACAGTCGTGCTTCATATTCGCCTTCGGTCTGGAGTGTGGGCAAAAAATGCCAGGCACCTGTTATATTAAACAACATGGCAATGTTCTTCCTATCAAAACAACATTGCTGCATTGTTTTGATAAAAACTACAGGTTTTTTCGTTCATTTTAATTTAAATGACAATCAATTTAATATGAGTGAATCTAATTTCATTCAAGCTCCATCCAATTTAATCCCAGTGCTACCCAATTTAGTCCCGGTCTCAGTGAATTTTATCCACAGTATATACATGTGCTTATTTGTCTTTAGTGGTCACGTTTCGCTTACACTTTTGATAACTAGAGTAATTGTTTATAGAATTAGATTTTGTCTGGGACAACTGATACTTTCATCACTATTTCGATTACTTGGAGTTATGTACTACTAGTCACATGATTGAACTAGCTTAATTAATATGTTGATTACTCTTTTGGTAACCTCAAGTTCTTAGTGGTGCACCCGACTCTGATTTAGCGGAATTGACATTTTGTTTACTCTTTCTTATTAGTTCAACTTATTATTGATACAATTCAGATGATAGAAGTGGAATTGCAGTTTGTGATTAGTCTTTTGATTACTTCGTGCTATTATTAACACTTCTGACTTTATTTAAAGCTTAACGGAGGTATGGCTTGCAATCCTAATTACTTCGACCCGTTAATAACACGAATTACAAGATAAAAGCTCCACAAACATTTCGGATTACTCCATTGATTGCTTCGAGAGATTATTGACAAAAATGTAGCTTGGTAGAAGCTTGTTTGACCTTTTGAACATTTTGACTATGCAGGTATCATTGACACAATAACTTTATAGAAGCAACATTTTCATTACTTACTCTTAGTCGATTACTTTGATATATAATTGAAATTGCGACTACATAAAAGTTCAGTTAAGATTTGGATTACTCCTTTAATTACTTCATGTTACTAGTCACCAAATTTACTTAAAATTAACTCAATTAACTTCGTGGTCACTTTTTATCTTTTTCCGATAGATTAGTCACACAACTAAGTTTATATTAGCATTATTGACATCTTGATTACTTTAAGTAACTATAGTCGGTGACAGGTCAAGAACGAAGTGGAAGCTTCGCCCACCTCTTTTCACATTAGCAGAGCAAACAGTGGAGAGGAGGTTGCCTCCTCTTTAGTGATCGCTCTGCTAAAGTGGAAAGGGGTGGGAGGAGCTTCCACTTCCTTCTTGACCTGTCACCGACTATACACGTTTGCAAGTCCGGCTTCAGGACGCTGCCATCTTGCTTGCTGGGGTGCGCTTGGACGCGTCCTAATCCGATTACGAAGCCTTGCTAAGGCTTTATAATCAGATTATGGCCTCGCCCAAGCGCACCCCACTGGAAAAGATGGCGGCGCCCTGAGACCGCACTTGCAAACGTGTATAGTGACCTGTTCGACTTGAAATCGGCATAATGACATAATCTTCACTCTCATTATTATTTTGAGTTTTTGTACAACAGTGTGATTTATTCTCAGCTCGGTTACTATTTTGATTACTTCTACTTACTATTGACCCATTGGAGTTTGATTCGACCTAATTGACTTCACAATTACTCTTGACATTACTTTGAGCAAATTGTAGGCTAACCAATTTATTATGACCACGAGTCACATTATGATCACTATTTTGATTACTTTCAGTTACTATTGACCCAATGAACTTTAATTTGTCATAATTGACATTTTGGTAAATTCCTTGATTACTTCGAGTTATTATACCACCAATTTACTTATTATAAGGCTAGCTGACATTATCATTACTCTTTCGATTACTTTGAATTATTTTTGAAACACTAAACTATAATTTGGCCTAATTCACATTTCAATGACTCTTGATTACTTTGAGCTAATACTAAATCATAAGACATCAATTGGTTGAATATTAACTCAAAGCAATCAAAAAGTTATTACAGTGTCAATTAGGCCAACAGTAACTCAAAGTAATTAAAAGTGTAATAAAAATGTGATTTGACCTCATAGTGGACAATTGGTGATATGGTAACTTGAAGTAATCAAGAGAATCATCAAAATGTCAATAATGCCAAATTAAAGCTCATTGGGTCAATAGTAACTCAAATTAATCAGAAGAGTAATCATCATGTCTATTGGGCTCATAATTAATCAATTAGTTGAATATTACCTCAAAGTAATCAAAACGGTCATCACCATGTCAGTTAGACCGAATTAAAGTCAACTGGGTCATTATTAACCTAAAGTAATCAAAAGAGTAATCATATAGTTGACTAGGCTTATAATAAATTATTTGGTTGAATATTAGCTCGAAAGTAATCAAAAGAGTCATCAAAATGTCATGTTGGCAGAATAAAAGTTCACTGGGTGAAAAGTAACTCTAAGTAATCACCATGTCTATTGGGCTCATAATAATACAATTGGTTGGCTATTATCTTAATTAATCAAAATGGTCATCACAATGTCAATTAGGCTGAATTGAAGTCTACTGGGTCAAAAGTAACAAGTAATCAAAAGAGTAATAATAATAATAATGTGAATTGAGATTGTAATAGATGAACTGGTGGTAATTAAGAGAGTCTCTGAAATGTCAATTAGGCCAAAATAAAGTTACTTGGGTCAGTAGTAACTCAGTAATGAAAAGAGTAATCATAATGCCAATTTAGTTCATAACAAATAATTTGTTAGAATATTACCTATGGGATTATGTCAGTTAGAACAATATAAAGTCAAATAGGTCACTAGTTACTCAAATGTGTCAATAATGCTGATATTAACTCAGTTGTGTGACTAATATATCTGGGAAGTATAAAAAGTAACCACTAAGTTAATTGAGTTCATTTAAAGTCAGTTTGGTGAATAGTAACATGGATTAATAAAAGGAATAGTCAAACTCTTAGCTGAACTTATATGAAGTCGCCTTTGTCAATATTAATTCAAACTTATTGACTGAGTAACAAAATGTTTGCTTCTATAAGGTTGTTTTTGTCAACAATAGCTACACAACCAAAAAGTACTCAGAATATCATATGAGCTTCTATGAAGTTATGTTTTTGTCAATAATTCCTCGAAATAATCAAGAGAGTAATGAAAATGCTTGTTGAACTTTTATTATGTGTATTGTGTTGTTAATGGTTTGAAGTAATTAGAAGTGGAAGCAATTTTATGTCAGTGGTATCAATAATAGCAAGAAGTAATAAAAAGAGTAATTACAAATTGCGATTGTACTTATATCATCTGAACCCATAATCCATAATAAGTCAAAGTGATGATAAAGAGCAAACAAAACATTGATTTAGCTAAAGTCAAGTGCGCCACTAATAACTCGAGCTTACCAAAAGAGTAATCCACATGTCAGTTATGTGACTAGTAACTACAAGTGATCGAAATGGTGATCAATATATCAGTGGTCCCCAACAAAATCTATTTGTATAAATAATTACTCGAATTTATCAAAAGCATAAGCGAAACACAACTTTTACACAGCCATTGAAGACAAAGCATGCATGTAGACATTGTGGATTAAATTGACCGACTCGGGGATTATATCAAGTGGCGCTGGGATTAAACTGAATGGCACTTGAATTAAATTGAATGGCACTTGGATTAAGTTGACCACCATTTGGATTAAAATAAGTGAAAAATCCTGTCGTAGAAAGCTGCCTTCTCGTAAAATCATTGCAAAGTTGCGTAGATTGGGGCTTCTTCGAAAGAGCTGGGCATAGTTTTCAAGGTCAATTTTCATGTGTTTCCTGTCTGCCCGGTCCATCCAAGAATGTTTATAGGCGCTGTAAAAAGGGAAAACTAGATACCGTTCAACAACGGGAGGCACTTATTTGATCAAATGACAATTTAGTGAACGTTGACGTTTCAACGAATGACACTTTAGCGAATAGTCAACCGCCGCAAAGCAGCGTTTACGGGCAAGCCAAGTGGGTTAACATTTTCGTAATAAGCCGCCGCAAACCGTTGCCGCAAAGCGGCGCAATCGCAGCGCGTGGTGCTTACTAACGTGCCCCCATTATTCGCTAAATCGTTGCTGTTCACTAAGACGTCGCTGTTCGCTAAAACGTCGCATTTCTCTAAAACGTCATTTGCTCATGTATGTGATATGGATCCATTGAACCACGATCACCTGTTTGCGAAGTACCTATTTTGCTACAGGTAAGTTGATGAAAACTCGCCTTAAGATTAGTTTTTAATGTTTCAGCATTAATGCGGGAACACTGTTAAGGGGTCTGAACCACCGGAGTACGTTCCGAGCATGTTCATGTTCACGTCGATCTAAGTGCCAGGAACATGGTAATTGTGAATTGCAAAGTAATTGTAAGCCTCCAAAGATGTGGGGTTAATCGCCATTGTGTGAGCAGTAGATACAAGCTGACATTGACCATTATAACTGGTGGCAATCATTGATTTGATATGGGTGATTACGTAACGTGATTCTGCTTGCGATATTTTGTTGTGACATCGAGCACCATAGGTAGTTGCTTTTTTCCCCCTTCCTCTGCAACATGAGTGATGCTGCAACTGAAAAACACGAGCAGAATCGCACTACATGTGGATCAGGTATTAGCATCCGTTATGTGGTGTACATGCAGTATGGATCGCTGTACGTCACATTATCTCTCAGGTTTGCTGTGCAAAAAGCCTTCAAATAAAAACCTGTATAAAACCAACTACTATACAAATCTACCTTTTCAAGGACAAGCCCAGATCCTGCTGCTTTACAAATTTAATCCACCACTGCACATTAAATTCTTCGACACAACGAGGAAAAAGAAATATGTAACACTTCACTGCTACACAGGTTCGCAGCATTGATTGCGCCCTTGCATGCACACGCACCTCTAGGTTCAGTACACTCAAATAAATCTCAAATTTCCCTCTGGGTGCCAGAAAGGTTTGGTGTTTGATTGTTCACTTTTTGTTTCCTCGTCTCCAGTGTATTTTTTTTTTCTTCAGTATGATCAATCACCATCTTGGCTGCGCAATAACCGTCATTTCGTTAAGAACTTGTCGAACAATGATGCATTTCTGCGAGGACTTTACTGGACACTTCTGACTCTCTGTGCGATTTCTTGACTTTGATTGCGGGTGGTGGGACTTCCACTCTGTTCTAAGTAGTGCAGATGTGACACGAGGTCTATGGAAGAGAACCACAGGAACAAATGTTGAATTTGTTGTGAGGTATCACGACAGCATCGTGTCCACTCGTATCGGCAAGTTTCGGCAAAACGGACTTGCTACATTCCTTGGCATTGTCGGACTTGTAGTGTACCATCTCTCTCTTGAAGCTGATAAGCATTTCTGGTAATCTAATGGCTTCATGTCCATTGCATGACCAGTGAGCACGGGAGAGCTCAACAGTGACCTTGTCTCGCTCGGTGCACTTGAGGCTTTGAAGTTTTCCAAGAAGTGAAGGAATTTATAGTCGCTGACAAGGTGACAATACCAGGAAAGAGCTTTGGTAGTCCAACCTCTAGCGCGGGCTTGCCACGTACGACTGTGCTTTGGCGTCTCGGGCGCCTCGAGCGTGCGCACGCAGCCAAAGCACGACGGAAGGCATGAAGCATATGCTGGAGGTTGGACGTTCGAAAGACATGCTTTGCAGTTCTTGTTCTGTCAGTGACTGTAGAAGTGATTGCCAGGGAACGGCAGAACAGTAACGTAGCAGGCGCCATCCTTGCTTCGTTTCCAAAGTTTGGATCCCATAAATTAACTTTCACACGTGTCTCCAAGTTTTGCGATGGACACCTCTAGAAAACAAAGCACTGTTTGTTTGACGCAATGATCTTCAACGTGGCAGATTTAGAAAATTCTCGTTGCTCATAATGTGCACTGTAAAAACACCGTTGTTCACATTTGATAAAAGGAAATGCTGCTCGTTCACACCGTTTTTGTACGGCGGAGTTACTAAATGGTGGCACTCACTGTTCAGGCACTCACTTTTTGTTATTACAGTTGCCGTATGAGGCTTAAAAGCTTAGCTGCACCTTTTTTAAGGGTGGATAATTTAAACGGGGGTTTTCATTGGGCTCGAGCGAGGGGTTCAAAAAGCAGACTTTTCTCAGCTGTGCTCCTTTGTAAAAATATCAAACGGCGCTTAAATAAACAACATATGCAAGCAAGAGACGAACACGCGCAAGGCGCTGACTGTCAACTAAACATTTATTTTAAAAAAAAAAATGTGGAAATAAAATTTTTTTTATGTGTTTTACCTTTTTTATAATTATATGCCAACTTAATACCTTGCCGTACCCCCTTAATTATACAATTAGAAAGAATGGATAAGATAAAGTTATTAAGAAAATTTGTTTGACCAAGCACCCAGCCCCCCCACACCCAATTTTCTCACAATGCTCATAGGCTTCCTTCGAGTGCTTGCTCGGTGCCCTAAAGTTTACAGAGTTTAGATTCAGCATGTGCGCTCTTTGGATGAGGTCAAGACCCCTTTTGCAGCATCTCTACACTTGCCAACCAGATGAAAATGGCAGGGAATTCTTTCGGTTGCCCCACCTCCAGTGCAAGCTTCCTTCCTTCCTTCGACGAGACTTTATCGTCTTGCGAGCCTCGAGCGCGCACGCGCGGCCAAGGTACGGCAGAAGGCAATGTACGCACGCACGCTGGAGGTCGGGCATCCGAAAAGTTGCCGTTCTTGTCCTGCCAGATGCATGAATGCTAACGGCTGTACCCTTTCTATTGGGAGGTAGCTTGTGCCACCTAGCTGTCCGCCATGGCCAGCGACTGTAGCAGGCCGTGCTGCGAGCCTGACGAACCACTTGCTTTGGCCGTCGTTCCTTGCCTCGTAGAGGTGACTGATTCTGTGTTGTCCCTGCACCCAGCTACTGTCACCCTTACGAGTGCGAGATCGAGCACTTCGAGGCCACAGAGGAACAGCTGAAAGTGGAGGAGCAGGTCAGTAACGTCGGCAATCAATCGAAGTGGTGAGAGTTGGTTCACTGCACTATTGGAAACGGCATACAGACAACAAAGACAAGGGAGGTGTGGAGGGGACAAGCGCCGGTACTGCTTATACATTAAAATGAAAAATGTCAAACTAACCATCCTCGTGATAGTGATGTGGATGGTTAGTTCAATGTTTCCTTTTTTTTTTTTATTAAGTAATTGGTAGTAGTTGAGCACTTGTCCCATCTGCCCCTTCCTCGTCCTTGTTGTTTGTGCACCGTTTCTGGGTGTAGCAATTGATCAATCAGTTTTATTTGTGCCTTAGTGGAAGAGCAAGTGTAAATGCTTCAAAAATTACAGTTAGTAAAATATGAGTGGTTTAAAATAAGGTGTATGGAATTTACTAATGAATGATTGTATGAAATGTACAGTAGAACTCTTTAATATATTTTTCGGGATACTGCAGTAAAAAGCACTTACGATCCAGGAGCGCATTGCAATCAATAACATTCCTGGAGAAACTGGGGGGTGGGGGAGGAAGCCATTGGTGAGGCAGGAAGCAAGTCTCATACCATCTATTTCATGTGGACATAATTTCCTGTGCCTGCCATATTTATTCATATATAGGTCGACAGGCTCTTATTGTTACGTTTCTTTAAAATTAGTGGTCGCTCGTGAATGTGAATCCCTTTGTCTAGTTCAAGGTCATGCCTACCCTATCAAAAAAGACAGTGAAAAGAAGTAGTAGCAGTGCAAAAGGAAGTGTGCAGCCAAGGCCAAGTGCTCAGCTCCTCATGTTGGCCACATTGGATGGCAGTGTATATTTTTGTTTACCTATTTGTGCACATTTTTGTGTATAATTGTGTGCATATTTGTGTACATTTATACATTTATTGCTTTCTGGCAATATAATGCCCTGTGGGCACTGCAGGAAAAATTAAGTAAATAAATGAAACTGGTGTTTGCCAAAGTAACAATCGGCAAAAAATGTAAATTCGGAACATGCCAACAAGTTTCCTCCGTTTGCCCGAAATAAATGCAACTTCAACGAACCCAGCACTTGGGGCATTCACAAAACGGCGGTGTTTGTAGTGGAGTTAAGTGCGGAAACATAATAGCAATAATTCATCTGGCCTCTTGGGTATCTTTCTCGTGTCTCCACTCAAGAACACCATTCAAGACCGAGATGTGTGCGATTTTGTCGACGTAACAAATTAGGAATCGCTATTTTGTGCACGTGGGCATCGTGCAAGAGAGGTTTTACAAACATACATAGTGTTGTGGATAAGCAGGGAAGGAATACCTAGTCACTTACAAAGTGAGAACGGCAGGGAGGAGTTCAAGTTGCTCTGCCTCCAACCCAAGCCTCTTGCTTTGCACAATTCTTCGGCGTTTCGTGCACCTCCAGCTTGTGAGTGTGAATGCAGCCAAAGCATGGCAGAAGGCATGGAGCGCATGGTGGGGGCGGGGCATTCAAAAGATGCTCCCTGCCATTCTCATTCTGTCAGTGACTATCAGCAAGAACTATCGCAGTCTTAAGCTTTTTTTGTGTAGACTGTTGACACATCTTACTTTGTTGTTGTTCTTAGCAGATGGTGCCATTACCCCTGGAGGAGACGCCCTATGTTTTTGTGGAAACGTTGGAACAGCTGCAGCATATGTGCACCGACCTGGGCAAGCAGACGGAGATTGCCGTCGATTTGGAGGTGGGTGTTTTCTGGTTCTTGTTCTCGATGCTCTACGTAGCAGGCAGTCCAAATTTTTTTAATATTGTTCCATTCCTTTCTCCTGCTAGTTTCTTTAAAGACTTCTACTTTTCTACGGACAGCTGAAAGTTACGACAGACCTAACGAGCCTATTTGTTGACATTCATATAAAGAGAGCCCCACAATGTGTACAGGTTATGTGTGAATTTGTAGTGAAACTGACAAATGTCAGTGTAAATTGGAGAGTATAATTCTCTAGATAGCGATCAGATGTAGATTCAATGTGCTGTCAATAGGTGTTGGATACAGATGCATCTTCTTGGCTTGCAGATTAGGTGCGGGTGTCAGACAATTTGAAAGCGTAATGCTGCTGCTGCTCAAAATACTAACTGCTATATGATCTCTCAATGGCGCAAAGTCTGTCTCTTCAAGGAGTCAGCAATTGCCCCGCTGCATAAAACTGAAATATGTTCCTCACTTATTTTATAAAAATAATTTGGGTGTGTTGCGAGTTCATGGAGCTCTAAAATGTGTTTCATCCTCCAATGCGAAGCAGTACTCCAGGCTCGGTCAACGATTATTGAGTGGTCTTGGTGCCTCGTCTTGCATGGTTGTTTCTTTGCCAAGTTACACTTTCTGTCATTGGTTCAGCCCATGTGATGCTTTTGGTGACAGGTCGTAAACGCCAAAAACGCAAGATGAATAGCCTTTGAGAATGCTTTTGTGGCTTGAATGCACAAGGACCAGATTCTCAGTTCAAGCTTAAAATTTGAAGCATTAAAAAAAAAAAAAATTGAATATTTTGGACCATGATTTTAGCTAACTCTAGGTAATATCTGCAGTTACACTCTAAATGCGAAAGTCATTTTGCAAATATAAGGTCTTATTCAAGACAAGTTTGCACTTGACAGTAAACTCTCACTTGAGCAAACATTGGTTTAACAAATATTTCAGAATAATGAACTTTAAAAAATAATATGGCTGTTTTCCTATGCATAAATGAAAAACGAATTTCGGAATAGCGAATATTTCAGTTCAACGAACTTGATCGGTGGACCCAGGATTATTTCTGCACTCAGTTCAACCAAGTTTTGTGCTCTGTAGTGCTGACGTAGCCAGTGCCTGCCGCCCTGCCGCCGCCTCTGCAGCGGCGGCGTATTATCACTGGTATTTATAGCACCGCCTAAGCAAAGCGGTGGTGCGGTAGACGAGAACGAACCACGTGGTTTTTTCTGTTTTTTCTTTGTCATCGGTTCCGTTTGGCCGTCTTAGTTTTGGGTAACAACAGCAGGACAGCAGTTTATGCGTCCATTTTCGTAATGAGTACGATGAAACTTAAGCGGTTGTCTCTATTAGACAAGCTCAAAATCCTTCAGCGTCTTGACAACAGTCAAAGGCAAGTGGACGTTGCAAAGAACTATGGGATTCCACTGTCGACGTTGTCAACAATAGTGAAGCAAAAGTCGAAGCTTGAAGGAGAAACTGCGTTAAATCCCATTAGGAAACGACTCTGCATGGGATATTTCAAGCCAGTGGATGATGCCGTTGCGATATGGCTTCGTCGCAGCAACAAGCTGTGCCAGAGGAAGTGTAAAAAAACATAGACTCTCTGGACAGCTTTGTTATGTCATGCACTTTAAGAGCGCCGGTGCAAATGAAAATTACAAATTTTTTTTCAAAATGAGAAAGGCAGCAACGTAACTGCTATGCACTTTGTATATGTCGATGTACATGACTCCATAAATTGCATTTCGCACTTTTGACTGTATGTATGCTGTGCCCTATGCTATTCCATGTTCTAGTGCAGTGGTTCTCAAATAGGGGTGTGGACCCTTTGCAGTCCGCGAAGGCATTCGAGGGGTCCGTGATACCCTGCCTCATCAGTCCAGCCCGGCAATAAAAGTTGTCTTTTTTCAGGTCGAGAAGAAATATTTCAATTTTAGGGCGAGTTTTCTCATGCGTATGTAGATATGAGAGGTCTACTGCACATTAGCCCTTAGTTATATCCATTGATTAAATCGTTATTACATACCTTTCCCCTCCCTTCACTGCGAACGGGGTTCTCCATCATCTCTGCCTATCCACAAGGGGTCCACGAAACACCGATGGTTGAGAACCACTGTTCTAGTGAATATATTCAATTTGGTAGACTTTCACGGGTCCCTTGAAGTTCGCTCAAGTGAGAGTTTACTTTATTTGGAGCTCTACATACAGGTGATTTCAACGCCCAACACCAAGAGTGGGGCCACCAAAAAATGAACACCAGGGGCTTACGAACCCAGGAAGCGGCATATGCAGCCTGCTTAACGCTTGCCACTGATCTAGACTATCCAGCACACTGCAGCCTTAGAGCAGACCAGCAAGACACCATCCCAGTTCTAACTTGGGTGGACGAGGATTTGGTGATGGAATGGCGATGCAGGCCAGATCTCATGGGTTCAGACCACTACCCTATCTCGCTCGAGCTGGCCATGGGCAACTGCACTGCACGTTCGCGTCAGACCAAGGCAGTCAAATGGGACGCGTTCCGGAAGCCGATGGCCGAATATGAAGAAGGTGTCCCAACCACACAATGACTCAACTGGGCAGCACAGGCGGCTACGCGGCACATAGAAGTTGCCCAGACAATCCCGACCCCGGACAAACATCTGGTCAACCCATGGAAGGCACACGAGCGTCTACAAAAAATCCACCTGTCGAACGGTTGACGATGCAGGGATCTCCTCCGGGTACGCAACTAGGCAGCACAGGCCCGTCTGTATGCCAAACGGCTATCCTGTTCGATGCGGTACAAGCGCTGCGAAACTTTCGACGAGCACACCAACATTCACAAATTATGGCAGACCCGTCAAGCGATGTCTAGTAAGTGTGAGACTCCAAACATTGCGCGCAACATACAACTAGCTACCGACCTGACACCAGAAGAGCTTGAAGAAGTCGCTGCCAAGGCGTTCTTTCTGCAACCTACCACTGTGCCAGACCCAAACCTCTACGAACGACGGCAAATGGCTAGTGATCAAGGCCCCGAAGCTCCTTTTACCATTCAGGAACTTACCATGGCCCTAGAAGACGCCAACAGGCACAGTGCCCCGGGCAAGGACGGCATCACTTAGAAAATGCTTTGCAATCTCAACGAGCAGGAGAAGCTCAAGCTGCTGGGCGAGATGAACGATATCTGGCGGAACGGTGACATCGCGGCAGCCTGGAAACATTTGGTTGTCTACCGCATTCCGAAACCGGGCAAGAAGCTGAACAGCATCAGCAACCTGCGACCAATTTCGCTAATGTCAACACTTTGCATGCTCCTTGAGCGCGTGGTGTTGATTCGGCTCACCTACCACCTCGAGGAGGAGACTCCCGGCTTCTTCGATGCGGCCCAGACCATCTTCCATTCTGGCTTGTGCACGCTGGACAGCCTTCTTCTGCGCAGGTTGGTAGGAGGTGGACGTCGGGGCCGACTCAAGACCCTTGGCATGCTGGTGGCAGTGGATCTAAAGAGGGCTTTTGACACGGGGGTGCGCTTGGCGATGTTGACGGCTTTGGAGGGGGCCGGGGCCGGCACAACAATCGCCAACTTCATGGTTGTTCCTAGCGGCCCGTGCATTTGAAATCAGTTCCGGCTTGAAACAACCCAAGACCTTCCCGAACGCCAGAGGAGTATTGCGAGGCGCCATCTTGTCACCTGTTCTTTTTTAACCTAGTGATGAGGGGACTTGAGGTAGAACTACGAAAGATCCCGCACCTCAGCCTGACATCCTGTGCGGATGATATCACACTCTGTGTGGACCCCAAGGGCACACCATGCAATGAGCTTTGGGCACCGTCGATCGCTACCTACCCTTCACCAGCATGAAGCCATCCCAAGAAAAGACCAGCTTCCTTATTTTGGGTGGTCACGACGTCGAACAAGCTAAGGTCTACCTCATCATGACCGGAGACCCCATTTCTCGGCCGTCCGAAGGGTGGGTGAGGATCCTCGATGTTCCACTAAGTCAGGTTTACAGACCAAAAGAATGAATCCGACAACTCGAGACAACATGGCGCCAGCGACTCCACTTGATTTGCCACATAGGCAACCGTTTCGGCAGGGCCGGCGCGTGCACCATCAAGACGCTGTGCTACCATCACATCCAAGGCCTGTTACGGAGCGGCGTGTTTTGCGTTGAACCGAACACACTACAAGCAGTTAGAAGTTCTACACTTTGAATGCTTGCGAGCCATGACCAGCCTACCAAGACATACCAGGATTGAAGAACTCTATAGGTACTCCGATCTTCCACCCCTCGAAGCCTTCATCGAGGTACGCAACGACGGCCACTGCTACGCCGGCAGAGCACAGAGGCGGGGAGAGGACTCCTCGTTCTCGTCCCGTACCCATCACCTCCAGACACACCCCAACTTCCACGACTACTGGTACCGTGGTGAGATGTCCTTCCTCTCCAGGAAATGCAAAATCCAGGACCACCAGGCCGAGCGCAGGGCACAGGCATCTCAATCAGATGAAAAATGCAGTGTTTACAGATGCAGCCTGGGACGCCACCACCCGAAGGAGCAAATTAGCAGTAACCTCACCACTTTGGAACTGCAAATGTGTACCCCAATATGACTGCCAACCAAGCTCAAACCAGCTCGAACTCCGCAATCTTTTGTGCAGTACTCACAGTGCACAAAGAGACGCGTCAGGGACTATGGCAGGTGTGTGAACGTGTTGTCATTCACACACACATAGCAGGGAAGCCATTAACCGACTTGGCAATACCCCTCGGATTGGGACACTCATCCACAGTATCAAGAGCACGAGCCTCACGCTTTATGAGCACCACAGAGTGGAGGTGAGGGTCGACTAGGTGCCGGGACACGCGGGCGGCATCGACAACGAAGCCCCGCACACGTTGGCGAGCGAGGACGACCGCTCTGTCCTGGAATCATAGATCGTGCCTGCAACAGACGACCCCGATTCGGCCACCCGCATTAGTGGGGCCAAGCAGGACTGAAGACACACTTTGAAGGAGCAAATACCAGTCAGCAACTACCCGTTGCAGCAGCGACTACTGCGTGGCGCCCAGATTCTGATCCATAAAACACTTGCGGGAGCCTCGCTCACAGAGGACATCCTCACCAAATGGCGAACCTACTGGAGATGCACACATCAAACCCCTGTTGACAGCGAGGACGATGAACCACAAGAGGGAACCAAAGCTACCCGAACAGTCACGTGCTCGACGTGCACGACGGGGGGCTGGCCAACCGTCGAACACATGCTATGGTTATGTCCTGGCTTTCATTGCCTGAGGAATCAATACCTCCAGCCTCATGTCACATCTCTGCAGGAACGGAGCACCTCTGGTGACGACAATCGAGCCCATGACACTCTGCTTTCCCTCTGGGAATCTTCACGCGAGGCGGGCATTGTCCGTTGCTAGTGACAACAATTTTTATTACGCTCCTTTCATTACCTAAGCCAAAGTGCCATCCCCCTTTTAATAAAAATTTTTTAATTCAATTCAATAACATGTATTGTATCACCCTTCCTACTGTTGTAGCTTATTGTGTTCAATTCGGTTGCCTTCGGTTTGCAGGTGGGATGTACAATATGTAGACCATTCCCAATATTCCTTCTGCTGTAAAATGATGTAAGGGCTAGTACCTGAACCACTTGAGCTGGAAGTTTTCTCAAAGGTGTAGTTTACAGTGATGTGATTGCTGCGCCAAACTTCGCTAAGGGGCTAACCCTGCTACATCCTGCTACATTTTGCGGAAATATGGGTAATCTGCGCCAAACCTGCTCCAAAAAACCAATTTCGGTCGCCTTTCAAAACCGAAACTAAACTGAGTGCCGTGATTGAGCATGTGTGAGCTAGGTGGTGCAAGCGGCCGCCCTACACAAAGCACCCTGCATCAATTGTCCATCCGGTCTTGCATGGTTTTCCTACCGTCTCGCGTTCTCGTCGTGTAAAGTCTCGTCTCGCGTCTTTTTTTTTTTTTTTTATATTTTCAACGATAGACGTGGGTGTGTGCGGACGGTCCGACGCTAGCGTGCCGGGTACCAGCCATGCCACCATGCTGTGAAACGAAGGCACGTTTTTGTGCGGCAGGAGTCACTTTATGAGCTGAAGCACTCGCTCCTGAAAGCAACGGTTGTGAGAAAACTATATTTGGTCCCTGCCTTCCAGTCACTGTGGTCGCGCGACGTCAGATCTTGCCTTCCCCACATAGCTGCAGATATGGCGCTTTCTAAAATGAAACTAAGTACCGCCGCATGTTCATCAACGTTCCTTTTCTTGTTTTAATCATACGTTACTAAAGAAATCCCTCTTTAACTCAAAGACTGTTGTGTCGAAGTATTAATTACCTAGGTTTCTCTCGGTGGGCTTGCTTTCGAGAGGTACCCCGCTACTTGAAAAATCTGCCGTGAAAGGAAGTTGTTCAAGAGAAGTGAGCTAAAGCAAGGAAGGCAATGCCTGCACGCTGAACCCGCACAGCGCGCTTGTTTGTCTCAAGTTCAGTCATTGCACAAAGCGCTCCAAGAACAATTTGACTGTGGCTCGCGATGTCTTGCGCGTCGATGTGCTCAGGTTCTTTTTTTTGTGTGTGTTTGTGGGTGTGTGTATGTTTAGCTCGTACTACCTTGTTTGCCGACATGGCAAGCACGTGCCGCTGGACCGTTTTTTGTCCTCTGCTCGACAGTTAAGGCTGGTTCACACATTTGCAACAGTTGCGTTTGTATGGAAGCGAAACGACTGTAACAACCAAAACAACTGTGACTCGTGGATTGCTTCGCGGAGCTACCCCTTGTATCGCTCGCCATGCTGTAACACTTGTCCCGGTGACTTTGTTGTTACGGTCGTTTCCGTTGCATGCGAACGCAGCCAACACAGATGTGTGAACCAGCCTTTACATTTTGCGTAGAATTTTGGGAATCTGTTGGCGACAGAGCAGAGTGGCATGATTTTGGTTTCGATCGAACAGCCGTTGTCTCCGCTCGTGCGACGAAGCGCACGCAACTGCAAGCCTACCGAAGTTGCCCTCACGTGCCTGCAAACATGATAGCACGACAGAGGCACCAGCAGGACGCTTGCAATGCATTGTATTATGTTTGCTTACTTCTGACGAAAATCTGGCACGTCGGGAACCGGTAAAACGGTGGCAAGCGGTTTTTCGGAATTGCTTGGCAATGCCTACGGCACTGTACACTTGTGGGATGTCTCAGCAGTAAAAACACATGCAGCGAGTTCGTTCGTCACATCAGAACACAACACAAAGTGCCCTTTGCCTGTACAGCACCTAAAACAAATATTTTTATTTTGCTAAGAATATCTGCTCTAAAAGCCACTTTTGCTGCTCCAAAACACTGTCTTGGCTGCTCCAAAAGCCACATTTGCTGCTCCGAAACACTGTTTTGGCTGCTCCGAAAGGTGCTCCAAATTGGCTTAAGCCAATCACATCACTGAGTTTAGGACTTTGCTAGCTCTGTAAAAGATGAGAATGAAATGTTTGCAATTCTCAGCAGCAGGCAGTGTTGAGAGCAGATTGGAATTATTGTTTGCTGTTGCTTTTGAGAGATGGTGCCACACGTGTCGTCTGTTTCTGTTTCAGTTTTTTTTATGTGTCCCAGAGATTGTAATGGTGCTGACTGCCAGGTTTCTGTTGTGTGCACAGCACCATTCTTACAGGACCTTCCAGGGCTTCACCTGCCTGATGCAGATCTCGACCCGCAGCTCAGACTATGTGGTGGACACCCTCGCCCTGCGTCATGAGTTGCATCTGCTCAACGAAGTCTTTGCCAACCCCAAGATCATCAAGGTAAGATGTGTCTGCCTCACTAACCTGCTCATTTCGTGCCACTTTAAATGCTGCCTGAACTTTATTTTCAGTGCCACCGTGGGCCTAATGGCTGCATTTATCTGCTAGAGGGCTATTTCTCTAGTCCATTCCTTTGCAGACCCTAGCACGCCCTTTAATGTCAATCTTTGGGCCACATCGTTGTAGGGACTGCGGGTAAATCTCAATTGGCAAAACAGTAAACTTAGCAGCATTCAGTTAGAGTAAATTTTAATGCGTTTGTAACAGTGTGTGCAGAAATCGGAAGTTGTTTCATCATGTGCATATTGTGGCCTTCTTTGCTACCCAAAGGTTATGCCTTGTCAAACCCACTTCATAGCTCTCTACATTTGCAGCTATGGTGAGTCTGTCCGATGACTGCGGGTAGATTCTGGGGGAGGGGGAAGGGAAGGGAAGGGAAAGGAAAGGAAGGGAAGGGAAGGGAAGGGAACGGGAAGCAAGCAGCAACAGAGTAAGTCTGTGAAAGACACTTCGATTGAGTGTTTTGCCAACATGCTTTCCCGAAGGCAAACAAAGTCCGAGATAATGGCGCTGCCTCAATAGGCATATCCCGAAAGGGGGAGGGCCATGAAAAGAATGCCGAGGTCAGTCGTGGAGAGCCTCTCCCGGCGAGAGTTCCTGGTCGTTGTTTCGGGCCGGCTAATGTTGCTCGCGGGAATGGACGTGGTCTGTGGCTGACGGTAGTCGGTTGACTCCCCAGAGGGGCGGACATGCCTAAGTGAGATTGTTCTTGAAGGGTGTTCTGGTGGCATATCATCCAAGAGGGACGAGCGAGCACCGTCCTCAAGGGCGTATGGTCTTGTCTCGCATCCTGATTGCTCCCTGACATGGTGGCCCCCTACGTCTGCCTAACTACATGTGTGGAACACTCCTTAGCATGTGCATTACCATTCACAAGGTCTGTAGGTTTCTACACTGCTTTATTGCATTAGTGCCGAGACCAAGAGGGGTTCCTTGGCCATCGGTCAAGAGAGATACCGTATTTGCACGAATATAACGCAAGTTTTTTTCTTCGAAATTACGTGCTCCAAAACGCTCCTCGCGTTATATTCGGAATCGAGTTCAGCCACGAGGCGCGCGAGCCTGGAGAAAGCCAGAGGAGAAAGCCATCCTTCCGGCTCAATGCTAGATATCCGGTGGGAAAAGCAGTGGGGGTGTGGAAGGGAATTTATTAGCTATTGGGCCACGTGAAGGGGAGAATAGAAAACATAAAAAAGCATTTTTATCGCTTTTGTGTTTGTATAACGCGCGCACGCCGCAGAAACTCGGCGCTTGTGCGTCATGCGGGAATGCGGGCACTGGCCATTTCGAGCCAATCCAAGCCGGGCCGAGTCAACACAAGCCAAGCCAAGACCACCAACCGCGTTTACGCAATCGTGGAACATGAGGCATTTGTTTATGAAGAGGGACGAGAACAAGAAGTGTGATCGTGTATCGGATTCAGTAGTCTTTTTTCTGCCTGCGCATTGTTTAGTTTCTGCTCCAGAGTGATCTGGGCCGGTTTTCTCGAAGCGATGGTAAACCCATTTTGGTAAACCACGGTGCCTAGGAAGGGAAAAGTACCTAGGTACTGTAATAAACGGCTGGATATAGAACAACAATAATTATTTTTGATTGGGCAATAAGATGCGTCATCTATTGGTGAAACAAGCCAGTCATTTTGTTTATCATCTTTTTCCGCTGGTTGTCATCGATCTAGCATGGTATTTTAAGTCAAAATATAGTAATGTTGTACTTGAAGACCAATTTATTTGCTTCACATGGTACGAAGAAATTTTAGCTGCTATGCTAGAGTTTGTCGAGGAATATTCGAAAGTTTAAGAAACATTTCCTTCGATATGTTTCGCCATAAACAACGCATAACTTTCCCGTGCGCCTTCCAGTCTGGCAACGCCGGTGCTGTAGTCTCATTTGTGTTCCTTGCAATGCACGTTTCTGTGATTCCTGCTGATCTCAACTGTTTGCCCAACCGATCCACCGGTGACGAGAAGCCGTTAAATTGGCCATCGGGGATATGTAGAAACCTCGATGCTGTCGGCATACTGTCGGCGCACTGCGAACAAAAAAACAGTACAATGTCTCAGCTGTTCACCCGGAACGAAGACTTTATTGAGGATAACCCCCTTTCTCCGCAAAGTAATCGCTGCTTACGAGTTGGCGTGCATTGTGTATCTAATTAAACGTCTTAGTATAAATATGTACCAACACTCGTTCGCAAAACGTTTTTTTTTACTCACCATAAAAACACTTGCAAGGCTTATGTACCGTCATATGTCTTGGATCCAGGACTGCTGAAGAGTGATGCGTTCGCGGAATGCTGCCGTCGGTTAGTTTAGTAGTCCCTCTGAACTATCGCTTTGCTTGACGTGCTAATAGGTTGATGGTGAGTCATTAATATAACAGCCAGATCGAAATGAATGTTCAGCAGAACCAAGCCCTCATTACGCGACGCCGCGGCCATTTCGCTTCTAGGTACTGCTTCTCCCTCGGCGCCCCTGCTCTCCTAGTCACGTGACCTGGAATTCCCCCTTCTAGGGACAATAGTTAACTTTAAACCACGGTTCGCATTCGAGAAAACGGGCCCTGGTGTTTGTGTGTTGGTGCTTCTGCTTCGTGCCTTGTTTGGATTGTGGGCTGCCGAGGAGCTCGCAAGAAAAGAGAACCACCAGACAAGCAGGTGCCGTGCTGCTGCTTATCTGCGTAGTCGCCAAGTGGATTGTAAACGGAAGGACCTGAACAGTGAGGATGAGTGTAGTCAAAACATAAACTGATATTTCTTCTATTTCCATTGACTTTTCACATCTGCCATGCCCCCGAGTGCGAGAAATTGGCGCGGCCTTGGTTCGCGTTATAATACATAGTAATAATATTTTGTTTTCTTTTTGAGGGCATCAAAACCGGCCCTCGCGTTATATTCGTGGTCGCGTTATATTCGTGCAAATACGGTAGGTGTTCCTTGAGATGGATAAAGCTCGAGAGCCCCTGCCCCACACAATGAATGGTGACCAGCAAGCCAGTATCGCGAGTGTTTTTTCTGTCGGTGAGAAGCACCTTTCGACTGTCCTCGGAAATCCTCTACCTCTAGTGACAGGGAAGCGGCTGACTTGGATTGGACCATGCACCGTCACCGGAGTGTAGGATATATATATAGGCATGGACGCCACGTTCGTCGCAGCAGCCAGATAAAGCCCTCTCCTCGCCTTGGTTGCAAGCGGCGCCACCAAATAGCTTCTTGATGTGCGGCTAACGGCATCTTGTCGCAGGCCCGGTTTCCCACGCTTCTCTGTGGGAGACACGCTCATTTATAAAGTCGTCTTCTGGGTGTACTTCATTAGGTAGAACTTGGCTGTTGCACTATAGATGTTGCTTGGACACAGCTTCATCATTTACCTTATTTTTGTTCCTCATTGACGGTAAGATCAATTTTATGAACATGTCGAAGGGGAAGGTTTTTTGGCACTGTGTTCGAGCCATCATCCGTCGAGGTTGGAGCAGACGTACCGAGCAGAAAGTGTGCGCACCCGGGTGGCACGGCAACGAGACACTTTTCTTTATTTCTTTCTCTCCCAGTTGTGGTGCCCGGCATGTGGACATGCTGTCGGCAGTGGTCGCTCAGATGCGTGGCAATAGGACTTCGTTTAGGTCCCCACCTAAAGAGCGTCTCATACTCAGGTGCTGCACGGGGCGGACATGGACGTGCTGTGGCTGCAGCGCGACTTTGGCCTGTACCTGGTGGGGCTGTTCGACACAGGCCAAGCGGCCAGGGTACTGGGCATGGCACACCTGTCCCTCGCCTTCCTGCTGCGCCACTACTGCCACCTTGACACCGACAAAAAGTTCCAGCTGGCTGACTGGCGCATACGGCAAGCCTCTCCCAATATCGGGGCAGTATCCGGTCGTCACCGACGCTATTGGATCTTTGCCGTCGGGGGTCCGCCCATGGGTACCACCGTGCAACGGAGAAGATCTTCGACTGTGTTTAATCTTTGGGGTGGTCACGCTCTGTAGTCTCTGACAGATAGGAAACGGCAGGGAGGAATTTCAGTTGTCGCACCTCCAGCGTGCACTTGCTACCTTCGATGGTGTTTGGGCTTCTCATGAGCCTCAAGCATGCATGCTCGGCCAAAGCGCAGCAAAAGGCAACGACTGCGTGCTGGAAGCCGGGCGTTCCAAAGAGACACCCCGTTCTCACCCTGTCAGTAACTAGAGGAAAAAAATAATGTTTTTTTTTTGTAGGTACAGATTCACTACTAGTCATGTGAGACGCATCACTCCATGCCAAGCTACAAGGCATGACGGTGTTGCATCTTAATCTTGCATGACTCGACATGAGAAGCCGTGTCTTGTGGCATCACAATATCAGCACCGTCGTAAGATCTAGTAACATAGAGTGTCAAGCGGCGGCGTAACGTCCCGTCACGCGTCCACCATGCGTTGCGTCAAGTCGTGCGACATTGCCACATGGCGTCGCGTCGGGTGTCTCGGCGCAGTGTAAGGTGGCATCAGGTAATGTCGGGCTGGCACTCTCGAAGGAGCTCCTCGATCTTTGTGTCCTGCCCAGGCCCCTGCCCCTGGAGATGATCAAGTATGCGAGGGAGGATACCCACTACTTGCTGCACGTCTACGACCTGATGAGGCGGGACCTGCTGGCCAAGGGAAACCAGCTCAACAACCTGCTCCACTCCGTGTTCCAGCGCAGCAAGCAGGTCTGCCTCAAGGTCAGTGGCCGTTTCTTTGGGCATTTCCTTTGCTCGCAGGTTTATAGTTTGCTTCGAAGTTGGTTGCCCAGTTTTAATCGTTTAGTTAAAGTTCACAAAAAATGCAGGGTGAATTGTTTGCTTTTAAATGTTTTTTGTACACGCTGTAGTCGTTGACAGTTCACTGACACCCCAAATGTCGTACTTTTTTTTATTGTCTAAAACGATGCAAGTTGCAGTCATTGACACGCAAAAAAAAACGCATCGTGAAAAAAAAATTTCTTGCGCGCACGCGCGCCTTTTTATTTTTGCTGTTTGATTTTCCCGCCTCCCGCCTCCTCGCTTCTTTTGATTCGTGACATTAAGAATCATAAAATTTAGAAGCTTTGTAGGCGACATTTCTATAACATTTAATAACGACAATCGTAAAACATGTTTTTTAACGCAGTTGCGAACGCACTACGGCCCTTCTTTTTGAAATACCAAAAATCGGAGTTCGTTGTGGTGCCGTCTCCTGGATTTGTATCCTCCAACGGAAAATAAGCGACACCGCTCAAAACCGGTCCGCCGGCGCTTGCTCGTTCCCTCCTCGCTTTGGGTCGCCATGGCAACAGCAGGGAGTCGTGAAAGAAAGTGGACTCTCAGGGCTCCGCAATATTTGACGTCAACGCACCGGCGCGGATCGCGCGGGAACTTCGAATTCGGCATTTGGAAATTGTTTTTTTACTTTTGAATTCCCAAATTTCGAATTTTGAGGTTAATGTCCTGGCATCGTTTTTAATGGTTTCGGATAATGAAAAAATTATAATTTTGATGTGTCAGTGCCCCTTTAAGGAACACAGGGCTTGGTGAGTTCCAAGCGTCTTTTAATTGCTCCACAGCCAATGAGTTTGCGACACTAGCTGATAACATCGCTAAAGAATGGATCACGAACAAAAGAACCTGCAAGCAATAAGCCTCGCCTGGCATTCCTTTAGTTGCCAGTGACTATTTATATAACAACACAGACTAAAATGTCACCGGTTAGAAGTTTGGTCATTTAAAAGGGATAAGAATGATAGCCAATCGTCCTGCTGTACCGTAAACTGCAGCATCCGCAATAACCTGCGAGTAGGAATGTTTTTCAAAAGATGTGGTGTCTACCGTAGCGACCAGTTTGAACAAGTAGCTTTTTTTTTGGTAGAAGTCTGTGCTACCAAGTCGTGCAACCTACAGCAACCAGAATGGAGGAAATGTGCCTCATTATAACTCCTCTTTTGTTCAAAAAAAAATATGTATATAGATAGATATATTTTTTTGATTGTTGACTTTAAATTAGCTTGTAAAATTTTTGTTTATGAAAGAGTGCAGGCTTGAAAAGCAAAACTAACTTGTTTTTAATGTCCTCCATAGAATTTCAGGCTTTTGAAATCATGAAAGATTTGTCTAATATGCTGGGAGGTCCGGAAGTTCATTTATTGTCATGGAAGTGTAATGCTAACCTGGTCATTTGCTCCTCATTTGTAAGTTTACTTATTCAGTACTTTTAAAAAATGTTGATGCATTTCTTCAGGTGATAAATCTATTTTTTATAACACTCATAGAATTTCTCAGGTTATCAAGGTGTTCCTGAACCACCTTGATGATATCATCTCCGTCCTTGTAGGTTTTTATGCATGCATGGGAGCTTGCTTTTGTGGAAAAGCTAAAAAGCAGCTTAGTACCAGATCAGGATAAAGAGGTGGAGCTTGGACCATATTGACACTCAAGGCCCCAATGAGAAGGATCATCTTTGTCGCACATGAATGACCGACGAAACAATTTTTGGGAGTGTAAGGCAAAATATATTACTCACTGCTTGAAGAAGTGTGTTAACATTAGTGGCACTGTTTAAAAGGACTGCATATGTAAGTGTCCACAGGAAAAAAAAGAAAGGACAAAGTGTATATAACATCCCTGTTAAATTGGCTGGACTTTTTTTTTAACCCTTCCACATAGTAAACATATCGCCGTTAGATTTATATTTTCTCAAATATTATTCTTTGCCAAAAGTAAAATTAAAAAAAACTCGTACCCCAGTTGGTACAGTGAACGACATGGATCTAAACAGCATTCAGCTAAAAGTCAGAGCTGTGCTTCACAAACTCCTCTCGTTGCCATCTTCGTCGCACCGTTTTCATGCTTGGGAGAATGCCGTGAGTGGGCCTTGAACCATTTCATACGCTTCTTCACACATTATATGCATACGCTTTTCTTGATTGGGTGAACAAATGCACTTGGGCATCTTGGTTACGAGAGTGGCCATCATAGCCACGTAGTGCTACCAAACGCTTCTGTTCAAGTGTTGCCTGGCTGGCTGCTTGCAGGAGTGTGGGATTCTATGGTTACTGACAAGATGAAAAGAACGGAGTATCTCCTTTAGATGTTCTGCCTTCAGTGAGATTGTGCACATTCTCATGAGACGCTGAAGTGTTTTCGAAGGTAGGCAACTCGCACTGGAGGCGGGACAATTGAACAACCTTCCTGCCATTTTCATCCTATCAGGAACCATAACTCTAATCGGAATTGTTTGAGCAAGGAAGACTGGCATTTTTTCTTTCCGCAGCGGTATGAAAAGCCACTGTACACGGAGGACAGCTACCTGGAGCTGTACCGCAAGAGCAAGAAGGCCTTCAACAGCAAGCAGCTGTACGCCCTGCGGCACCTGTACTCGTGGAGGGACCGCATATCGCGCCTGGAGGATGAGAGCACGGGGTATGCTGGACGTTTTGTGGCTTTTTGGTTGGGGCCAATCAATCGTACAGAAAGGAGCTAGTGTAGATTAACATAAAGGATCTAGAAATGACAAAGTGCTGTGTTTAAAAGCTGTTTTTTTTTTTTATTATTATTATTAAGAGTTTTATTGTGCAAAAGAACTTTTGTACAAGAGAAATTCACACCGCTAGAGAAGGCAGCCTCAATAGCCTGCCCTTTCCCTAGCTTTATGTCAAAGTGATTTTTTTTTTCTAGGTATGTGCTGCCAAACCACATGATTCTGCAGATTTCGGAGATCCTGCCGAGGTGAGTTTTTCACACCAGATCGAGGGCGGTTGCTTAATATGGGTGAAGCTCTGAGCAGAGCAGCTGAGTATCCTGGAAGTTCAGCTGTCGTGTGCTCAAGTATTACGTAGCTTCGACTTTAAAAAAAATATGCTAAAAATATGTTTATGTCTTTACAGACAGCCATACGACATTGTGTCATGGTTTCTAAGGTGTTGTTTTCTTTCTTTGTGGTCTAGGGAGCAGCAAGGCATCATAGCGTGCTGTAACCCATGCCCCCCTCTGGTTAGACAGAACCTGAATGAACTTCATTCTATCATTCTCAAGGCCAGGGACACTCCACTCAACCAGAAGGTGAGAATCCCTGGTAGAAGGCAGGTTTTGAGACCCCTTCTGTAAGGTTGCACGGGTAAAACTAGTGTGTTTTCACTCGAAAAGCACCGGGCATCCACGAGGAAATCGCGCCCTGTTTTTCGCAGTTTTTGACGGTGGACCTCGGTACACTTTTTCCATTATAAGTCCCCCGCTTGAATCTGTGCCCTGATGACGTCATGAAAGTCATTGGGCTAGAGCTTCGTACGGAGCTCCAGCCCAACGACTTAAGCTTGTGAGCAGCGTTGGGGCCCGAGGAAGTTCAAGGAGGTTTGTACAATGCGGCGACCTTGGCTCGTGAGCCACATTGGGGCCCGAGGAAGTTTGTGGAATCATGGTTTATCTGCCGTGACCCCAAGGCGTGCCACACAAACCGGGGCCCCCTACTAGACGTTTACGGGGGCTTGTTGGGTTAGAGTCGACTGGTTCTGACTCTCCCCACCACCGGGCCAGTTCATGTGATGATGCCACCTGGATAGGTGGCGAAACGTTTGTGTTGTTATTTTTTGTTGTTGTGTTAAGGCCAGAGTAAACTTATTTCATTATTTTCTGAGTATATATACTTGTACTTTACTTAAAGTATTCTGGTACTTCTTTAGGAAAATACAACTTCCGACTTCAAAGTATATATCCCAATTTTGGTCTTGTTAAATTTGTATCACCAAATGATGCTATGTCAACAAATAAGTGTCTTACGAGTTCACTGAGTTAAATAGTTTGTCAACGAGAGTATAACACCTACACTGTTGCCATTTCTGAAAACAACTGATGCACCCCCGATTACCCCTGGGGCAATGCATACCCGTTTAAAAACACAGCATAGGGGAATGAAAAAGCATCATAAAATAATATTCGTGATGAGCGTGTTGGTTTAAGTCCTATTCATCTAGTGGAAATAATAAAAGGAGAAGAGGACTGTATTATAATGCAATGAAATGCAAAGGTGCAAGCGAGCTGGACAAGAATGATGAAAACAATCCCTGGAGAAGGGGAACAAGAGGGACAAAGGACTAACACAAATCTCCAAACACAGCTAGGTGACTGATGCGCGACCAAAAAAATCCGCCTGGCCCGGGTTCAATACTCGGACACTCAATACTAAATACTAAGGCAGACACTCAATACTAAAAATAAACAAAAAATATGATACCCATTTGTGGGTTCTAAAAAGCTGCAAATACGTTGATTGAAAAAGAAAAGTAGCACAGCCACGTGACTTCCGGTAACTTTCCCCTTCCTCTATATTTCTTCTTCCTCCCCAGTCCAGTTTTGGTGTCTAGCAGTTGCGTTTTTTTACTTTATTGAAGATATATGTTACGCTGTAGCAAAATATTGATTGGGGGTCTTCTGACTCCATAATAGATTGCCTGGCAAATCATAAACAAAATATTTTGGAGGGTGTGAGTGTCCCTTTAATTGACAGCCTCTATTTTATTGTATTAAATTATTCTGAATCTCCACTAACGTCCGAGTAGTTTGGTCGTCTGCCGGCAAGGTCAGAGGTGCAAGCAGAACTGCTGGACATCCGGGGGCTCATCAATGAGCCACGCTCAGTGATGGCACATACATCGTCAAACAACGCTGAAAAGAACCTTTACTCCTGCTTTTTTTTCCTTCTCCCATGCTTTGCAATATTGCCAAGGCCGATGCAAGAGGGCTGAACTTGTCATGTGTGATGCGGCTAAGCTGCACTTTTTGGGCACAGGGCAGTGCCCATTCCCGGGTTTCGTGCAAGGCGCAACTCCAACAATCATGGTGCTTATTTTTTTTACTTTTTTTTTTTTTACTGATATTTAACATTTTAGGTTGTGGCCATTTTTGCAAAAAGAACTTGCAACTTGCCCTTAATTAACAAGGGAAGCATTCATTTTAAGGACAGATCAATGTCATAGAAACATTTGCAGGATCTAATTTGCTTTTGTTTGTGGACCCTATGTGATGCAGAATGAAGCTTTGGACGTGCCTTTCGAGCCCACCCAAACGGACATTGACCTGGACAGTGTCTTGCACGGCATCCACGATCGGCTCCATCACCAGGACGCTGCCCTCTCCTTGCCCACGCTGCTGGGTGAGCCAGTTGGTTTGTTTGTTTAAGTTGTAGCATCAACACTATTGGGGGTTGTGTGGTAGCAAGAGAAGAAACTATATACTCAGTTTCATATTTAGAGTAGAATGTTTCCAAAGCTTTTTGGCTCAAGCCTTTGTCTTGATTGAGCTGATTGAGCCTTTGATTTGCATGCGCTCTTGGTAAATAAGATGCAGATGAAGCCACACTCTTGTGTCAGTCATATTTAGGCTATTGTGTGCTAAGTATGAAAGGGTATAATAGAATGAGCTTGAAAATAAATATATAATTTCAGCACTATTGTAAGCAATGTCAGTAACAAACAGAAGCAATGCCAATAAAAACGGCTAATGTAGGATGTGTTGGGACTATGAGAGAAAGTTGTAAAGTGATTTATTTGGCACTCATTCAAGGGCCAGGGATGGTAGCAAATATGTGGAAATTCATTTCAATTGATTGTTGCATTGGAATGGCAAACATGACTGGAAATTTCAGAACTACTATCAATTTAAATATGAATGTAACTTTTACAGCAGTAGCTGTTAGTCCCCTTCCCGGCAAAAAAATGCCCATTTACGAACGCAGAACTCCACTCCACAGCAGAGGCACTGCTCTCCCTCTCCCCGTCGTTCTTCACAAAGGCTCTCTCGCTTCCCCCTTCCTTACCCCCTGTAAGCCGCCACAGTTCTTGCTCCGGCGACATACGCTTGCCCTTCTCCTCTCCTCCCTCTCCCCCTTTGGCAGCCACTGTTTAGAAATACCAACGTTGTCGTGCTGTGTGGACACGCTCCCTCGCCTCCCCATTGCCGCCTCCCAGGTTCCGTACTCGTGTACTCTCCGCGCCTTTACAGAACAACTCGCATAGATACTTTCGCTTCTTCCACCGCCGGTGTGGTTACAGGCACCCCCGCTCTAAAAGAGTGCTACAGAAAAAGAAAGCATGTCTCTGTGTCCTTCTTGAATGCATGCAACACTTCGCACAGTCATTCCATCAAAGCACACATCTCCCCACACATGTCTCCTACATCAATTCCACTGAAAGCAAAGCACCCATTGCAAACATTGTACAGCATGCTGGCTGAAGGAAAATCTCTCAACATGCCTTTTCACAATGTACCAGCTACCGCTGTCATTTGCCGCACACTTGGTCGTTTGCAATTTTTTTTGGCTTATTAGAAATCAATGTTTTATGTTAGAATGTCAAATATTGTTTTGGAAAGTGCACAAAATAATTTGCACCAGAACGTCTCAGCTCGAAAACATAATTTTAATACACCTTAAAGATTCACCGAAAAACGCCTCAAAATGATAGAGTTGCTCAAGAAGCTAAGTTCGTCAAATTTTTAGAGCGCAGCTCTGAGGCGCCCGTTTCCGGCTTGAGCGGCGTCAGCGTTGCCGTTGACGTCGGCGTAACTGCGCGGTGCATTGTGGAAAATTTCCTATAATGCAACACGCGAGACTCGTGACGTCATGAGGGTCACGTGACCGCACGAGGGTCATATGACGTCACGTGACCGCATGTCACACGTTGTATTATGGGAAACGTGCCATGATGCAATGCGCGGGGAGGAGGAGAAGGGAAAAGGGTGGGAGGAGGGATGAGGGGGAGGAGAGGAGGGAACAGGAGATGAGGAGGACAGGAGGAGAGGGTACGGATCCGGAGGAGGGGCATACCCTCCCCTCAGTACACTCCCCCCCTCCCCAAGAGCTGCGCTCTAATCCGGCGGTGCGGGGAGTTGTAAACGGCTTTCATTTTTTTTTCCTCTTTAAATATAAACTCAAACAAAATAGTGTAATTTAACTCTAGTAGATCAGTTTGCGTGAGTTGTACATTGTATTTGTTATTCCTGGGGCCCTCAAAGTTGCGTGCACGCGCAGTCAGGAAAGCCGTTTCGACCTCCTTTCAGACGCAATTTTTTAGCACAAAAACAAGGGAGTATCTTGCAAAAGCAAGGTCTGTTTCATTGTGTGGATATGTTTTGCTACCTCATATTAAAACTTAATTGAAGACAAAATATAGACATGACACTCGATGACTGTCCTCATTTGAACAGACCCTAATCATAACCAAAGAGGGTTGAACTGTAGTAGTGAGCTAAATTTCCAAGCCCCTTGAGCTAGCCAAAGTGCTCTGCTTCATTAGTCATTTCTATGAGTATTCCAGCGCAAAGCAGAAGCTGTGAAGCTTGATGCACGCACCAGTGCGAAGATATGAAGCTCGACACAAGAGCACTGGTGCAAAGCAGTACAGCTTGACGTGAGAAATCTAAAAATCCTGATGACGTTATTCATAATGTCCTAATCTTAGAAAAGCTTGAATACAGTAAAACCTTGTTATAGCAAAATGGGATATAACAAACAAATGGATATAACAAAGGAATGAAAATTCCCCTTGCTTGCTAATACTAGTGGGAAGAAATGGACATTGGCTATAACAAACTAATGGTTATAACAAAACAATTACGACCGCTCCTTCAACTTTGTTATAACGAGGTTTTACTGTATATTGAATGGTCCGCAAATTGAATAGCGAGCACTATTCACAAATTCAAAGTTTTGAATATTCCCAGATCTCTAATAATTATTTATTACTCATGCCGAATTCTACAGTGAAGCCGTCATGCATGGTCTGCTGCAATGGGGGCTCGGATGACTGAGGGCAGAGAAGACATGCAAGCAAATGGCACCACCTATCTAGTCTGGAAGCTTAGGTGTTTTGGTGCAAAATTAAGTGATCTAAATATTCTATAATGAAATGAGCAATGTTGTGCTGTTCCTAAAGATTTTCTCAAGACTGAAAATTGTTGTTGCAATGGTCGTAAGTAGTACTGATTGCTGTTCTTTTTTTCTCTCTTTTCTTTTTCAGACGAGACGGGAAAGCTTAGCGAGGATGCACTACTCAAGCCAGCTGAACATGTTTCTTGGAAAACAGCGCCAATACTTACTGCCTTTTTGAATGACAGAAAGGTTTGTAATGGTCCCAAGTCATTCATTGTTACTTGGGTTCTAGTTTAGTTCGTTATTCTGCGGGGGTTATTTGTAATGCATTTACAGACACTCTGAACTATAAATTTGATGAGTTGTAAGATGAAGGGAGTGATTTAATTAAGAACCTGCGGCAAATACATTTTTAGAAATTGTGCTCATCACTTTGAAATTTTATCAAGAGGTAGTATTTCTGAAGTGAGGTATTTTATGCAAAAAATGCTCGGTGTCTATAGACCATTCCAGAAAAGGATCTCTGGAGAGTACTTGTTTCAGCATTCATACGTATGGTGTGTGCTTTGCTCATTTCCCGAAGCGACAAACATGCACATGTTGAGCCGTGGAGATCGCACAGTGGTCTGGGGATTTGTAAACATTGGGATGGGGTATAGACCGACACGCTGTTTACAAACAAGCCCGCGTTTGCCCACACCAGGTGTGGGCACTGCGCGTGCGCACAAACCGAATTCGGGAGGAGGGAAGCGTCGGCACACGCGCAGTGCCGCCCACAGCGCCACCGCAGCTGCGTGACGTCAGGGCCGTGTGTTGGTCTATACAGTTGAGTTTGTAAAGGAAACATCTGCATCTAGAGTGGGAGGGGGGTTGAGAGATGGTGTAATGAGGATTTTGAGCCCGATTGAAAAATAGTTTAAGGCTTAGCCTTTAATGCTTGTGCTTTGTGTTGGCTTTCAACCACCCGAAAGAGACGTTAAGACGATTTTCTGTGCAGGCTTCGAAGAGGCCAACCAGCATCCCAAGTGGAAGATCAGAGACAAGCTTGGTTCTTCCATATGAGCGGGTCAGTCATAACAACACATTTTACTGTATAGTGCTCGTCTCTTTTTCTTTTAGTGGAGGTTTTGATTAGCATCATTAAGGCCCATTCACACACTTGCGACCTCTTGGAACCGAGTGCCTTGGAACCTCTTAATATCTCTTACGACGAGAGGACACACTGGCACCGTCTATTGGGTAGCAGTGTAAACTTGGCAATCCAGCATAATTGCTATTTCTCTTGCACATTATCCTTTCTTTCTTGGCTCAAAAAACTTTTGTCAACGTTATAAAATAGCCTTTCTCATAGGTATTAAGCCTATTTGACCTCGGAAATCCCGCGTAACCTTCACTCTTGTGAAATGCAGTGCCAGGGTTACCGCATAGATGGCACCAGCGTGCCAGTGTGTTCTCTCGTCCTATGAAATTTTGAGAGGTTTCGACAGGTTTCGTCTCTCTCGATCGTACTCGTTTGCAAGTGTGTGAACGGGCCTTTAGAGTACACCAGTGATGGAAGTGCTGCGCCATTTGCACCAAATTGTGCCATCAACGAAATTGCGCTAGATCTCGCGACAAAGCGCCATTTTCGCTAAAAACTGCGCCATACCTGCGCCGAGGTGGGCTTGAAGAAAGCAGAAAGTAAAAGTATTTTAATACTGGTCGGTCCTAATATTCAGAAGAGTAAAAGGAAACGAAAATGGTATAAATATGTATTTCAAGGCATCTCTACCCACCGTATAGCGTGTTTCGTCTTAGGTCAGAACACAGTCGAAGGCTCGGAGCACATACAGTCACGAACACACACTAAAAGCGGGCATTCGCAGCGCTTGATTGGTTTAGCCAATGAAATAACACATACAGATAATTGACGAAGGCCATGATATCCTGCTTTCGACGCTGCAAGATTGGTCTTATTGACTCGTAGCGTTGCCAGCGCTTTGACTTAAGATGAAACGAAGTGTAGAGGTTGCTCTCAACTGCGCTGGCCCCGTCATCGTCTAAATTTCCAGACGATGTCGGCAATGTCAGGAGCTAAAAGTCACGAGAAAAATTGCAAGGTATTGGGATGGCGGCTACTGTAACAAGACGGACCCAGGGTCTTTTACTCCTGATGACAAGCATGTACCCGGAAAAGAGGGGGGGGCCAAGGGGGTTGGGTTCCCCCCCCCCCCCCGAAATCTTCCATTTTGCTGGGGCCTCCTCTCCCCCCTCCCTCCGCCTCATAAAGCATTTTGTCATGGGCGCACCCCCCCCCCATCCCAAACAAAAACCTGGCTGCGTGCCTTCCTGAGGATATCACTTGATTATTATGTCTGCCACATGCCTCTATGGCATGGCTACAGTCTACCATGGCACTTTCGCCGCTTGTGTCAAAGTTTACGGCCTCAAACCAGCGGCGTGTACGCGCGTCGAGCTTCACCGCTTTGCACCGGAGTGCTAGGAGCAGCAGTTGACATGGGAGAGCACATGAGTTAGTGCGATTGGCGCGGTCGACCTTCTTTGGTCTTGACTGTAGGTTGACATTTATGTTTAAAAGGATGTGCCATAAAAGGAGACAAAGTGTGGGTTTCTGTTTTAATAAATACGGTAGTCAAGGTAGTTCCCGTGCAGCAATCAATCGAAAGGGCAGCGAACTTCGACTCGACTCTGGTTCGAATGCCGCTAAAGCGCAGTGCCTCTTTTTAGAGCACAAATGTATAATTAGTTTGCTATATTAGAATCTCGAGTTCGGCGTTCATAAATCTTGCGGGGAAATGTTTTAATCTATAGACTTTCAGCAGATATGCTGATTTTTGCTGACATTTCACAGGAATTTACGGGCCAAATTAACTACTGAGTGTAAAAGTGGGGAGGAGAGAGGGATTTTATCTCAACTGAAGTGTTGCTCTGTGCTTACTTTTTCAGCCATTTTTTTTAATACAGATTGTAAATGGAACTTACTCTGACCTCAGCCTTATTTCTAAAAATAGGGCAGTGTGATTCTTTTTTTATCTATTCTTATTACACAAAAATATAAGTAATATTCTTCAGTATAAAACAGGAACCCTCGATCATTTTCAAATATGAACTCATGTAGCGATGCAATCACGTTTTCAATTTACGTGCTAACAGACATTGGCGTCTGCTCCAAAACCGTCAGTGGCTGATCCAAACCAATATATTTTGACTGCTACAAAACCTGCTACAAAAGGTCCAATGAGTCTTCCATCACTGGCACACTTAATAAAAGACAAAATTCTGTAAAGAATTCTTGAAGTTCCACCATTGTTACTTTAATCAATTAACTGTCAAAAAGATACCACTGCACTATGTATGAATTGGTATTGCCAAAACTATGGCCCTTGGTTAAATGCCTCTGGTCCGGAGATGCCACTTCTTGGGAACTTATTTCTGTTTTTGGCATGTGCAACCAACACCTTTGATGGATAAGGGTGTCAGCGTTTTGTGGAGATAGGTGATCTGTCTAAAAATGGGGGTGGGCATTGAATTGAAATATTTGAGATTATGTGCTATAAATTAATTTATAAGTTATAACTGTTTTAACCGTAAACCGTGGTCTATGAATTGGAAGTGGCCAACAAGTAGAGCATCACAAAGTACCTACATTCAATTAACAAAAGAATGGCACCATGTTGTAGCAGTATTTCTCTGTTTGCTTAAATCTGGCTGTTTTAAGATTAGTATAATCTTTGGTATGCAGGCGGTAAAATTTTTCATTGTCCTCAGTATTTTGCGATTCTATGCCCAAATGATTTTGTCCCTAATCCTTCTGCTTACCCTGTTGCATATCTTTTGTTTGCATTGCAGTATAAGGCCGCTTTGAAGGAAGGAGGTGTCCAAGAGTCCGCCCCAGAGGGTCAGGGAAAAGCAGTCACTGACGAGGAAAGGCTGGTCAGGGTATGTCTTGTTACTGTTGTGGTTTTTGAAGCAGAATGATTTTGCGGGCTTATTCCAACTCACTAAGAGTTGTAACAAAAGCATGCTAACATGGCCTTACGGCAATCATGGGATTGGTGTCACTATGGGACACATGGTCAAGTGGTTTGTGCTATTATGGGTTGCATGTAGGGTTCCGCGTTTTCGGTTTTTATTTTTTCAAAATTCGGCATACTTTTTTCAATGTTTAATTTTAAAATTCAATTTTTTTTTTCTTTTTTTTTTTCGGTGTATATTTGTTCCCAAAAAAGTTTACCGTTTTTTTTGGTGAATATGAAAGAAACACAATCGGACACCGGATCAAATGATCCTTGTAGCTGTGATATTTGTGATCACTCAAAGAATAACGACACATATACATGCGTCGTCTTCGCTACAACTTGCATCAGGAAACACCACAAAATCGCAGAATTCGCGGGCATAATCTTCAGCGCGCTTCTTTTTATTTCCCATTCTGACGACGTGACCATCTGAGGTGATGGTCACTTCGTCTGGGGTGATGGTCACCGGAGTGACAAAAAAAAAGTTTGAGAGAGGCTGTTAAGAAAGTATTAACAGCTTTCCTCGATGTCCTCTGAAGTGCATGAAGCGAAAAACCTTCTACTAGCCCACATCCAAACTTTTTTTTTAGGACGGGGAACTTGACACACTAAGTCGGGCCACAGAAAGGACACAGATGTCCCGTGAAGGTCCATCCAAGACCTCTTTCGTTGCATGTTGAACCTTGGAAGAGGGCAATTACGAAGGCGTCGCACAATGTCAAACCTTGCAAAGCCTTCTCTTTTTCTCCCCCCCTCCTCCACCCATCTCAACGCGGCCCTAAAAAACATACCTTTTTTGGTTAAAACCGAATTTTAGGAAACGGATTAGACAAACTTTTAACGGTTTTTATCGGTTTAAGCCGAAAACGCCGAACCGACAAACTGACCTTTTTCAGTTAAAACCGAATTTCTGAAAATGGATTCAGCATACTTTTATCGTTTTTTTTATCAGTTTAAACCGAAAACTCTGAACCCTAGTTACATGGTAGGTCACACGACGTGTCATTCTGGTGTCACATGACCATGTACCTTGACTTCACGGTGTTACAGTACCCCGTGACACTGTGATGTCATGTGATGTCACCGTGTCACGTGACACGACAACGGGGTTGGTGTCACATGACCACCGTCCACTAAATTTAGAGGGAAAATATTATGTCGCTCAATAGTAGCACCTCAAGTCTGCATTCTGCATGAGTTGGGCTTCATACGTAGGATCAGGGTGATTAATCTTTTCGGCAGGCTCTAATTAAAGCTTTTCTTGGTGCACTGGCTCTGGCAAAGTGTAAATAGTTATGAGCCATTCCACCCTCAACAAACTACAATCTACTCTCATTTACAGTAATTCGAAGTTCATTGAAGCAGTGAAATGCTTAAAATCAAACACTCTCAATTAAAAAGGAAGACATGCAAATCATACTCCATAGGGGAAAAACCTTATTTTAGCCTGGCTTCATTGTTTTGCTTCAGAAGTGCTGAGGAAAGCATGCCCCACGCCAACCCCGCTTGTTGGCATTTGTCCTCGTCACAAAAAAGAGCTCGCTCGCCGCCCTGACGCTGAGCATTATACTTTGATGTAGAGACGTTTTGTGATATTGACGTGGATGATCAAGAGACAACACAATTTGTGCTTACTAATCTAAAGTATGCGATGACAATGGAGTAGAATAATGATTGCGACCACTTAGCTTTTAGCCCGCCAGCACTCAAATTATTGGCTGCGTTGCAAAAGGCATACGTGTGCAAGGTTGATCTTACCCTGTACATAACATTATGTATGGAGTTAGATGGGACAATCCAGCGCTTGTCCCATCCTCTTCTTTTTTGGTGTGGTGTTTCTGGTTGTATCATAAACCAACTCGCCTGTTTCGCCACTTTGTTAGGTCTCCAGACAGAATCAAACGAAAAAGAAAGAATTTAAAAGAATTTTCTGGAATTATTTTCAGGTTCCAGTTAAGTCTGGCTTTTCGTTCGAGGCTTTTGGTGTTTGTGCTGAGAGTGCCTTGTCAGATTTAGCACAAGCAACGCTTTTGGGATCAGTTCTGTAGAAGACCATCTGTATCACCCTGGGGTTTTCCAATTTAGTGTTTGGGCGAACACAGCTTTGATTGTTGTTTTCAAAGTTTTTTTAGGCTGGTTTTTGGAGGTTGTCTTTCTTTTGTGTTAGAACTAGGTTTCTTTTTTGGTTGTCAAGTTTTTGTGAAAGACATGTAGGGTTCTAGAGGTCACAGCTCATAAAAGTTCCGTCTATGAAAATGTGTAACAAAGTGTTGCTCTGTAAAGGGTGTGAATATAGTATAAGAATTAAACATTTTTCTTTCACTCTCAGTTTTTTGTTTTTTTGTCTTTTTTTATTTTGAGCAGTTTTACAGTAGGAGCCAGCTCACTTGCACTTTTAAGGCTAGTTCACGCAGTTGTGTTTGACAGTGATTGACTGTTGTGCTTCGATCACTTTTAACAAACGACTTAGATCTGGGACGCCTCACATCTGCATATACAGGGGCCCCGGAACCGGGGGGTCATGCCCCCCGATTCCGGGGCATGACCCCTACGAACCGCCCCCCTCATGTTTTTTTCGTAGGGGTCATGCTCCCCCGACGCTGAAGGCTGACCCACAACCCTCCCTTAATGTAGTCGGAGCAACATGCTACCGCGCCTTCCAAGCTTGAAGCAGAATAAGAAAGGACAGCGACGTTTTGTCGGGACGAGAATCGGTAGTAAAGCTGATACCCCTGTTAAGTGCTGGAGTAAACGTTTCTTCTGAGCCAGCCTTGAGGTGCGCGTATTGGTCACATCATAATCACTGGCAGCGGGGGTGGGGACAGCTTAGGAAAGGCACCTTTCTACCATTCCTTGTCATCGGAAAGGGGGAGGAGGCCTCCCTCCGGCTCTGGATAAGCCTCCCCAAACGTAAAACCTCTTGCCGCTGTAAATTGGTCTCTGGCAGAGTGCTTCGACGAACAGCAGTCCGGAGCATATGTCCTTGGAGGGACTGCACACTCTCTTTGACGAGTTTTGCTTGGGATCGGCTCTTTCAAGCACGGCCATGCCAATACCGTGCCAATTAAGCGCACTGATGCCATAATGGCCGGAGAGGGTTCAGAGCTGGCCTAGCATGGCCAGCTCTGAAGCGTGAAGTTTCTGCACGACGCCTAGACGCGAAAAGCATTTCTGCCATCCGTCAATCATTTTCATATTTTTGTTCGGTGTGATAGGAGAGGCCACGGAAACGCTCTTGCGTGCTAGAGATTTTGAAAATCTCTTTTTGTTACTCAGAAAAGATTTCGGCTAAACAAAGGTCGCTTCCTCCATTTCGGTTTTTCCGCGCGTACGATCTTCAAAGTTGGGGGGGGGGGGGGGGGGGGGATGGGATCTGCACTGCAAGGATGTGAGCCTTGACCCCCGCCCTTCCAGTCAGAATTGACTTCCGGAGCCCCTGTGCATATAGTTTGTGCGTCACCCTTTAACCATAAAATAATTCTGACAATGTTATAAGAGACCATTTCTTATAAATAATGTGTAGATTTTATCTCAAAAATACTGCAAAACCTTCAGTGTAGTCGTACCCTGGTCCTCTCGTCGCAAACAGTTACATATGGTCATGGCCCATCGATCATGGTCAAACACAAATGTGTAAAACAGCCTTTACGATCTCTTCGCAAATTCTTAATGCAAACTCAACTATGTACACAACGTTGGAACGGTTCAGTACAGAAAGATGAAGTTCTGCAAGTTTGAGGTTCTAAGTTGTCTGTATCCTCTCATACCTGCAGCGCTTTACAGTGGCGGCGGTGAATGCTTTCTCTCTGATGTCATACTTCTTTTCTCTAGCTTTCTTCTTTCTTTTTTTTTCTTTCACTTTAGTAACTCGTCTTTAATTTATTAAAATCCACATTGTCCCGACCTCTTCGTATTCACTAAAAGAAAACCGGGTGGTTTAGGTTCCAGGCAGCTTTCCTGGTGTCGTCTCGCAATGTAAAAAAATGCTACTTGTTCTTTTTCGGTGATGCAGCTTCAGGAGAATGTGAATGCCGAGATGGCCAACTCAGCTGAGCCCACTTCCCAAGCTGCAGCCAACGACGACGAAGTTGTTAAGCCTCAGGCCTCCTTTGAGGACACGGAACTGGCAACGCCCCTCAGGCCTCCGGTGAGTGTGACCTCGGCAAATTATGCCGAAGAATAATTTTCTGCTGCAATGTAGTTGAAGCTGTGTGAGCAAACATACTTGAGCACCGATCATTTCTATCAACACTTCACAATCTCTCCTCACTTCTTTTGGGATGCTGTAGAAAGTTGGTCCTGGTCATAGAATGCGGAATTGCGACATGGCTGCGATATTAGTGGCAAGAACATTGTGATGGCCTATTTTTTTTTTTTTAATGATTATTATGGCATAAAGTTTATGCATGTTCTGCTTGCCTAGTACGTTCGTCGCAGGCACCAAACTGTTCTGTGTTTATGTGCCATACTTGCAAAAAATCATTGACGAGGTACATTACCTCGTGGATTAATCTATTTTATTTTGTAGTTGCATACCTCTCACATACACTCCATAAGTCTTTTAGATGTTGTGGCATTTGTACAATAATTCATTCGTTTTATTTTAGATAAGATTGATAATTTGTTGAGAAACAGATCTTTATGGCATTCGGTGTGCATTCTGAAACATTGCAGTTTAGTTATTGATTACCAAAAAACGATAGGTTTTCTTTTTTTGGATAGAAGTTGTTGACTCTTTTTTTATTGAAAACACACTGTGGGCCGGCCTGTACTTGCTAAATGAATGCTGCATATTTTTTGTTTCCTTCCGTCTGTCAGAGCAACGGCCCAACTGAGAATCTCCTGAACCTGCAAATCTATTCTGATGGTCCACATTGGCTCATTTTTCCCCAATCAAAAACATTAGAATTGTGCAAATATTTAAATTTTTTGATAGTAGTTTTGAATAATATGCAATTAGATGTTCGCTTCCAGGTGAACCACAATATTCATACTTTTCTAAGTGTCGATCGCGGCGGGTTAGCCCCGTTGAGGGAGCTCCTCACCGAGCACCTGTGCACTGCGGGAAAGCAATGCCCTCAGAGCTCGTGGGCTCCACAGATATTTCTCGTAGGTCATTATTCGCAGTCAATACAAGGTCTGTAGACTTCTAGACTGCTTTACTGCATCACTGCCAAGACCGGTGGGGGTTCCTTGAGATTTCAAAGCCAGAGAACTTGTCCGGCACTAAAGCATGCTTGAAGCTCACTGCACTATAATCCTGCACCTCTGGATGCTTCTAGAAGCCGTCCCGGCGGAAGCGCAAGAAGGCGGCGACCGCCCCAGACGTAGGTCTGCAGCCGACGGAGGCCGAGCATGCCGCCAAAAGACTCAAGGGTCCAAAGGCCCCTGCAAAGGCCCCTGCAAAGGCCCCTGCAGGGGCCCCTGCAGAAGCCCCTGCAGAGGTCGAAGAGGCTGACGGAGAAGAAGCGGCGGAAGGCGGCAGCCAACAAGACTTCCAACCATTCGACTATGCCAGCGCCAAACAGAAGCCCCAGCCTCGTAAGTCGGGGCTCCTTTTCCTCTGGGTTATCATGGGCCCTCGACAACTCTGAAGATGCATGAAGACAAAATTGCCCCGCTCGAGGCATTGAGAGCCCCGGAGTTACTCTATTGACGACGAGATGTTTTGGTGGCGGCACCTCGCATGTGCTCTCCTGTGACGTAGCGGGTAGGATATGAGCAGACGACATGCTATGTATTAGCACGGAGTAGCTAGGCTAGTTAGCATCAATGCCGATTGAAACTGTAAAAAAGCATGCAAGATATTTTTGTGAGTGACCTTTCTAATGAAGAAGAGTGCTTTGAACTTGCTTTTTATATGAAAAATATTTAAAATGTTCAAAAACAAGCCTGGAGCTTCACATTACAGCTTGCGCGGCGTGTATCGGGGCTATTCACAGTCTCTCTGATTCTTGTTTTTTCCGATCTGGGGAGGTTGCTGCAGAGAAAAGGTTTTGCATTGACCAGAGTAAATGACGTGCTGTTTTCTTAGCCGTGCACGCGGGCAGAGTTGTGTTGCAAAGTGCCGCGCACTTGTTTTAGCTATATTGAGCTTGCCGATATCGACGCTGCTATCCAACTGTGTCTCGACAGTTGCTGACGCACGCTTAATTCCTCCCGCATCAAATATGTGGCAAAGAAGTTTGTCACATCGCGACTTCTGCTCGAAAGAAGAGCAGAAATTTTCATAACTTCTTAAATTGTCAGTCATGGCCCGGCAAGGTCAGGCGATTGATTACTTATTCGTTATATCCAATTTTAACTAAGAATTGTTTACAAATTTAAATTTGCTCGCTGAGAAGCGCATTACGCATTATGCGCAATTCTTTGAGTTTGCAAAATTAAACTCTCAAACGATAGTAATTCATAGCAGGCGATACTTCATTTTTCGGGACGCTGAAGTTTCACCGACTTACGAGATTTAACGGACCTTGATTGCGGGGGACCGGGTGAATAAGCAGGGATTTAATTGAAACGACTTTGGAAGCCAGTTACCGTTTCTTCCTGCAAGTTATTTTGAAGAAATGCTTGTTTACTTGTTTACAAAATTACGAAAGGTAATCAATTTGGAATTGATAGGAGACCTGCACTCACAGAGCACATTGGAACCAATAGGATACACGGAGTCGGTTTCACTGAGGTGTTTACTACACACGTGAGAGGTTCTCGAATTTCGCTTTTTATTTTCAGTTTGATGAGACATTCCTTTCTCAGTATTACTAATGCGAAAGCGTTAACAGTCCTATGAAGCAAGCCGACATCATTAGCTTTTAAGCCGCGCCGAAGGGCACCTTAACTCCTTTCTCCAAGTGAAGCCGGCTCCCAGCTTTGAACCCACGCGAAAAGCCTAGCCAAACGGCTCCTAGTTTCCCCGATCCCAAAGGAGCGGAGTAAAGCTGATGGATTTTGGCTTCAGTCCCATTGGCTGGCGCGCGTCATAGTTTCAAGGAATGAGGCTCCCATTGGCCGCTGCGTGTTAGTTTCAACGACCACCACCCCATGGCGCTGCATGTCCGCAGTGTCAGTGCGCTGGTAACACAAAGCGTTCAAGGTCAGAGCAGCGAGGAGAGCGCAAGCTCTGCCGTCGATGCAAATACGCCACAGACGAAATAAGAGGGTGGAAGAATGACATGCATGCTTTCGCATTCACAACTCCTAAGAAGTGCTTAGGTGTACCTCGAGCCTTTTTTCTCCAAATCCTAATAAAAAATACACCTATTGGTCGTGGTAGATGTAAGGGGGTAAAGTACTGGATATTCTATTTTCATTATCCAGCTTCTTCTACTGGGATAGGGAACAGCCAACAGGAACAATACACCACCACCCCAGCGCTTTGACACCTCAGTGCAAAAAGTGTTTGTTAGCACGGCTACGCGTGCCACATTTTCAAGCTTTAGTAAAATGTCCTACTACAAATATCACTTCAACCAAAAAAAACACGACGCGTGAAGCAGGCTTTGCCGCACACGCTACCCAAACAGCGCATGAAGCGAGCTGATGAGCCGAGAGATCCAAGGCAGGTCAGCTCAATCTGTCCTGGTCTGTCCTACCCGTGACGTCACAAATGATGATGATGATAGCTAAAGGAGCGCCCCCTGTAGTTCACGCATGCCGCCAATAGACCCTTTTTTTCGTTTACAAACACGAGCCTCCTTTTGACTCCCGAGAAACTTCCGGTTGCTCCCTCGTAGCAGGTCTTGCAAGCCTTTTGATGTCAAAATTTTTGGGATGATGAAGTTCTACGGAAATCACAAAGTTAGGAATTTAGCGAAGTTCTTACAATTTGGTATTTTACGTATATGAAGGGATTAATTGTCTTATAAGAGTAATAATAAAATATACAAAAAATCTCTTGCTAACGGGTCTTTTAGCTAACCACATAAAGAACTGTCTTCTCATTTGATTGGAAGTTTGCAGAAAAAGTATATTGCCAACAGCTCCTCCTTTCGGCACTTTTAAATGGAGAGTCTATACGGCAGCTTTAGCTGGCAGAATAGCAACACTAGGCAAAGGAATTAGATCTGTGGCACTGGAAACAGTAAAGGTGATCTCCTTTTGGGTCTTAAAAATCAACCAGGGGTGGAACGGCTGCGCCATTTGCGCCATTTTGCGCCAGACGCATTTGTCTGCGCCATCCTGCGCCATTTTGCGGAAACTGCGCCACTGCCAATAGCTTGCGCCATTATGCGCCAAATCGCACAACGTGCGCCCAAAAAAATTGTATTTTGTCTTGGTTTCGGTTTCTATCGACTCGACTGGCAACAATGAGCACGTTTAGCTTGGTCGGCCCTGCAATCCTTTGTTCTGTTTATTCTCCCTATGTATCTCGATTCGGAAGCGCGCCTAAAAACTTGGGGATCGGATTCCAAGCGCTACACCACCTGCATGCGACTGGATTGTTATTCTTCAACCATCAGCGATTAAGCAAGTCGGCCGAGGTGAGGTCGAGTCGTTAAGCGTCAGATTGCCTGAGGCTCTGCGGCCCGGTATCCAGAAGTCAGCCAGTGGAAAAAAAAATGAGCAAAAGATTCCGTTTAGTACTTAATCGTTATAAGTTGGAACCGCATTCCCGCAAGATAAATTGTGATTTGATAGAACTGGAAACGCTGTCCGATCCGAAATTTTGCCGTCCAGCAGCTCTCACGCGAGCGGTAGATCTGCTCGGCGTACTTTAACCTTGCTCTTGTTAATCGCTTTGAATACAATAACTCTGTTAATCGTAGTCTGCTGCTTCGATATTGAGTTGCACAATAGGATAAACTCGAAATTTGTTGCCCTGTTCCTCCACGCAGCGGCAAGTCTGTTGCTTACGCACATCACGTGGTTCGCACATATAATTACTATGTCGAGCACGTGAGTTGTGCGATAAGCAGTGCTGGTTTGCATCTTGAGCAGCTGAAAGCCACTCAGAAAATATCAAGTACATTATCTTCAGAAACGTATGGTACTTGCGTTTTGGCTCTCATTAAGGCTCACAAAGTTCCAAGTTTTCGCATCTGTTACACTGTTATGTGTTATCCCATCTACCTAGGTTCCTAACCTCTCATGTTCATCTGTGCTGCTAAGCACTATTGAAATTGCTCCCGTGCTCGTCTAAGACACAAGCTGAAGTGCAATGAAAACTGATCTGAGCTGCTCCTAGCCTGCTCCAGAATGTAGTTTTAGCTGCTCCCAATCTGCTCCAAAACAGCGGTTTCAGCTGCTCCCGTGACTGCTCCCAAATACATTTGATGAGTTCCACCCCTGAATCAACATGACCGTGGGATGACTAGCGGCTATTTTACAAGTCTGATCGCTTCATTTGATTCGGACATGTTAACTTCGGTATGGGATGTTGTGTTGTGTGGTGGCGTGAGTATTGGCATGGATTATTAAACTTAAGCAGAGTAGTGTTTTGAGGAGGAGATCCATTACAAACTGTATTTTGGAAAGGCTCCTGTTGGAGTATCGTAGGAAAGTAGGAGAAGCAGACAACTCCCGAATTTCTGTGCTTGGCAATACTAGGTGCAGTCGGTTGTCATGCATGGGAACCGGGCCAGCTTATGACAAGGCGGACTACCAAATTCAATATGCTGCAAGGCTCTCCTTCTCTCACGTCTTCAAGCAAGGAAATTAAGGGATGGTAAGAGGGGACAAAAAGTCTGGCATGAGTCCGCCCGCACCGTTCAGATTGAGGGGGGTTGAATTTATTATGCGAGGAATGAAGATAAGCCAGTAAAAATGGTGCCCCCACAATGGACACGTCACAATCTGTGCGGGGGAGGATTAGTGAAGCAACCGTATAGGACCGGGGAACGAGAACGGAGTTTGTTTCTTGCATTGCACGGTACGTCTTCGCTAGGTGCATCCTTGATAAGCTCAATTTTTAATAAACGTGAAGTGATATATTTTTTTTTTTAATTAACTCCTGCCCCTTGTTGGAAGCCTGAATCGGAATGCATTGGTATAAAAGTTTGAGGGCCACAAGGAAGAAAGAGTGAAGAAGCTTCTTTGTACAAACTTTGGGGCGAAAGATGGCTGCAGATAAGCCACAATGTGTACAAAGGATATTGTGGGGGGGAGCTCAATCACTCACAGGCCACTGCATCTAGGAAGCAGGATCTAACTCCCCCTTCTCGGGAGGCCGTGGCTTATTTAGCTCGAACGCGCAATCACGTGTTTTCATACTCAACTTTCGAAGCAGCGTCTGTGTGGGGCTGCACATGCGCTGATGATATTTGTAAAAAGTTGCGGATATCTCCTTGATGAAACGAAATGAAGATCTGAAGAACAAAGCACGGCTTCCGATCGTATTTAGCAAAACCCCCCCCCCCTAAACAAAAAAAAAAATTTTTTTTTTTTAAGGGGAACATATGAAGAAATATCAGTGCACAGCACGCTGACTAAAAGCCTGCACTGTCACCAACGGCATTGTAATTCCCGGACTCAAGGCTGCTTGTCAATCACATATTGGGGTTGCTCTTTGGTATCGTAATCCCTTTTTTTTTTTTAGTTGGGGTCTAACTTGGTTGCGGTGGGCTTAGCGGAGCAGGGGTTGGGCTTTAGGGTAGGGGACGAGGGGGGAAGGGGAAGGAGGAAACAGGCAACGGTGGAAAGGATAGAAGTAGGGAGAGGAGAAAGCGAGGGAAAAGTGAAAATCACAAATTGGTCGTCAGCTTTTATGATAATGTGTGTGATCCATTAGGGTCAATCTGTGGCGAGGCAGCACAGGAAAAAGCATGGCATTGCTTTAGCAGCTGAAGCTTTTATATACAGTGACTCTAGTCCTTTCGGGGTTACCACAGAGGTTAGAAAAACTTTGAATAGAAAATTGGCACTTTGAGGACTTTGGGAATTCGTGAAATTTTTTACAGCCTTGAAAAGGTTTCGAATTTTGGTCAGTAAGTTGCCTCACTGACTAAATATAGTGCATCAGTAGGGTTCCATGTTTTTAAAGTTTATTTTTGCGAAAATTCAGAGTTTATTGGAGTTCATTTTTGTTACATTCCTCATTCAGAGAAATGAAGTATTTTTTATTCTTAAAAAATAAAAATAAATATAATATCTGGGTGTAAACATGTGCTAGATTCAGAAGTATGTGCTTGAATTAAATAACATTTCTTCAGCCGGATTTGCCAGTGGCAATACTAATCTGTCCCATGGCAAAACTTCCAAACAAGTGTTGCTTTGGTAAATGTTAATACCTTAAAATTGCTAAACTCCTGGAGGTAGTATCCTTCAGCTGGGAGGCTTGTTTTTGATCCCATCCTATTCAACCACGCTACCCTGCAGCCGCGCAAGGTGGAGTGGTAAATTAATATAGAAGCTTCAGAGACCCCTCCCTTTCTATGAAATCTCTACGGTTCATAGCTTTCGCTGTTACAAAAATAACTTGTCCTTCCTCTGAGAAGTGCAAATAACATTGTCCAAACAAGAAACCAGAACAGTGTTTTTATGCTGACCCAGAGTACAATGTTGTCCTGAATGCACCTTGACTAGTTAAATGGTAAGACATCAGTTGTCAATGATCCGAGATTTTAAAGAAAACTGGGGTGGCATTTTCTTAGGCCTATTAACCTTGTGCGCTGACCAAAGTTAGTTGTATAGTGCCATCATTTAGTTTTTGCATTGGAACATCAAAATTTTGAGTTTATTGGATAAATCCGAATTGACAAAAATTTGACTGGCGGGTGCTTTTCGGAGCTCTTCAGATTTTTCCGAAAACATGGAATCCTAGGCATGAAGAGTAATAAATATAAAATTTGAAGCTGGAACCAATGCTTTGACTGCCTCAGCCGTATGCTAAGATGCCAGAGGCAATGAGTGATGTCATTTATATTGAAAGAGTCTCAGAATAAGGAGAAAGCATGAGTGAGAAATCAAGAAAAAGGTGCAAGGGCTATCTGGAAGGTGGCATTGAAACATTATTTTAAAAGTATGGTCTTTTAGATGCCTTTATTAGCCATTTGGTAGAGTGAAATGGACGAAAGGTGAATGGAAACACCTGGTTAAGCCTCCGTACCCCGTACAGGTTTTGTTGTGGCATATTTTATACAGAACATTCTCTGTCATCATGGTTTTTCTTGTCATTACCATTCTTTGCTTCCTGGATAATTTAAAGTCTCAGTCTGTCATCTAAAATAAATCTGTGCAGCAGAAGAAATTAAAAAGCTGAAATTCCCCTAGAGATTTTGTTCTTTAATACTAAACTATTGATTCTTAAAATTTTTGTCAAAACAGTTGATTTGATAACACATTGTCGTTCATGATGCTTTTGTTAATTTTTTTTTTTTAATAAAACTTAAAAATGAATTGTAGAAGTTTTAATTTTAAAACATAAAGCAAAAATTTAAGGAAGTAGCCATGCACAGCAATATGCCTCGAATTTTTTAACTTTTCTTTGGAAGATTGACATCTCTGCTGCGAGTCCTGGTGTCTAACTCCGTGATGTCACTTCACACCCCCAGAAAAGAAGCAGGGAAAGAAGTGGACCTTCAACCCGGACCAACACGAGGAAATGAAGGTGGGTGGCCAGCAGTTCCTTTCCTAGCACTCTGTGACCGAAGGCTCATCCCGCTGCATTAAAGGGACCATAAAAGGGTGGCTAGGGATGAGAAACTGGACAATGCATCTCTGTTTTATGGGATTATGTGATTGTAACGTCATTATGACGTTTCAGTGATCTCTTGGGCCCCTAGAGGTCTATTCACATGGTGCATCTTTTTGGCAAGTCTTGTGTTGCAAAACCTAGTTTCGCTAAACAGATGCGCATTTGAGCACGACCAAAAAAGACGTGTGCCTCCAAAAAGGTTGCACGCTCTCCTCACTTCTGAAGCGAGATTTAGCTAAAAACCTCATCGAAGCCTGTGAATCACCCGAAGGAGAAACGCGGACGCTGCCAATGGGCCTCTCAACATTGCTGTGACGTCTGACCTTCGAGGCCATGGAGATAGGAATAAGAGGAGGCAACATACCGGCTCAAGCTAGCCGAACAAGAAAATTAGAAGTGAAGCCGAAAGTAGAGACCGCAGTCGGTGGGAATGCCCCCAAGGGTGACCAGAAAAGCTGTTGGTGCCGTTTCCGTCCAATAGCGTCTTCTGGTTTTGGTCATCATTGGGGGCATGTCTCTCCAAACCAAAAGCCTCCCCCGGCTTCACCTCTGGTGGCATCATGTTGCCTCCAGAAGCTTCCTACCTCCACATCCAAGGTAAAGCGAGCTTTTGTGGGGGGGGGGGGGGGGGGGGGGGGAGGGGGTCTGATTTTTGGTTTAACATGTTTCCAAACCAAAAGAAAGACGTTTCCAAATCTCTGTAGTGCCACAGCCTCCTCTATACTCCCAAAACCTGGCAGTTCGACGACGGAGCCATTGAGTGCTTGGTCGCAGATTTGGAGCGCGAGGATCTGGTAGGAGAGAGCATTTCTTGGGGAATCTGGTATTCAGCGCACAGCTTTTGCTGCGGCGAGGACCCGAAACATGGTTTTCAAGCCCGACGAGCAAAGAAGTGGTAGCGCGAGGAATGCAAGGAGAACACGAGTGGACATTCCATCACTCGGTTTTGGCGTCTCGCCACAGCGGAGCGCCCGTTACATGACTCTCCTCTTATCCGTTGTTAGTAGCTCTACCTTTTCACTTTCGGCGGCCGCGTTTTGTGGCGATCTGCCAGGCTTTGTCAGTATAGAGGAGGCTATGATAGTGTGAAACTAGAGCACAGCTCCTTAGGAGCAAGAGAGGATGATATGAAGCGGAGGGTATGCCTTTCCTCCTCCTCCGTACCCTCCTATCCTCCCCATTCTCCCATCCTCCTCTTCTCCTCCTCCTCCCGCCGAATTTGTTTATGGGTGACGTGACACGAAGTCGCTAAATTTAGCAGGGAAACTTAACCCGCTAAATTTAGCGGAGAGATCGACGTCACATGGCCTCAACACCAATTGAGTTTCCCCGCCAAATTTAGTGGGGAAAATTACGTCACATGACTTTGTGTCAAAACCCATGAATTAATTCAGTTTCTCCGCTAGATTTAGCGGGAAAATTAACCTCACGTGACCTCAACACCAATTCAATTTCCTGCTAAATTTAGCAAGGCGATTACGCTGACAGCGATGCCGCAGAACGCAAAAACAAACGCATAAAAACTGTGCTCTAAAAAAATTAAAAATGACAAGCAGCGAGCGGGTTGGTGGCGCTGTGCAGATTCCCCAACAGTCGCAACGAATGAAAGCACTGCATATAAACATGATGACTTGAAATAACTGATCTTTTAGCGGTGCAAAAATGTCCGGAATACTTCGAGATCATCCACCTGTTTTTAGACGTTCGAGGTCTTTCCCCGGTTTGACAGGCTCAGTAAACCGAGTGAGCCGAATCCAACAAAGTTAATAGAGTGGTATTAATAAAGCAGTCTCTCTTTACGCTGTACATCATATCGTTTTGACACGAATTACCTGCTATTCCCGGTGCAGATGACAAGGTTTGGCGAAATTCTTGTGAGTCAATACGTCTTAGATTTCGCACGTCAAACTCGACGTGCGAACAGGCCGATTGCACTGAATTTGTTTTGTTAAGCCGTTATGAATTGAAACGATACGCCGTGTAAATGAACTGCTGCTGCTGCCTGCACCTATAATTTTTTCATTCTTTATTTCTGGGATTTCTTCGCCCTGTTATGGTGAACTGCCAAGAGGTAATTCTACCTTTATCTATTTTCGCAAAGAGACCTTCACAACGATGCCTGATATGCCACTTGTACATGACCATTACCTTGATAAGGAAAATGTGGTGCTTGGTTTTCGCTAACACTGTTGAGTTGAAACAAAAATTTTTACTTCTTCCACACTTCATAAATGTGGATACTACTTTATGCTGGGCACCAGATAGCTGGAGTATGTAAAATTTATGGCAAATCGCTAGGCATTTGTGTTGCATACATGAAATATTCTAGCATCACAACGTCTAGCAGTACTCCGAGTTTCCAGACGCCTAAGATGATAAGAGCTGAAAAAGATTGTGGTCCGTTGCACTACCTTTCCTCCGGTCTACGAAAGGTTTTGAAACATAGGACCTATCTAGGATGCCTCACTGTGCTCCCGCACATTTGTGTCGTATTTAATGAACCAAACATTGTGCTGGTGGCAGTTGGAGAATGTGGGGAGAATAAACACGCAAGGCAAAGGACGGCAAGAGCACGAGAGAGGTGCTCAGGCCGTTTTTCGTCTTGTGTGGTTATTCTTTTCATGTACCCTTAAAACACGAGGGAGAAATACCAAGGATTTCTCCCCGGCGCATGAACACAAACGTCGGGCCCTTGCGACATAGGGATGCTTAGGCTGTACACGCAACCCCAGTTTGACAGCGGATCACTTTGATCAGTTTGACAGTGGATCAGTTTGCTAGATGGGACTGCAAACGCTGACCCCACCCCACAACACCTTGTCATTCACACTGATTATGGTACTGGGGGGTGGATGAGTGATCTTTGGGGAAAAGGCATTCATACGGGATTTTACAGCAGATGTTTAGACAGCATGAGGTTAGTCGGCCGGAGCTCTTGGCTATATTATTACTCTTTGTAGACAAAAAATTTAGCCAGTTCAGTATGATCGCTAGATTGCAGTTTTTAACGTGCGTCACGCAGTAGCAATGCACGACTGCACGCTGGTACGATGCTCGTCTAGATTGAGACAGAGCAGAGGTGGGACGTGAACCCAAGACTCGCAGGTATTTCAGAGCAAGCTTTTGCTCCCCGTTCTCCGAGCCGCGGTGCGCTAGCACAATTAGCCACCGATCCCCCCTTTCGTGCTGCTGATGTTCGCCTGTGCTCTTTCAGGGTGGAAAAAAGAAAGGAAAGAAGCAGCAGTTCAAGAGCCAGACCTTCGGTGGAAGGGGAGGAGCATCCAGAGGTCAAGGCGGCAAGCGGCCCAAGCGATAAAGCACTTGTTTAATAATAAAGACCGTGCCAAGCGACGACCTTCTAGGTTTTGGTTTCTTCTTTTTGCTTCTTGGTGGGTAGCACCTTGTTGACCAATTCAGTGTAATGGATCTTTCCGTCCTTGTCCACATCCACTTCGCGGATTATCTTTTCGGCATCTTCTTGGCTCATGCTCTGCCCAACCTGGAGTGAAAAAAGCAGATTGGGAAAACAGTCTACACATTCCCAAAAATTGGGCATTGTTTCTGATAACTCAGGACATATAAGTAGGGATGTCGCGAACCGCCCTAGGTTCGATTTTGAAAGGTTTCGATATTTTCGAAGCGAACTGAGGTTCAAATTCGCAAAATTTTTATACTTTCGTACTGACTGAGGTTCGAATTCGAAAAATTCGCAACTTTCGATCACAGTGCAGTTTCAAATTCGAAAAGTTCAAAGCTTTCACGGTTTCTAAAATTTCGGGTTCGAATATTTCGAATATTTTTTTAATTTGAGGTTCGATAAATTTAAAGATTTCGAACTTTCCTAACTTGAAATTCAAGATATTCGAAAATTTCAAATTTCTTGGGATCTGAAATTCAAAGATTTCGAAATTCTTTGGATATAAAATTGAAAATTTCGAACGCTTCGAATTTTTATAGACATAAAGTTCGAAAATTTGAAGATTTCTAACTTCTTTCTACATAAAGTTTGAAAAGTTTGAAGGTTTCAATTCTCTTTTAAAGGGGCACTGACACCCCAAAGGTCGTATTCTTTTTTATTGTCTAAAACGATGCAAGTTGTAGTCATAGACACGCAAGAAAAAACCGCATTGCGAAAAAAAATTTTCCCGCGCGCGTGCGCGCTTTTTTATTTTTGGCGTTTATATTTCCCGCGCTAACCTCCTTGCTTCTTTTGATCGGTGACGTCAAAAATCAGGAAATTTAGAAGCTTTGTAGGCGACATTTCTATAACATTTAATAATGGCAATCGTAAAACATGTTTTTTAACGCAATGACGAACGCACTACGGCCTTTCTTTTTGAAATACCAAAAATCAGATTTCGGTGTGATGTCGCTTCCTAAATTTCTGTTCTCCCTCGGAAACCTTGGCGGCGCTCGAGCAGAGGCTTATCGCCGAGTCGCCGATCGTTCCCCATCTCAGGGTTTACAAGATGTCGAAGAAACCGGTTTTTCCCCGCGCCGGCTCCCTTCTATCCCGCCTGCTCACCTCCTCCTCTCTTCGGGTCGCGGTAGCAACGGCGCTTTGCTTCACAGCGTGGTGCGGAGGTCCGAAAGAAAGTCGAGTCGCAGGAGGCCGCAAAATTTGACTCACTGCGCTGGCGCGGATCGCGCGGGAACTTCAAATTCGGCATTTGGAAATTGTTTTTTTAATTCACAAATACTGAATTCCCAAGTTTCAAATTTTGAGGGTATTGTCCAGGCATCATTTTCAATCGTTTCGGATAATAAAATAAATTACGATTTTGATGTGTCAGTGCCCCTTTAAAACAAAATTCGAAAAAAAAAAAAAAAAAGCTTTGAAGATGTCAAATTTCTTTAAGGTCCAAGTCTTCAAAGTTCGAAGTCCGGTTTTCATGTTCCTCCACATTTTCAGTTTCAAATAATGTTTTCACGACTCACTGGTTTTCACAAAATCAGGTGTAGAAAAGTTAGGGTGTGATGTTTAGACTCCGCGAGGTTGGGTCAGGCAATTAAATGAGACAACGAGTGTCCCGGATGTGCTCGAATATTTGCCAGTGCAGTGTGACGTGTGACCATAGATCAGTAACTGTGACCGCCAGCCCGGGGGTTGGGGTCTTTAACGTGCATCACACAGTAGTGATCACACAAACGCACTGTTTTACGATATTCATCCAGTTCGAAACGGCCAGGGGCGGGCAGGAGGTTGAAGCTCAGAAAAACCTTGAAGCGACCTGGCAAACTACACCCTACCTCTTGCACGCTGGGAGTAATCCGATCGAACGCCACCCGAGTGACGCTGGCATATAGTAAATTAAGTTTGTAATTGTCCTGAAGGTTTATTTTCCGGGACGGAGGAAACGCCTCGCAAAAAGCAGAGAAGCCAACACAACTCGAGGGAGGTTGAGGAGCGTTCTACTATACCAGTAGCGTCGGAAGAGGAAAAACGGGGGGGGGGGGGGGGGGGGGCTTTAGCCTCCCTTTCCTCCCTTCCAGATATTTCAGACTGTTACAGAAAACAATACGGGGAAAGGGGGCGTGGTCGAGCTTATTTTAATCTGAAATTATTTATGCATATGTATAGCTACTGTTGTTCTTCATTGCATAAAAGATTGCGTAGATGGTCATTCTCGAAAACTCGTTGTCAGAAGGCACTACTTGTCACATGCTCAGTGGTTCGGAAGTTCACAGCTATGTCTTTTCTACATAAATAACTGTGCCATTGATAAAAAAAGTAAATAAATAAATAAACATAACAATAAATGCGTGAATAAAAAGCTCCAGAAAAAAAATAAAAACTCAAGAATTTGCCGGAAGTGTTGTGTTCTTGCATATTCAGGGGCTCAGAACTTCGAAACAGGTTTCTCCTACCAAAATGTGCACAGGCTAAAAGAAACACGTCCCAAGAACGTGAAGCGAAAAAACAAATGTTTATTTTTTAATGACGTGCTGAACTTGAACAATATTAGATATCTTCTCCCATGAGTTAATTTATTCCTTAACGTGAAAAAACAATAAATACATTTTTTTGTATTCTGCAGATGGCAATGATAGGTACTGTCTATTGTGTTAAGTTAAATGCCATACCTCAAACAACTTGGACGAAAAAAAATACCAAGTTTAGGGCATAATTACTCGTAGATACATGTTTGGACATTTCTTTGAAACTTATCTTGAATAATAATAATCACATCTTAAGACGACACTTACCTAAGCTATACATAAATTATTCTTAAAAAGTTAAACATCTCTACCATAAATAGCTTCGACTAAAGCGTGCTTCAAATATGGCACAAACGACAATCGTCAAAAAACCGTCGTCCTTCCTCGCCCCTTCGGGAATTTTTTTTTTCTTTTAAACTAAGCATGCCAGAATATTGAAATAAATGGCATTGTCTTTCGTAAGGAACGCAGCATCGCATGTAAAAAGTCGAGAAAAAAAAACGACCGTCAGTATTTCGAAGTTCGACGAACGTCGAACTTTTACCCTAAAAGTTTGAAGTTCGTCGAACTTTTGACATTTTAGGATGCGAAGGTTCGAAACTTTTCAAATTCTCTTGATAAATAAGTTCGAAAATTGTTGAATTCCTTAGCGTTGGAAATTCGAAAGTTCGAAAAGCTTCGAACTTTTTAGTGCAAGAAGTTCGAAAGTTTGAAAATCATCAAATTTTTTGGTCTATCAAGTTCGAAAGTTCGACAAGCATTGAATTTTGCAGCGTAATAAGTTTGAAAGTTCGAAAAGGATTGAATTTTTTATCGTCATAAGTTCGACGGTTCAAAAAGCGTCGAACTTCTTAGTTTAACAAGTTCGAAAATTCGACTTTCGTCAAATTTTACTATATAGAAAGTTTGAAAATTCGAAATCTTTTGAACCGCTTGATTCGATAGTAGAAACTTCGGTTCGAAAAAAGTTTGCGGCATCCCTACATATGAGATGTACAGCTCTTTGAAAGCACAATGCTTGTCATGCGTTGTAATGGTCAGTTTGTAATGGCAGTAGCATGAGAAAGCTAGGAAGCAGTGAAGGGCAGGTGTCTTATCATTAATTTTATTTAATTAAGTTTGTTTTGACTCCTGAAAATCGACAAAGGAAAAGTAGCTTCAACATGATTGCTTTTCAATTTTAGCATTTTGCAGAAGCTCTCCTTGCATTAAACTGCTGGAATTTTTTTTCCTGGCTATTTGTTACAGATTTGTTTTTTTCTGCTGCCAGTATGAGATTGCTTTTGATAAAAATTTCACAAATTCAATATTACACAAGTTCACACAAATATGACACAAATTTCTACATTTCATGTCGTCAAGATTGTCACTCTTGGCCGGTGATAAGTGAGTTTGCTCTGATTATCTGCCATGAACAGCACAGCGCCCAATGTATAGGTAGTATTCAGGCCGAGCATTCCACACCGCAGTAAGTGGGGCTTGTTTTGTTGGTACACTTTTAATATTGCGCTCAAATGTGGCACCCAATGATTATCTTCTGTCCTCAGCCAAATAAATATACAAATACATAAATACTTGTCCCCCTAAAAAAATATTATACATACCGTATATATATATATATAAAACTAAGAAGAAATAAACCCTTAGTGAAAAACAGCAACAACGGACGATTTAATCTTCGACGTTTCGGCCGGAGTCCGGCCTTCGTCAGGAAGACATATATATATATATATATATATATATATATATATATATATATATATAAACACTGCAAAAATAAGGTATGCATTGCTGAACACTCAGTCTCCGCCCGATTGTAGCTCAAACGGTTTGGACGAGATGCCGAAGTTTCAGAACTAATCGTTATTCAGAAGCGATTTTCCGAAGCTTTCAATGGGAAAATCAGGCCTGTTCTCGGCTCGTCGGCCACCATTTTCCCGTTTAAAATTTCCGAAAATCGCTTAGAACTTCTGAATAAAAATCTTTGTTGGGAAATTTTGACATGGTTAGGACCACAAGTGCTGCATTTTGGGGGAACACTGAGCGTTCAATTGCATAGTTTTTAAAAAATTGCGTAGTTTAAAAAAAAATGAATTTATGGTGCTACCCAACAAAGAAGATTCTGTTGTCTTCGTCCGTTTTTTTTTTTTTTTTCTTGTTTCTTATCTTAGAGTTTACAAAATGTTGATTCATTACCAGCTGCCCTCTCTCTTTTTTTTTTTTTTTTTTTTTTTTAGAAATAACGAAAACGTTTTGCCGAACATTTATTCTCTGTCCAAACGTAGCCCTGGCGGTCCGGATGCCAGTTTCAGCACTGACCATTATATAAGTTATATAACGATTTTCAATGGCTACCTGACAGAGCTCTCGAGTTACCAAAAATGGGCCCCCATTTTCCCATTGAAAATTGCAGAAAATAACTTGTAACGTTTTAATAAGGTTACTGTCAGTTCTGATACTTTGGCATCTGGTTCGCCCCTGTTTTTTTTTTTTTTTTGGGGGGGGGGATTTGGGGGGCGGGGGGGGGGGGGAGGATTTGTAGATGTTTTAAAACAAGAAGAGTCTTGCTGATTTTTAGAGCTGAATTTGATAGTACATGCATTCAATCTGCGCTCACGTGCGTGAAAATGTGGACGAGTTCCTCCTTGGTGATGTATCCATTGCCATCGCGGTCGAAGAGTTGGAAGGCCTTGAGGACTGCGCTTTTGGAGAGGCCTTTGTGGGAAATCCTGCCAGCCATGAAGAAGAGAAACTCTTGGAAGTCGATGCTTCCATTGCGGTCGCTGTCAATTTGCCGCACTATACGGGCCAGCTGGGAAGGACTGGGCCGTTCGCCCATGGCGCGGAGGACCATCTCTAGCTCGGTTGTGGAGATAGTTCCGTCGCCGTTGCGGTCAAACAGCAGAAACGCTCCCTTGATGTCCGCGATCTCTTCCGGAGTCAGGTCCATATTGGGAATGCTCAAATTTTGCTGAAAATGTGAAAGATCGGTATTGAGCGTGTCAAGCCTTTAGTTTTCTTTAGTACGAGAGCTATCGGCGGTAGCACGCGCTTCTTGCGCGAGTTCTCGTCGAGCGCGGTGTGAACGCTTTTGGATCGGTATTTGGGCAAGTAAAAAATAATTTCTAAGAGACCAGGTTATGTTTGTGCAACAAAATCAGCTTTTTTTTTTTTTTTTTTTTTTTTAACAAAAGCAATGATTGAAGAGGGGCAGAACAAAATATGGCAAGAAAGCATAGAACTAACTCTGGAGCGCGTGAAAACAAAACCGAAACCATACTTGAGCTGTCAAAGAAATTAAACATTTTGTCTGAAAAATATTTTTTATAAGAAAGCATAAAATCTTCTGCCCCCAAAGCTTTTTTAATATTTTTGTGAAATTTTTATTACTTTTTTTTATTGATTTCCAAACGTGCAAACCTCATGCCGTTTTCGGCGAGTTCTGGTTAACGCATTATCGAAAGCAACCTTGATAACGCTCTTCGCGACGAGGACGACGCACGTGTGTTTGGGTTATGGCACGCAAGGCAAAGAAGAAGGTAAGTACTGATTTCTCTCTGTTATTTGGCATTGTATTATATGCAGTTAATAATGTAAGGATACCATGACCCTATTTGGTTATTTTATTAGCCTGTAAACGTTCTAAGAGAGAATGGCAGATTTGGCATATCGACGACACCATTCACTCGTTACGTCAAATGGGATGATCTAATGTTTCACTAGAGCTTAAAGTCCCATAACATCATATTATGGGCCAATTATTTATTTAATCTTAACAGACCGAATTGCATCGTATTAGAGCGTGAGCGGACCCTTACTGGAAAGGATCGTAGAAGCTATATGGAAGTCTCAAATCGAGCACCTACACCTTGCTTTTCAGGGAACCAGTGGGGCAGCCACCAACTATATCAACAGAAGAAAAGCCATTCGAAAACTCCAACTTTCTCTAAAAGACTTCAGGTATGCGCTTTCTTGATGGATTCACAGTTCCCGTTTCTCACGCATGGTACTAGAGTACACGACTAGGACCTCGGTCATCCGTTTTGGTTACATGCTCACAGAACAAGTTTTGTCTCCTCATACTCATAGGCACGGCCGCTCAGTCCTTGTGATTGTGCACAGTCAGCAGGGTCATAAGCGGCGCCCGTGGTGGCGTGTGCGCTTTGCGAACCAAGCGTGTGAAGGCGCGCGACAAGGCGCGCAAGCCGTCAGGCCCGCTTCAGACAGAGCAATTTCACCCAGCAACTTGACGTTGCAACACCAGCAACACGGGCCGCCACCGTTTTGGTTACATGCTCACAGAACGACAAGTTTTGTCTCCTCATAGGCACGGCCGCTCAGTCCTTGTGATTGTGCACAGTCAGCAGGGTCATAAGCGGCGCCCGTGGTGGCGTGTGCGCTTTGCAAACCAAGCGTGTGAAGGCGCGCGACAAGGCGCGCAAGCCGTCAGGCCCGCTTCAGACAGAGCAATTTCACCCAGCAACTTGACGTTGCAACACCAGCAACACGGGCCGCCCGCGTTCACACGCAGCAACCGAATTGCTCCGACTTACCATCATCATCATTAAATTTGATTTTTCTTTCACTACTTAGACGCCCAGCTACGCGCTAAAAACGCGTTCTTATATCTTTGAACGGCGTTGAGAATACTAGTTCATTTTTCTGAACCTGTTTATTTCCGAAAATGATTAATTTTGAACTAGAACTAAGTCTTTAGCTGTCATCATCACCACCACAGGGGTGTCACGTGAAAATATCACGTCTCTGATTGGCTGCGGCCGCTTCAACCGTCTTCGAATAGACCGATCTCACCAGGAGTTGCGCGATGCCACCGCTACCGCGGTGCATTCTGGTGCCTGTAGTTCTCCTCAGTTTTCCGGCCGCGTCAATGAGCCATCTACGCCCGGCGTTTGGAAATTTTCGGGTTAGCACGAGACTTTTAGCCTGGTGTTTACTCATGGTTTTCAATTGGTGGCTTCACCTGTTGTATTTTATGGAGCTATATTAACAGCACCAGGCAAATAGGCCTCGGATATTATGTCTTTCCGAAAGAAAGAAGCATGGCAAAGAAAGGTAAACACAACCGGGCAGGGCGGAAGGAAAATGAGCGTTTTACAATCTGTTTCGCGGTCGGCTTCATAATTTATATCCACCCTATTGCACGTCAGCTAAAATGTGTAAGATTACAGGGCACGAGACATAGAGCAGACCAAAGTGTTCCGTACGCTGGAATCCCTCTGAGCATTCGTTCCGTAGCGGTCTATCCGTCGGTCTGTCTCAAATAAGACCTCCGCACTGCTTTGCGGAGGCCATTTTTAATACATTTTTTGCTCGATGTATTTTGGTGGTTATAACTATTATTGCGACGACATGTTTCAAGCACAGCTGTGCTTCAAAAGATCACGACAATCACTAAAAAAGAGCAGCGATTTCCGATATGCATCGCTTGAAATAAAACAACTTTTTTCGGAAGCAGTCTTCACTTTTTTTATATATATAAACGTGAAAACACCACAGAATTCAATTTAGAAGTGCAACACTTACTGCCAAAAATGTAACAAACGAACCTCATTCATTTTGTTGTCGCCTATTAGGCTGGTGTTGCTGATCCATTCTGCATTAACAACAATCGAGGTCGCAGAAAAAAGCTTTGCCTCATCGGGCGACTGTTAGCGTTTGGAGCTTGCGCCAACAAAGTAAAACTGTTCAGAAACTGTGCACGAAAATCATCCCCACCTTAAGCTTTCAGGTATCTGGCATGGTGGCTACTTTTTGATAGATGCCAATTGTTACGGCGCGTCAGGCATGGCCTTTCTGTAGATCACTTCTTCTTTCTGTGCAGGCTTCTCCCGCAGTTAATCTGTACCCTGTTGCACAGGCTGTCAACCAAAATGAAACAACTTTTAGAAAACTATTGCTCACCGAGAAAGTCTATTTAGTTCCTCACAGTTTTTCACCAACACATTCGATGCTGCTCTGCGGCGCTACACCAAGCCGATGGTCCCTCGAATTTTCTTGTTCTTTGCCATTGCGCCATTGTTTCCAAGTTAATTGATACGTCCAATCAGCCGGAATGGTCGAGTAGTGGTGTCCTTGATTTTTTCCCGCGTCCGTAGTGCGACCACCGCGTGAATGGCAGTGGGCTCACGCGTTCACGAAGCAGACGACAAAGCGATTCTAAAGCGATAAGACGACTAAAACTGCTTTTCTGTGGAGGCTCACAAACTAAGGCATCACAAACAACACAATGTCATGAAGTGCAGACATGTAGGAAAATCAAGCTGATACCGGGGCGTCTCAAACGATAATCTACAATGATGTACGCGCAGCCCTATGTTGCCGGAAAGGGATGACTACAAGTAGCATGGCGGCGGCACCACTTCCGGAATGCGCGCGCATGCGCAGTTCGGTTGGTGACATCGGTCTATTGCTCCGAGTTGCTCGCTTGTTCGAGCCGGACCCGATCTCAGCAATTCGTGTCGATCTAGGGAAAGCTAGGGAACAACCCGCCAGCAACTTCAAAATTGCTGGAAAAGTTGCCCTGTCTGAAGCGGGCCTCACGGCTCCCGTTTCATGACGCTGCAAGCGCGGAGTGATTGACGATCGCGTAGTGACCTTCGTATCAATCGCGACTGTACGGCAGCCGTCTTTGAAGATGAGCTTCCAAGGACTGCCGTTGGATGCACACTAAAGGTTTATTCACAAGATGCATCTTTACAACGCGCCACAGTTTAGCGAAACCGAGATTTCGTGAAATCGGCCTGTTCACACGTGAAGTTTGACGCGCGAAACTTGTGACGTATTGACTCTGGGAATTTCGCCAAACCTTGTCATCTACACCGGGAATATCAAGCGTTTCGCGTCATAATGATATGGAGTATGAACGGTGTGAAGAGACAGTCTGTTTTACTTGGGAACAGTATTGGTCGAATGCGGGTTGGGCATGCTCATAAACATTTTCTGACCAACCACAAGCCGCAAACGTTTCCTATAATTGGTGACTAGCTAGGAATACAGTAGGAGCTCTGCCTTCAGCCCACACTTGTTGCACGTGCAACAAAACGTTATGAACGGCAGAAAGCATGTGCCCGAGGTGGAGCATCTACTGCATTCTTAACCTGTCGCTGACTGTAGACCCTTTCCAAAATTGTGAAATGATGCGTAGATTACACGCAGACGCCATTAGTTGGTCTCATCGCTGCGTGAAGCCCTCGATTGGTTCCGAGTTCGCTCCGGGCACTAACACAGCCCACTATGGAATGCGTTTCGATCTGAGTACACTCCTAATACTGACGAAGTGCTCGTCTCCATTGCGTTCTTCGAAAAAGTTTGAAATGGGTCTATTAGCCATGAGAAAATGGAGTGGCGCCACTTGACGGTTCTTTGCGTGACATAGGAGCAAAGGTCACGTGACCACCTCGGTGCTTCATTGGTGGCATGTAGGTTGAGGTGTATCATTCACAATTCGTGTCTAATTTACTATCTTGATCGAGAGCTTGGCGTTGTTTGTGACGTGATCTCTTTGTTGTACTTGTCACAATTAAACTTGAGAAGTATTACAATAGTGGTGTTCATCTCTATGGACCAGGGCCCAGTGACCCAGCTTTGTGTTATCGTACTGACCTCGACCAAGTCAGTCGTGGTCGGGGCTTTACTATACTTAGCGAATAGTTTCTGCTGCTACGCATTAAATCACACATTCAAAGCAGACTAGGCCGGCAGGTCACGGACGAGGCCTCCGAAGATGTCGTCTCTCACCCCGCGCATGAGGATTCGTAGCTTCTTCTCGTCTGTAGCCCGAGGGTCGGCGCGGGCGCTCAGGCGCAGAACATCCTCTACGAAGGCGGTGAAGCTCTCGTTGGGGCCCTGGGTCCTGGTTCGCAGTAGGTCCTCGGCTCTCTCTCAACGGTGGTGGTTGACGAATGTAGCCTTCAGATCGGTCTTGAAAATGTCCCACGACGTCAAATAGGACTCATGGTTCTCGTACCAGTGCTTGGCAGTCCCCTCAAGGGAAAAATAGACGCTGTGCAGGCGCTGCTCGTCGGTCCAGTCATTGTGGCGGGCAACGCGTTCATACTGGTCAATACAGTCTTCGACGACGTATTTGGCGAAGGGTAGCCTTCTGGGGCTGAGCACGTCGCTTGGCCGGAATGTCATTGGAGGGGTACGATTAACGGGCATAGAATAAAGTACCCCCCCCCTCCACCAAAATGTCACGGGTGGTGACCAAAAGAACAATAAATAAACAGGAAGAAAAAAATGTTTAATGTGGCGAACTTGTGCCAAAAATAAAAGGGTATAAAAGATAATAACAGAGCATCGAGGGCATCGAAGTCGGCGTAACAGCAGAGTCGAATGCTGGGGAGAGACTTAGTTTGCAGGAATAAACAAAAAGATGCGCTGCTCCCAGGAATCGAACCCTAGCTTTTCACGTGGGAGCCAGGTACGATAACCGTTAGGCCACGCGCGCGCTGCCTACTTGGCCAGCTGCGTGCGCAGCAATATAACGTATGCACAGCATCGTCATGGAATTACCTTCTGTGATAACTTCTAGTGCTTGATACTGACGTGACGTTCGGCAAAGGGAGTCTTGGTCTCAGCGAAACTACTGAGACATGTTCTAGCTCAATCTGTGTTGATATTCGTACCACCGTCACCTTGGAAGAAATGGGACATACATGAAGAGTGAAGTATAGGTGCCATATGATGCAGAAGTCATCCATACAGTGTTTATTTGAGCTGTGCATCAAAGAAAGCAGCAAGTAGAATGGACAAGTGTGTCACTGCAACAAGAGCCACCGCCACAACCGCGCAGTACTTAAAAAATGACATGGGGATAACAAAGAGATAAGACTCACCTTCTAACCGGAAGATTTAAATGAACATTCAAGCTGTTCATGCAAAGACAATCCGCTTAAAGAAGAAAAGGATCGTGCAAACGCCTTTCATTCAAGAAGGCAGCTGGTCGTAGGCAGCGAGCGACGAGTGCCTTGCCAGGCCTTGCCTGTTGGTACTGCTACGGCCGCTCAAGTTGACGGGATTGTTGTTCTTGCCTCCCGAGACCGTGAATCGAGTGGCCTGCACCGAGCATTGTAGTCTTGAGTATGTATTTCTTTTCTTTTGCTGCTTGAAGTCGGGAAGCGTGCGAAGAGCACGCAGAGGTATGCTTGTTAGTCTCCACTTTAAGGTATTTAGGCGGTGCTAGCGGACAGGAAGCTATCGTAGAATTCCATCGTAACCTACACAAAACTCACAACCGTTTTGCTTGGCGAGTTTGGATTTGTTCTTAGGTTTCGTTGTACGCACATTCTGCATCATTGCAAAAGTAAAATATACTTAGCGAACAGTTTCTGCTGTTACGCATTAAATCACACATTCAAAGCAGGGCTGAGAAAATACCTGGCCCCGTCGCTTGATTCTCATCTTTACATCATCATCGAGCGTTTGCAGCGCTCCAATCGGTCCTTCTTGGGGCTTATACACCAGCTGAACTCTCCGACGTCAGGCCACTGCAGCAGCACTGCTGTCGGCACTACCCACGCACTGACGCTTCCCCTCTCCCGGATTTGGTTTCTGTGCACGCACAGTGCCCACACTTGTTGTGGGCACATGCGGGCTTGTTTATAAAGTGTGTGTTGGTGTATGGGAGTGTGGGGGGGGGGGGGGGGCAGCAAGCAGAACAGGTGAACTCTAATCAATTATTTTATTTTAGCATTCTTGGAACCAACTGTGTTACGACTCCTTGCATTCCACTGCAACATGTCATAGGGATTTTCTTTTCCATGGCAATAATCTCGTCAGAACATAGTCGATCATACTCGGACGTAATTGTCCGAGCCGGCCACAAGCGACTGAAACTGAAATGCATGTTATGCTTTGAGTAAAATTTCTGCAAGGACTTAACATAAACATGACTGCGCTAGCGGCTTCTGCGTCGGCACAAATTGTGCCCAAATTATCTGTACATGCTGCACACAAAATTTGTTAACCCTACCACGTTGAGATAGATAGATTTTAGCTGTTTCTGCAAATCCAAGCCTTGGCTCAGTTCCCCCGTTTCTGCGAAGCAGTCAGGAATCTCATGGGCTTGTTCTAGCGGGCCGGCCACGAGATTTCTTACGTCGCATTGTTACGGAGTGCTAAGATTTTAAGTTAAGCCGTTGTTAACGGTGACGCACCATCTGCAGGAGACTATGCATCCTCAAGGGGATCTACCCGGTCGAGCCCAAGTACAGGAGGCACGTGAATCACGGAAGTTCGGTTCACAACACGTACTACCTCCTCAAGGACATCCAGTTCCTTGCACACGAGCCAATCATTCAGAAGTTCAGAGACTTCAAGGTATGTGTCCGGGAACCCGGTTCCAAAAGCCTGCTCCTAGCAAACTACCGTAACATACTGAGAGGTAGCCCACCTAAAAGCGAAAACAAATTGAGTGAAAATATGAAGTAAGCTAACTTTCAGCTTCAACCAAAAAAAGTTTTAAAAAATTCTAGTTTTAGATTTAGTGACCTGCATAACTTGTGATTGCAGAGAGGGGTGATAAACCAAAGAAGACTGTCCTTTCCAGTCAGCGATGTACGCCCATCTCTCGTCGCGTCTAAGGAACACCATTTCTGCCGAGGTCACCATTGGCCAGGGCCCTGCAGTTACTAGAAGTGGGCTGTCTTTTGGTGTTCTTGAAAAATAGCAGATCCTGTTAAAAACGGGTGGGTTATCTTTCAGGGGTGGGGCATCTCTCGGGATATTACGGTAGCATGTTGTAGCATTTTAGTGAAAGTTTGTATAAGAAATTTCAGCCTGTTTCTGCTATTAATGTTCTATCTTACACTTCATCTGTTTCATAGGTGTGGTCTGCAGTGTATGAAAAGCTCTGTACACATTTACCTGTTTAAAGTTCAACTTCTTTCTTATTTATATTCTTAACTTATGCAAAACGAGCATGTAGGATTTGTGTCTGCTATGAGATTTGAGATTTTTCTTCGAGGCATGGCAAAATATTGCATTCTAGTTTTTAGGTCATTAAAATAATTCCAGGTTAGAAAATGTATTTTTTAAACTGTTTATGGGGATTTTTAAGGTTTCACTATGTATTCAAATGCTAATAGTATATAAATAATCATTTTGTAGCGTGTTTTTATTGCTATCATATTATTTTGAACAGGCATATGCTAAAAACTATGCATATATGTCAACTGTGTTAAAGGTTGACTCGTTTGCTTTTTATGTTGTAGCAGCGTAGCAGTCATTTGCCATTTATATTGTAGCAGTATCTTAGCTAGCAATCTGTCATAAGTGATTTTGAACTTCAACCTTTTGTCAAGTAGACCCTTTATATGCAGGCGTTGTGATAGCTGACGTATCATGATTGTAACAACCAGTGGAGAAGGTTTCCATGTCAGTGAACACACAATGGTTCTCTGTAGAATTCCTGCAACAGTGTGGCACATGATTCGCACACATCAACAGTAACTCATTGACAGACGGTATGTGCCTAATATCTGCAATGAATGCAAGGAGCACTTTAGACCACCTTTAACTTTGTCCAACTTCGATTTTCACTGGGTATCTTATAGCCCCAGTCCTCAAACCTCCCTCTAGAGTATTGTATATTAAAGTTGAGACCTTGTAGTTGCTCAGCTAGGCAAGCCTTCGGCTGTCATGATCCTTGATAGTGGACATTTTTCCCGTCAGTCTTCTTTGCTAACCCTGATGTGTTGCCCATTTCCAGGTGTTCATACGCAAACTGAGGAAAGCCTTAGGCAAGAACGAAAGGGACACTGCAGAGCACATCCGTAACAATGAGCCAGTCTACAGGCTTGACCACATTGTCAAGGAGAGGTGAGTGTGCCAGTGGCCACATTTCATGCTTTACATCTGAGATCACCGCAATTCTTTGCTGAAGGAATTATTTTCAGCTTTATGCCACTTCTGCTTGGAGGGTGTGTGTCATTATTATGGTCTGGCACCTTAATTACCCACTAAGAGTTAAATTAGTTTTCTTGCACCTTGCCGATTAGACAAGTTACAGTGATGGAAGTGCTGCATCATTTGCGCCTAATTGTGCCATAAATGGATGATTGTGCCACACCTGCGCCAAGATAAGCTTGAACAAAACAAAAAATATATTTTTTTATTGGTCGACTTTCATATTTAGAAAAGTAGGAGGAAAGGAAAACTGTATAAATATGTATTCCACAGCGTCTCTACTCACCACAAGTTTGTTTTGTCTTAGGTCAGAGCACAGTCGAAGGCTCGAACACATACAACCGCAAGCACGCATACTAAAAGTGCGAGTCACGGGACATTCACTGCACTTGATTGGTTTAGCGGATGAAAGAGAGATGATGAATGCCATGATGTCATGCTTTGATGCTGTTTGATTGATCTCATTGTCTTGTAGCGTCGGCTGCGCTTTGACTTGAAGTGAGGCGAAGTATCGAGCTTGCCCCTCAACAGCGCTGGCTGGTTGGTCGCCAATGTCGTCTAAATTTCCAGACTATGTTGGCAATGTCAGGAGCTAAAAACCGCTGCAAAAATTTGTAAAATAGTAGGACGGCGGCTAATTGTATTCCTAATGAGATCACTTGATTGTAATGTTTGCCACATGGCTCCATGCCGTGGCTCCAGTGGCGCCGCCTGCGTCGACCTTCGCCACCTCTCACCAGCGCACATGTCGAGCTTCACTGCTTTGCATTGGAGAGCTATGAGCAGCGGCTGACATGGGGGCCTGGGTTAGCAAGATAGGAACGGAAATTACGCTCAGTATTATCACAGGTTGATCTTTTTTGGTCTTGATTATAGGTTGAGTTATGATTTTAAAAAGCTGTGCCAAGAAAGAGATAGAAAGAAACAATGTTGGTCTATATAAATACTGTAGTCAGTGTAGTTCTTGTGTACCTGTCGATTCGAAGAGCAGCAAACTTTGCTCTTTAGCGGTGTTGGAACCAGGTTTAAGTCAGTGTCACTTTTGAAAGCACAAGTTTTGGCTTTCATAATGTTAGTGGGTGGTTGTTTTTACAGCTTAGGATATTAGAGTCTTGAGTTTGGTAGGTTCATAATACTTGGGGTATATATTTTTATTAATTGATAAACGTGTTAGTGGAGATGTTGATTTCTTTCTTGCATTTTACGGAAATTATATTTACAGGCTAAATAAACTACAGAGTTTAAAAGGGGGAGGGGAGAGGCTTTATTCCAACTGAAATGTCTTGCCTTAAATTATTTTTTCTGAATAGAACCTACTATGTCCAGAGCCTTAGTTCTAAAAAGAAGGCTCTGCATTCCTTTTACACCCAATCTATTCTTATTACAAAAGGTAATGGATAATATGCTGCAGTGTTAAAGAGGAACCCTCAATCATTAATATAGATGAAATCATTTAGCGATGCAGTCACTTCTTCATTTTCATGGGATCTGCTACGAACAGATGTTGGCATCTGCTTCAAAAGTGTCTGCGGGTTCTCCAAACCAATATTTTGCCTGCTACAGAACCTTCTACAAAATGTCAAATGCCTTTTCCATCACTGAAGTTCATTCAGCCAGGGGTGAGGTACAGAAGTTGTGTACAACGTACTGTATCCTCTTTCTGCAACTTCTTACATTGTGCATTCATGGTGTTCATTGTATTATGTTAGCACTAGCTGAAATGCCATAGTTTCTTTTGCATAGGGACAAAAACATCTCACAGTTCTCTTTCTTTTTGTGCACTTACCTAGGTATCCGACATTTGTAGACGCCCTGAGAGACATTGATGATGCACTGTCCATGTGCTATCTCTTCTCCACATTCCCCAACGGAAAAGTGGTGAAGCCCACCCTCGTTGGCCTCTGCCGGAGAGTCATAGGTGAGTCATTTTCCCAACACCATGTTGCATCCAATTAAAAAAAAGGGTGTATATCAAACAGGGTGCCCTACTCTACGTTACTTGTTCTAGTGTCACTCTTTTGAGTTCCAAGCGCAAACACTGGCCAACTTCTCGCGGCACACATGCGCACTGCGGAGTAGTAGCATGATACAGTGCCACCTTTTTGCGGAGCTGTTCTGTTCTCTCAATTTGTGTTTTCTTATTCTTTCTTTCTCAATTCTCTCGTTTCCTGTGACGAATGTTGTCGTGCATTTAGTTTCACTCTTTCTCTCTGTCTGTCTGTCTGTAGATATCTTGGGGGACATGCTTCTGTTGGGTACAGAGTGGCACTTATGAGGATTATACTTGACTCTCATCCAGTGGAGTTCATGCACTACGTGATCGAGACCCGGGCCCTGCGGAAGGTCTTCATCTCCATCAAGGGCTACTACTACCAGGCTGAGATCATGGGGCAGACCATAACCTGGATTGTGCCGCACAACTTCTCCTTCAGGGTATGGCCCAGTCCCGGTCATTTTCGTAGGGCCCAGCCAACGAGCATGATTATCGTTTGTTTGACTGGCCAAGCAAACAAGCTACCAACAGGCATGGGCATCTCAAATTCATCTTGTTGGCAGCTTTCCTTACGCTTGAACATCGTCAGCCGGCAAAATCTGTTTACAAACCGGCGGTACAGCTGGGGCTTGGATGGCCAAAAAGCTTTTTTGCATCGCATTAGCAAGTGGTGTCTGTTTTGTGTTAGCCTACTCTAGAGAGCCCAGACCAGCAGGGCTCCAGTCAAACTGGTGTCCATCATATTTATTTTATTCTTCGATTTGTTTGTTGACGAAGGTGAATCTCTATGCTCAACTGTTGCCATGTGAATTTGCTGCTGAGCATAAGTCTGATTGCTTGTGTACTAATTAAAAAAAAAAGCTTTTTATTCACTTGGTAAGCTGCAAGTCTAACCCTTTCAAGTCCAACCAAACTTAGGAACAATACCTTTGTGATTTGTTTTTAAGAGGTCATTCATTCAAGGGGAAAAATAAGCAGCTGAAACCTGAGGACTAAGACAATGTGGGCCTTACATTTTTTTTGTTGCAAATTTTAACATGTGCGAAAATGCTGATGTTTGTTTTGTGCCTTATGAATATACAACTTTAGCTTGAGCACTTGCCAGACACATCAGAAAAATAATTTTATGGTCAGGCAACAGTTTGGAAATTACATATGTATACATTCGCAGGGATTTGAATAACCATAATACCTACCGTAGAACCGTACTGTTGAGCATGGTAATATACTGTGCTGAAAGTGACAAAGTTATGAAGGTTTCTCGTCTTTTGTTTTGTGTGTGGGGGTATGCAGCAACCTGTGGATGTCGACTTCAAGATCATGGTCACCTTTGCGGACTTCTATGTTACCCTGATGGGCTGCATCAACTACAAGCTGTACCACACACTCAACCTGCACTACCCTCCCAAGGTAGGGGCCTCTGCATATTCTGAAGGCAAGGTTCTCTGGATGGGATGCAGAAGACAATACCTTCAACCTATGTTCCAGTGGCATGCAGGCTCCACAAACTTTTCTAGTTGCTCGTACAAATGTTATTTCTCAAAAGCATGTTGTTTGCCCATTCTGAAATGTTACTTGGTTCTCTAAAACATTTTGTCACCATTTAGAAATTGAGAGAACATGCTATGCCCAGATTGGAATGCTGACTTGTGGTCAATTGGCTTCGGTCTCCGCGGTGGTGAAGCATGACATCTTGGACAGCGTATGTTTGAATGCAACAAGGCTTGGAGAATTGTTTGTGGCACATAAGCTGTTGCAGTGTTCGGTTCAGGAAAAAAATCTTTTGGGGTATGGGCTTGTTTGCTCGAATGTCTGATGCAGCTTTGGGAATTAAAAGATTTTTTTCCCACCCTACAGTCATGTTCCCTTTCCATCTGTTTATTGCTTAAATATTTTAAAGGATTATAAAATGAGTTTTAGACCTACTTCAGGCTTCTGCTAAAGGCTGCAGATAGCAGAGTTTTTTTTTGTTAAAAGAAAAAGAAATGGAAGGGGGGGGGGGGGGGGGGGGTACTAGTGTCTTCCGACATCTGGCTCCATAGTTGATCCTCTGATACAAATATTTCTAACTGCATTTTATGTGCACATTGTATCTCTTATTGATTTTTGCTGCTGAAAACCTGCTCCTCATTACTGCCCATTTATTTTCCAAATGCAGCTTCAACATGAAGTCGTCGAAGATAATTCAAATGCTGATGATGAGGATGACACTTCAGAGGTAATGACTTTTTACACTTGTATTTATTAATGCGAAAGCATTAACTGTCTCATGGAGCGAGCCAACATCATCAGCTTTGAAACCGCGCCAAACGGCTCTTAAATCCTTCTTTGAGTCAATCGAGCTCCCATTCACCAGTTAGCCACAGCACCTTTTACACCGCTTCAATCCCATTGGCTAACATGCGTCGACCAGGATCCCATTCGCCGGACACGCAGCATTAATCAGCGCGCCAACACGAGTGTTCCCCGTCTTGTTCGCCTTCTCCAGGGATTATTTTCATCATTATTGTCCAGTTCGCTTGCACTTTTGCATTTAATTGCATTATAATAGTAATGTTTTCGCATTCAGAACTCATAAGAAGTGCTTAGGTGTACAAGGAATGACAAGCAGTAAGTAATGCTTTGTCCGTTCGACAGTTTTGGTGGTAACACGTTACAAGTAACGGCGTTACCAGGAACGCGTTACTTTTTGCAGTAACATAGTAACCTACATGTTACTTTTTCGACACAGTAACGGGTACCGTTTTTACATTACTATTTCAAGTAACGTAGTTATGTTACTCGTTACTACTTCCCAATTCTTAAAGAAATGACACTTAATTTTTCCGTGTTTTTAGGCTTCAAGCCATGTTTTTCTTTGCGTTTTTTCTCGTGAGTATTTAGGTGAAACCGTAAAAAGAGATAAAGTAATTATGTTCAGTTTCTGTATGAACATAATGTTTCTTGATATATGAGCTCATGCATACCTGTATCGTCAAAACTGTAAAAAGTGTTAAATCATAATTTAAAAAGTAACAGAAGTAACGTGCGTTACTTTTTATCGGTAGCAGTAACGCGTTCTTATTATTTTTAGGTAACGTAGCTCAGTAATGCGTACCTTTTATTTGCAAGTAGCGAGTAACGTACTTCGTTACTTTTTTGGGGTAACGCTTACAACACTGCCGTTCTGTCGCCGATCTCCTTCTGCTGGGTAGCACGGGCGTAGCGAGCCTCCGACGAGCGCTTGGCCCGTGCTTTGTTCGCGAACACCATGGGAACCAAATCCGGGTGGTCTCGATCAGACAACGGTTTCCCTGCACGTACGCAAGCCTCGGGAAGGAGATTGAAATGGAAGCCACACTTGACTTCAAGAAAGTGCTTGCTGCACAAACGGTCGTTCACGCGAGGCGACCAATTTTTTCGATCCACGGATATTATCCACCTTCTATGCCTTTCAGAGTCTGCCGGGAACTTGTGGAAACTCACTCCGCTACCTTTCTTGTACATTTCGGTGCAATTAACGGCAACGCAGCTTCGTGGCATGCTGAAATGCTACGACGCCCATGCGAAATGTGCACACTTTTGCCCACACCACCCGACTCCGGCACGATCGCAGCGCCGCTGCAGCTCCGTGACGTCAAGCCCGCGTGTCGGTGTACAGGACTAATTTGGGTCCTTGCCTGATGTGATAACAAGATTTAAAATAGCACCACTCTTACGAGAGCAATCCCACTGCCGTATTTTGTTCACCAATTCATTCGGAACTTATTCAAGTTCTAGATTTATTAAAAAGAGGAGGAAATCTCTTCATATGACAGCGCTTTGTTTCCTGGGGATTCTGGATAGCAGCAGTCAAAAAAAATACTTGTAGTTGAATGGCGATTTTTTCTGAAGGCGAAAATCTCAAGCTCTTAGCTTTATTCTTGACCATTCCTCTGCTGAGCGAGAATTTGTGCAGCCAAAGTGTGTCTTTGAGCGAAGTGCTCGCGCTTGCAGCCTAAAAGCGAAATTGTGGTACAGGTGACTAACGTGAGAAAACTTGGGGAAGCAAAATATAAAAGAGGACACAAGGCAAATGAAAACAGAAAGGTAACTGTGTAAATACGTTAGAAGAGCAGAGCTATGTTTCGAGCGGAAATAAATCAGCAACCTGAGATAATTATAGCGCATGTCATTTCTTGCGCTCAAGGCGTAGGAACGAGGGCTCACAGCCCATTGCCCGCGGGCCGTGTCCCAGCGACTCGCGGGCCGCGTGTTTGAGACCCCTGGTATACATATTGCCAAAAAAGGTAGGAAACGACAGCAACACACCCAACGGCCCTTTCAGTAATATGTAAGGGGCCTATAATGCCATGTGCATGCGTGAATGGTGTCCATCCCTGTGTCGGTGCAAGTTCTTTCCTTAGCCAAGTGTACTTATTCCGTAGTTAAGATGTTAGTCACTTACCAGATCAGAACTGCAGGGCGTCTCTTTTGAACATTAGAGTGCCGCACACGCTCGTTGCCTTCTGTCCTGCCTTGGCCATGCGTGTGTGCTTGGAGCCCACGAAGCACCGAAGTGTTATCTGAGGCAGAAAGCTCGCTCTATACATGTTTGCAAGTACGGCCTCAAGGCACCATAATTTTGCTTGCTTGCGGTGTGCTTGGGCGTGTCATAATCGATAGCAAGGCGTCGTAATTAGATTGTGACACGCCCAAGCACACCCCAAGCAAGCAGGATGGTGGCTCCATGAGGTCATACTTGCAAACGTGTATAGTCCGGACAACTGAAAGACCTTCCTGCCATTCTAATCCTCTTAGCGGCCATGGCGAACTGTAAATGCAGTCATGGCTGTCAAGTGGTCGCACCCTTGCCTTTTTTGTTCCAGCGAATCGCCGCCCTGAACCAGAAACTGAAGTCAGTCATTGCAGGCGACACAGCCGAAGAGGCGCCCCAACTGGACGACTTTACGGAGGTACGGAGGAGTCGAAACCAACCCCCCGGACACTTTTGTGGGCCCCTAAGGCGGTGTTTCTAAGCGAGCAAGCGGCGCTGCATTAGTACCGACCTGTGGGGGCGAGGGGGCAAACATAGATGTCTCTTTGTCTCGCTTTTTGGTCCCTTGCAAGTGGAGTGCCTCGTTCTCATCTGCTTCCTGCGTTACAGACTGAGGGCGAAGGCAGTGTTGACATCAAGAGCGAGGAAGAGAAACAGAAGAAGTTCCAGAACCTGTTTGCGGGCATGAAGGTCTTCCTGGGCAGGGAAGTTCCCAGAGAGTCGCTCACCTTTGTACTGCGGTGAGTTTGTGCCACATTTATAATCTCTCGTTGCGATGTACTTGGATGTGTTTGAACTACCCACATCTTCTTGTTCATTGGTATCAAATAAATTGCATAATTTGACACATCATCAGGGCTGGTTGTCTGGGCTAAAAACTTTGTTTTAAGAAGGGGGCTTTTGGATTAAAGGGGCAACACTGCTTCTAGAGCCTTTTTTTTATATATATAACTTGTGATCCCATTCAAGTGAAATTTACTTTGCCTTTGCAATCTGACTAGGTACAATTATGTGCTTGGTTTTGATGTATAGTAGCTTCTTTAGTTTAGTAAATATTGATAGTTTCATTTGCAAAGATTGTGGAAAAGATTAAGACAGCTTAAAGTACTGAAATCAGAAAAGAAACATATCTCAGTAAACTTAAAGGTTTGTGGAATCCAATATGGTATAAATAAAAGCTCTAGAAAATTTAAAAGTTTTTTTAGAACACTTAAATTTTTTTATTTTCAAAATTATTTATTTTAAGAGGTATAAAAGGCGTCTAAAAAAATCCTAGTGCCATATTTGGCATATTTATACCTATTATTGGATACCGTTGGATCTGTGCAAGTGGAGGTATTGCTTCCATAAAATAGTAAGGTGTGAATACATAGTTTGTTCTGGAATACTAATAGAAAAAACATGTACACCCATATTTTTTATGTTTTAAAGACAATATTTCAAGATAAAAAATACTTATTTTAATAAAATAATTCAAAACAAGATGATAAATGCCTGTGAATCTTCCAAAATATTATTTCTTTTAGTATCATTTGCCTTAAAGAAATGTCGCCTTTGTGATAATCTCATCGGCCACAGCAGGCATCGGGGCATGAGTGTGATGGGAGATTTAGTGATTTATCTCAAATTTACTAATTAAGCTTTTGAATATCCATTTTAGCGGGTTCATTCTAAACAGCAATCGTGGCTAGTTGTCAATATATTCCAAAGCGGTTGCCCCATCCCGGAGAGAGGCGAGCAGCATCCGCGGGAGCAGATGGCAAGATATTGCGAGCCTCTGGTAGTGGGATGACATCTCTGGGTCACTTGCTCGCAGCAAAACTGTTTCACACCCTGACGTCTTCTTAAGGGGGGGGGGGGGGGTCTTTTGTCACTTCTTTTTTTAACACAAAATGTGTTGTATGGCTAGCACCTGACCGTTCCCGACAACAACCAGGGACAGAAGTTGATAAGTGTGCCGCCAGCCGAACGCCGACGCAGCGCTCGTCTCCTCGCTGATGTTGACTAGTGCTAGCCCAACGATTCCTCTAGTGCATCCATGTTGCTCCTAGAGGGGAAAGAAGATAGAGTGTCCAGACATACAGCGGCACCCTGTGTGTGAAAGAGTGACAGAAATGTGGAGAGAACGCACGGCGCACCAAGGGGACGCCGTGCCGTCGCTCAACGGTCGGGACAGTGATGCCACTCATCAAGAGCAGTGACCAGCATTGGTGGCGAGGTGCCTCCTAAAGTGTGCACACACTTGTAGTCGAGACAGATACACACCTAGCGAACTCGTACACAGAACCGCAGTAATGTAAAGGCGGTGCTTTTTAAACTATTACAGCAGAGCTGTTAAGGGCTAGTTTCTCCAGTATCGTGTCCACGGACAAAACAATGTCGACACGAAACTCCGGACAGCTACCACCATCTATGAACGACGGCATTAACCAGACAACCAGCTTGCCGGTTGTCTGGTTGTCGCCATCGCTCATAGATGGCGGCAACCTTTTCAGTTCCTTGAGGTCGTCCTAGGCGGCGTCCTCTAGGCATCATCCCGAGGTCGTCCTAAAAGTCGACCTTGAGGTCGTCCTAGATGTTTTCCTTTAGGCGTCGTCCTTGAGGTCGTTCAAGAAGTCGTCCTTGAGGGCATTCTAGACATCGTCCTCTAGACGTCGTCGTTTTAGATGTCAAAGAGATAACAGCTTCGCTGGTCCTTTATCTTCACGTGAGGTGGAAGGGCTCTACACTTCTCTTTGTGATGAGATGTTGCCAACATACCTCAGCAAACCTCACTCATGAGGGCCCTCACTGACCCTCATCTTCACAGGTGAGGTGAGGGTGAGTGAGTTTCTGAACCAGGAAAATTCATCAGTGTGAGTGTGAGGGTGAGTGAGGGTCGTCAGTGTGTGGGGGGTGTGAGGGCTGTGAGCGCGTGAGGAGTGGGGGGCGGAGCAACTTTCTCGGCAACTTTGGTGTTCTGGCGGGTTGTTCCCTAGTTTTCCTTAGATCAACATGAATTGCTGAGATCGGGTCCGGCTCAAAACAAGCGAGCAACTCTGAGCAATTCGAAGACGTTTGAAGCGGCTCCAGGCCAATGAGGGACGCAATATTTTCGCGTGATACCTCGTGCCGGTGATGATGACAACAAAAGACTTGGTTCTGGTTTGAAATTAATCGTTTTTGGAAATTAGCCATTTCAGATAGATGAGGTAGTATTCTCAACGAGATTTAAATGCATAAAAACATGTTTATAGCGTGTAATTGTGTGTCTAAATAGTGCAAGAAAAATTATATTTTATGATGATAATGGCAAATTGCAGCAATTGGTTGCTGCGTGTGACCGCGGGTGGCCCGTGTTGCTGGTGTTGCGACGTCAACTTGCTGGGCAAAATTGCCTTGTTTGAAGTGGGCCAGGAGTGCGTGAAGGCCATGAGTGCGTGAGGTTCAGTGAGGGTGAGTGAAGGGCTGAAGGTGAGTGTGAGGGTGAGTGAGGGGCTGAAGATGAGTGTAGCTGTGAGGGTGAGGGTGAGTGTGGGCGACCTAAAATGCCGACCTCTGGTTGCCACTTCGAACACTTTACAACACGACATAAACAACGATTGGTTGGTGCTGGGGTTGTGCGCAACACTTTACCACCACCTCTTGGTTCTGACATGATAAATTACGTGTGCTAGCCTTTGCGTTATCCAGTCTCCACACGTGTACAGTTTCTCCACACTAACACATCACATTCTGTGTTACCATTGCCTTTGCCTCTCCAGTATGGCAAAGGGGCTACTTTCTTTTTTTTCTTTTAGTTTCAGGATGGCATTCTTAAGAGAGGTTGCAGTTTTCACCTCCCTAATTGTTCCTGCCTCGGGTTGACAAGGTCAAAAACCTCTATACTAGGGTCTCATTAGTGTCGAGGTTTTTGCTGCCTGCTTGCAAAGTTTTTGGTTCTGAACTCTCACATATGGCTTTTGTTGTTTCGATCGCAGCTCGTTCGGAGCAGAAGTGTCCTGGGATGTCACACTGTTTGCCGGTTCCACGTTTACCGAGGACGACCTCACCATCACCCACCAGATAGCAGACAGACCACTGCTGAAGAAGCGCTATATTAACAGGTGACAAGGACCATTTTGTTTACTTTCAATTCAGGCAGCATTTGGAATTGCACTAGGTTCACTTGGAAGCAGCTTCAAAAAAAAAATGTCGACCCTCGCATGAACAGGGCCTGCATGCCTTTCTCGTGGGCTGCGCTGGAGCACTGTGGGCAATGCTCGCATATTTCAGGTTCTCAATATACAGAACTCGTTTTCGAGCCCAAACTTCAACGGTGCCTCATTATTCACTTGGCTTCTCCTTAAATGCCAATGTTTGGCTTTCTGTGGGAATAAGAGCAAAGTATGTGTGCAGGCTCTGTTCACAAAAAAGTCTACCTATTTCTGTGTATAGTTGCCTACTGATTTTTCTAACTTTGCAGGGACCGAAAAAAAAAACGTCCGAATAATAGAGCAGTCCGAAAAATCGGCAGATTAAAAAACTTGTCTTTATTACGTCCAAGCGGGCTTAAAAAAAGCCGTAAATAGTTTCTTGCTTCAGGTTACGGCTGCGCGCCTTGTTTCAGGTTACGCCTCTGTTTGCGTTCGGCAACATTTAGCTTGACAATCACTGCCTTCCTTTCTAGCATTATGATAGAGTACTTTCTGTGCTTCTTAGCAACACACAGTGGCGGCAAAAGAACAGATGAGGCAATGATGTCCAAGCCAGCGTAGTCCGAAAACATGATTCACCGAGACGAGATCGAGATGATGATGATGATGATGATGACAATGATGATGATAATGATGCTAGAGGAGAAAAGTCGTATAGCATCGCCTATCAGTGGGACTTAGCAGTACTCAAGTAGCACTGCCAAACCAAGCCAATCTATGCGTATCCAACACAGAATCCGAAATGGCCGCTTCCGTCGTGTTTCCCGCTGATTGCTCGCAATGATTTTGTCCGAAAAATCGACCTTTCGGACTTGAAGCTGTCCGAAACATTGGTCGTGAATATACAATATTTCTATTGGGCAGGTCATGGTTCCTCCTTTAGGTCCGAAATATTGAACAAGTCCAAATTATCGGCGCCCGAAGAATTGCTCGGCGACTGTAAATACGATAGTTTGCATTAACAATCTTGGCTGCAAGTTAACAGCGGCATTTCTAGATAAACTCAGGTGTGGAAATCCACTCTGGAGGGAGGTTTCTTTGCACGCTTATTGTGACGAGGTGCACGTTTCACAGGAGGGAAAATAGCCATCGTCATCGACTGCCCCCCACGCTCTCTTTGAGCGGCATCTCGGTTTTGTGCCTCTGATAGTTCCGTCCCCCGCAAACCAGGAAAGCATCCAGTATTTTCTTATTAAAGTATATGGGATCTACACATGTCAGCAGCAAGATGGCGGAACCCAGAGTTCATTCTTGCAAACGTCCGTAAGCTAGACGTTTTTATTCTTGCAGACGTCTAGCTTGACGTGTGTGCTCACCCTTCCTTTCCGACCGTACAGGTACTACGTGCAGCCACAGTGGGTGTACGACTGCATCAACTTCCGCCGTCTGCTTCCCGTCGAAGACTACTTCCTGGGGGAGGAGCTTCCCCCTCACCTCTCGCCCTTCGTTGAGGAGAAGGAAGGGGATTACGTGCCCCCCGACAAACTGGACATGCTGCAGGGAAGGAGGAGGGCCAGGGGTGGGTCTTGGCCTTGGCACCCTTTCCTTTTCTGTCAGAGTGCCTGCTTTGGCTTATGCATTGTGCTTTCTAGGCAAGGAGAGACAGACCTCTGATATATACTAAAGTGTAGAGTAACTTTGAACATTTTGCTATGAGCTTTCACTTCGTTTAATCTGTGGCAAGCTTTACTGGTGCAGACTGCTTCTCTTCTTGTCTTATCCACTACCAGTGGAACTGGAAGTGGAAATAAAGGTTGAGTAGAGTCATTTCTGGTGACTCTCTGTCTAATTCTGACATCTTGTAATAACGGATGTAGAATAAACTTGAATCTCCCATTAATGTAACCACTTCTAGTGCAACTGGAACTGGTCACAGTAATGGGAAGATACTCTATTAAAATATGCATCCGAATAGTCCTAAGCAGAGATTTAGTACGCTCCAGTAGATTCTAGTGGGCATTGCACTAAAGCTTCCTGTTTCCTAAGGCTCTGCAAGTGCCCAAAGCAGGTGGATTTACTGCTTATAGTGTCACCGCGGCATAGTGCTCGGTTTAATATGTGCAGTTCTTTTTCAGTTAGGAAACCTTTCTGTAAATACTGTCTGTTCAAAAGTCCATGCTGCACTGACTTCTGTCAGAAGTGTCACATGTCAAATTGGAGCGTGCTCGAAAAGTGGTCATCAGAGGAATCCTTGTAATTTTAACTCTGTTCTGTCAAGAGTTGGGAGTAGCACTACATCAAGAGACATTTTATGTTGGTTTCGGTTTTCAAAGGCCTAACGTAGCGACTGTCCGCTGTGTGGGACGCGTTCGTGAGAGGTTTGGTCACAGTGGGCAGACCGCTTGTGGGAGAGTGTTCACTGAAAATGAGGCACATCTTCTGTTACTTTGAGAGAGAATGTGTGAAACCTGTATGTAACCGCTAGTTTACTTTGCACAATCTATACAGATGAAGAGAGTGAAGATGAGGGCATAGAGGAAGAGGGTCTGGAAGAGGAGGAAGACAGCGGAGAAGGTGAGGCTGAACTTTTGTCCTTGTTGTTGGAATGCAGCTCACATATCAGGATCTTGGACCCGTCCTTCTGGCAATGCAGATCTGGCAGTGTTGGGCAGTATTTTTTTCTACCCAAGGCGGTTTGCAATTTCTGGGAGTGAAATGAGGTCAAGGCATCTATAACAATTGCATATGTTATAGTGTAATTTGCAGTGATGTGATTGCTGCGCCAATTGCGCCAAACTGCGCCAAGGGGCTATCCCTGCTACATCCTGCTACATTTTGCCAAAATATGGGTAATCTGCGCCAAGCCTGCGCCAAAGGCCCAATTTCGGTCGCCTTTCAAAACCAAAACTAAACTAAAAACGTAATTGAGCATGCGTGAGCTAGGTGGCACAAGGGGCCGCCCGACACAAACTACCCTGTATCCATCTGGTCTTACATGGTTTTTGCCGCCGTCTCGCGTTTCGCGCCTCGTCGTCGCGGGAATCTCGTCTCAGACGCGGGCGTGTGCGGTCGCTCCGACGCTAGTGTGCTGGGTGCCAGACATGCTGTCATGCTGTGAAACAAAACCGCGTTTTTGTGCGACGAGAGTGGCTTTGTAAGCTGAAACGCTGGTCGCGCGACGTCGGATGTTGCCGTCCCCACGTCGCTGCAGATGTGGTGCTTTCTAAACTTGTTCATCGACATTCCTGTCCTTGTTTAAATCATACTCTACTATACAAGAATCCCTCTTTAAAGGGATATTACAACGAAATTTCGGCGCTTATTGCTTGGTCTATTCGTGTTCAAGGGAGCTCTATCAGACTCTTGTTGAAAAAGGCACGAAAAGGAATTTTAAAACGAATTAAATGGTTAGCAAAGAGCGCCTGGTGGTTGTCTCTAACGCCTCGTTTGTAATGCCCGTCTAGGAACTTTGACAGCTAGTGACGATAACTGTCTCGCCTCCGGCCACCACGAGAAAAAAGGAGAAGGAGGAGGTCCCCTCCTTCCGAGAATGTCCTTTGTGTCTCCCAGAAGTCGCTACTGTCCATCTACAAGATTATAGAAGATTAACCCGTCACTCAAAGTTCGTACGAAAGCAGCCGCTTCGGTGGCTGGAACGACCATGCCATCCTCTCGACATCAGCCTCGCCTAAGCTTTGCTTGTTCCGAGACGAACTACGTCACGATTGCGGCGAATGTCACGTGCTCTCTGCTGGCTGCTCTCGGAGCGCTTGTCAGAGTGCGCCGCTTATAAACAAAAATACAGCGATCAGGCTCAAAAGGGGAGGAAGTGGCCAAGTGGGCTAACGCGTCTCACCTTGGAGCGTGGAGCGAAAGCTTGCGCTGGGAACCTCCTGGGTTCGATTCCCCGCCGCCCCCGCCCATTTCGATCTGGATGAGTTTCGTACCGGCACGCGTTCGTGTAATCACTACTGCGTGATGCACGTTAAAAAACCCAGGTTAGCGGTTGTACTGCACTGGCTAAATTTCTCATCTACAGCTAAGAGACCGATTACCCGCCGTGGCGTATCTCCATCAAGGCTGTATAAACATACAGAGCAAACCAATTTTTTAGGCTCAAAATACAAATGTGCTATTATCAATTAAGGAAAATGTAGATCATATTCAACCTATTTCTGAACACGACGGGCGTTTTTCGAATTTCGTGTAAGTGTCCCTTTAATTCAGACTACTTGTCGAAATAATGATTATTCAGGTTTCTCTCGGTGTGCTTTCTTTCGAGTGGGACCCTGGTACGTGAAAAATTTGGTACGAAAGAAAGGCAGTCTCTGCACGCTGAACCCACGGAGCGCGCCTGTTTGTCTCGAGTTCAGTCGTTGCACAAAGCGCTCCAAGAAACTTTTGACCCTGACTCGCGATGTCTTGCATCGATGCGCTCAGGTTCTTTTCTCCTGTGTCTTTAAATTGTACCCCACCTGCCGGTCTGGCAAGCAGGCGCCGCTGGAGTGTTGTTTTGTCGTACGCTGGATAGACAGTTACATTTTGCATACTATTTTGGAAACCAGTTGGCGACGGAGCGGAGTGGCATTGTTCCGATTTGGATTGAACAGCCGTTGTCTCCGCTCGCGCGACGAAGCACGCACCCCTGCAAGCGTGCTGATGTTGCCCTCACGTGCATGTGAACATGACTTCACGACAGAGGCACCAGCTGGTACTCTTGGAATTCATTGTTTTACGTTTGCTTACTTTTGACGAAAATCTGGCACGTCGGGAACCAGTAAAACGGTGGCAAGCGTTCTTTTCGAAATCGCTTGGCAACGCCTACAACACTGTACACTTGTGGGATGTCTCAGCAGTAAAAACACAAAAAGCGAGTTCTGTCACAACGCAGCACAAAGTGTCCTTCGTTTGACCAGCACTTAAAACAAACAAAAAATTTTCTAAGACTTTTTGCTTTAAAAACCACTTTTGCTACTCCGAAACACTGTTTTTGCTGCTCCAGAAGCCACGTTTGCTGCTCCAAAGCACTGTTCTGGCTGCTCCAGAGCACTGTTCTGGCTGCTCCAAAGGCTACTTTTGCTGCTCCAAAACGCTGTTTTGGCTGCTCCAAGAGGTGCTCCAAAATGGCTTAGGCCAATCACATCACTGAATTTGTTAAATTGTTGGGTAGGGTCATACTTGGCAGTGAATTCTGTTAGCTTGACGGTTGCATTTTTGTGGCACAATTTTTTTTTTTTTTTGTCTTTTAAGTAAACATTGTAACATTTACAAAAGACTGGTTTAAGAACTGCTTTGTTCAGTTCCACCTCTCTGAAGGCAGTTTGAAGCTTCTCACAACTTTCTGATTGTGCACTCAAGCCTGAAAAATCTCATTATTTTACCTTCATCTTACTTCACCTTGTTGGCATAGGTTCTGATGGAAGATTGTGGGAGTTCTTTGGCGGCTAGGGCATATGATGCGTTAAAATGAGCGGTTGGGCTAGTTGGCTTTGCATAATTACAATATAGCGCAAAGACAACACATCTCTGTCTCCTTCCTGTGTTGTCTTTGAGCTACATTGTAATTATACATATGATGTGGTCTGCATATTCTTTGCCAAGACTCATAGAACGAAAGTTGTTTTCAAAACCATGCAGTTATGCCAACATGCTTGAAAGCATTGTGCATAGAGTATTTATTTGTTCTTTTTTTACAGTTTACAATGTACTAACTTTATCATCAAAGTCTTCCTTCTTTAAACTGTGTTACCACGGCTGCTATAGACCATAGAATCCTGAGCCAAAGTGCCCCCTCGAAATTCGAATCATGTAAAACTGGGGGATGGGTGCTCCTCCGGTCAACAATATCTAGAGATGTATCGTTTGCATACTTTCCGAATGTCACAAAATTGAGGGGTGGTCGCTTATTGTGGAATAGGCGGATGCTCGGTATTTTATGGTAATTATATCAGGGATGTGCAGATATTTGAATGATAGTCTCCAGATCTTTGAAGAGTGGAGGTGTACAGATATCAAATTTTGAACTGTGAATTGAATATGAATATTAAAAATTGGCTGTGAAGGTTCTGGAATGATTTAAAATATATATTTCAAATTTATTGTTAATTTCACTGGTTATGCTTGAATAAATCAGAGCTGAAATTCTATTTTTGGCAAACATATAACTCTGAAAAGAAACAGTTCTATTTCAGGACAAACATTTTATATAGGTACTTGTCTCCAGTAAAAAAAGAGACCCTGACAAGACGTGCCGGGTAGAACATATTGTAGCGTGTAGCATGGCAAGAAAGCAAATGACTAGCTCATTTATTCTAATGTAAGTTGATGTTTGTTTGCGGAACTGTTTCTTAAAATAGGGGGTCCGCCTATAATAGTCACCATTTTGAATTGCGAATTGAATATGAATATTAAAAATTGACTGTGAGGGTAATGGAATGTTTTAAAATATATATCTCACATTTATTGTTAATTTCACTGGATATGCTTGAATAAATCAGAGCTGGAATTCTATTTTTGGCAAACATAACTCTGAAAAGAAACAGTTGTATTGCAGGTTGACCTATTACAGAATACCATGCATTTGCCCATTCCACATTAGGCGCCCATTACCAAATTTGTAAGATCTGAAAAAAAATATGCACAGTGCATTTATATGTAAAACTGATTACCGGACAAGCGCCTATCCCCCATTTTTTTGCAATTATCTCCAAAGTTTGAGTGGGCGCTTGCCCAGTATTTTACGGTACAAACCTAAGCAATAGTTTTGATATATAAATGAGGTGCTCCTGCACATCAGTCGTTTCTATGAGCATGCTTGTGCAAAGCATTGAAGGTTGATGTGCGCATACCAGTGCAAGAGGGTAGAGCTTGACATGAGACGCTGGTGCAAAGCGGTGAAGCTTAATGCGGAGGATTCGTCATTTTTGAACATTTTGAGAAACTCGTACTTTTAGCAGTAGTTGTATGCTGCAAGTTAATCGAGTAACAAACTGTATTCGTGAATTATTCAAAGTTTAGAATATTTGCACACCTCCCGTTGATTGGACTTTACCAGTTAAGATGAACATTTAAAATGTTAATTGGTTAATTTCCAGCAATTAGTTCACTAATTACCACTACAGTTGTAACCTGACATCTGCCACTGTCGGTGACACTACCCCAAAAAATCACTTCTTTATTTTAAATGCTCTTTTCTAAAAGATAATTTTCACTCATAGAGTAGTCAACCTGTATAGATGTTTGCAAGCAGCCATACTTCAAAAGCTAATCTGGCCACTACGGGCACGCTTTAGCAAGGATGTGCAGATCTACACATACCAGCAGCAAGATGATGGCTCCCAAAGATCGTACTTGCAAACATCTATATGCATTCTCCACCATATTTCTATTGCTAACATAAAGAGAGTGACAAAACTGAGACATCTCAGTTCTTGCCGAAACAATTTCAAATTCTAAATTGAGCATTTTAATTATCTCTCAGGTATGTTGTGTACATTAAAAATTTTCCTTTAGTGTCTCTTTAAATGAGTGATCTGTCCTTTCAGAATCGGGAGAGGAGAATGACGACGATGAAGGTGATGATGATGACGAAGAGGATGATGAAGGGGAGGAGTTGGAAAAGGAGCATCTTTCGAGGAAAGTGCAGGCAGCCAAGAGGAAAGCGACGGCAGACCGCAAGGCCGCACCAAACAAAGAGGAGGAAGGAGGGTCCAAGAAGGCCAAGATGGCCGTCCAGGCAGGAGTGGTGGTTAAGGAAGACCCAGCCAAGGCTGCCCAGAAGCAGAAGAGCGAGGAAAAGCGCCTTGCTGTCATGATGATCCCCAAGAAACACAAGAAGCTCTACGAGAAGATTGTGTTTGGCCAGAAGCGCAGGGCCAGGGAGGTGCGTGCCCCCCCTCCCCTTCCCCCCACACACTCACATATAATTTATTTTATGGCAATAGCCCTTGTTGGCGAGGCGGAGAAGTTTTTCTGCAGTGGGGATTCACAGTGTCATGTAATATCCTATCGCATAACGTCGCAATTTTCTCGCTAGATTTTTTTTTTGCTGAATTTAGTGAGAAAATCTCTCGTCTAAGCTTACCGGTTATATTTTTCCGCCAAGCTTGACTGTCAAATTGTCACGTGACGTGATATGATGTGACAGTTACACGAACACCGTCCGCTAAATTTAGTGGGATGCAGGTTCCCCGTGTTTAAACATGACTGTGTAACTTTGTGTAACTGTGTGCAGCAGAACACACCGTCTCAGCTGCCGCCACAGTTCAATTCCGGGAACTTTTTCTCTCAGAAAAGAGTGGGGTTATTTTATTTGTACCTGAAATGCATGAGGGAGGAAGAAATGTCTCTAAGCTGAATACAGGAAAGAGAAGAAGTATAATCCGTGAGAGTAACACCTGGTGGCGCAGGGATGGGAGGCAATGGAAACATAAATCAAACTGTAATTCGGAGTTGATGGGAGAGCAATGCCGGAATGGAGTACTCGAGGAAAAAAAAAAACAGTATTAACTTCTATCATTCACATTCTGTTCATAAAAGAAAGCATATATTGTAGTATAGGAATTTGAACATCCATATTATTCTAGAATTGTTTTCTAAATTTTTTGGTTAGAGTGCAAGTGGTTTCCTTATTTTATTTCTTTCTTACGAGACATGGCACAAATGTGTTATTAACTTTCTTGTTCTGAACACTACCTTTTAATTTGGGATTTCTGTTTTCTAAGGGTGTGCAAACAATAGGTCAAAAATATTTTATTATTGGTCGAAGAGAAGTAGGAGGACAGAAAAATTTTACAAACATGAATTTCACGGCGTCTCTGCTCACCGGATAGTTTTGTCTTAGGTCAGAGTTCAGTCGAAGGCTTGAACACATAAAACCACATACATACTAAAAGCACAAGTCATGAGTTATTCATTGCACTTGATTAGTTTAGTCAATGAAAGAACACATTCAAAGGGATGACGAATGCCACAATGTCATGCTTTGGTGCAGCGAATGAACTGGCCAGAGTCGGTAAAGCGCAGGCTGGTTGATTGCCAACATCATCTAAATTTCCAGATGATGTCGGCGATATCGGGAACTGAGTCTCGAAAAAACTTTGCAAAATAATAGGATTGCCGATTGCGGCTACTGTGATAAAACAGAGCCAGGGTCTTGTACTCCTGATAAGATCACTTGATTATCATGTCTGCCACATGCTTTCCTTTCATGGCTGCAGAGTACCGTGGCACTTGCACCGCTTGCGTCAGCCTTCACCGCCTCTCACTAGTGTGCGCACGTCGAGCTTCACCGTTTCGCACCAGAGCGCTAGGAGCAGTGGCTGACCTGGGATAGCACCTGGCTTAGTGTGATACGAGCGCAAATTATGCTCATGATTATTACAGGTTGACCTTCTTTGTCCTAATTGTAAGTTATGTTCTAATTAAAAAGAAAACAGACAAATTGTATCTCATTAATTTGAATTTGAGGGGGACCGAAAATTTGTTTGAATGAAGCAAAGTCTGCATTACCGGGAGTTTCCTCTCACAGAGACGCATAGGATGGGAGCTGCAGGTTAGTTTGCGTTATCAGCAAGTTTGAATTAACGAGATTCGACTGTATATATTTCAATAAATATGGTAGTTACGGTAGTTCCCGCGCAGCTGTCGATTGAAAGAGCAGCGAACTTTGGCGTAGCTCTGGTTCCTGCGTCACAAAACAGCACTGTCACCTTTAAAGCACAAGTGTTGGCTTTTATGATATTTTTGAGAGGTTGTTTTTTCAGTTTGTGGTATTAAAGTCTTGAGTTTGGTAGGCTCATTAAACTTATGGGACGCATTTTTATTGGAAGGCATGTTAGCAGATATGCTGGTTCTTGCTGGGATTTTACAGAAATGATATTTACAGGCTAAAGGAATTGCCAAGCGTAAAATGGGGAGGGAAGAAAAGATTTATCCCAATGAACTGTTGCACTATGACTCACTTTTCAACCATTTTTAATACCCATTGTAAGTGGATATTAAATGGGACTAGAGCCTTATTTAAGAAGACTGTGCTCCTTTTACACCCTTCTATTATCACAACCGATAGTAATAGTATGCTCGATTATCAACGAGGAACTCTTGATCACTATCATAAATGAACTCATTTCGAGGTCCAATCATTTTTCCGTTCTTGAATCGTATGCTAACAGATGTTGGCATCTGCTCCAAAAGCGTCAGTGGCTGCTCCAAACCGTTATTTTGCCTGCTACAGAACCTGCTTTAAAAGGTCAGATGCCACTTCCATCACTGGATGCAGTTCTCATTAATTCAAAACTGTATTTGCAGAGCTCTATTCTTTTTTAATATTCCAGTAGTTGGGCACATATCCAAGGAAGGATATGCCTGCCTTGCCCCTCCCCCCCCCCCCCCTCCCCCCCCCCCCAAATCTTCCATTTTGCTGGGGCCTCTTCTCCCCCTTCCTCTCATACAGCATTTTGTCATGGATGCCTCCCCCCCCCCCCCCCCCTCCACACCCAAATCAAAATCGTGATTACTTCATGACATAAGGGAACAATGCGGAATGCAAGTTCATCTGCTCCTTTTGCAGGGTTTGTGGTGATGTCAGAACGTTGAGCTCTGATTGAAGGATAGTGGGTAGACTCCTTCAATGGGAGCTCTGCATTCTGACGTCGCCACAACCCTTGCAAAAGAGGCTGACAAACTTGCGTTCCGCATAATGGCAAGATCACCCATCCTAAGGATGATCATGGACACTCCCTCTCATACAGCATTTTGTCATGCCCCCCCCCAATTCAAACTTCTGGCTACGTACCTGCCGCTAGTTACTGGCAGGTGAGGGTTAATAAATGTCTCTCTGCCACTCTTCTGATTTATAATACACATCCTTTTTTTCCGTATGCAGGCTGCACATCTCAAGAAGAAGCGAGAAGAGATATCAGCAAAATCCTCCAAAAAGACGAAGAAAGTTTTCTAGAAACAGATTTCACGTGGGCTGTGTAACATAATAAAAAGGACACATACAAATGGATGAATCTCCTCAATGCTGCACTTAAAAAGAGTCAAATTCAAAAATAGTTGGAAGTCACCAGTCATTCTGTAAAGAGAATTATCTCCCCCTAATGTGACGTGTTAGCCTTTTGTGTTAGTTATTGGTGAACAGAGCTTAGCCCTATAAAATATATGCAAAGAGAAGGCAAAAAACTAATTAATACCTTCATTAATTTTGTACTGCAATATTGTGCGGATGACAGTACAGGCAAGCTGGTGGACATTTACCATGTTACAACTTAATTTGAGACTAGGGTATGAAATAGAAACTTAAACATAGTAGTGTCTATCTCATACCCCAGTCTCTGGTTAAGTTGCAACAAGGAATGAGTGAATGCGCTTCCACTTAGTAAAAAAAAGTTCTGGTCATAATGATGTGATGCATGAATAAGAAAAGTGCCGGTGTATAGTTCCTCCACTCACTTTTTAATCATTGAGTTCTCACCATGTAAAAATTAATTTTAGAGTGCAGCTCTTAGGCGCCCGTTTCCGGCTAGAGCGTTGTCGGCATAATTGCTTAGTACATTATAGGTAAATTTCCCCGCTGAATTTAGCAGAAAAATTTCCCCACTAAATCTGGCGGAAAAATATCCCCGCTAAATCTAGCGGAAAAATTTCTCCGCTAATTCTAGCGGAAAAATTTCCCCACTAGATCTAGCGGAAAAATTTCCCTGCTAAATTTAGCGGAAAATTTTCCTTGCTAAATCTAGCGGAAAAATTTTCCCGCTAAATCTAGAGGAAAAATTTCCCCGCTAAATCTAGCGGGAAAATTTCCCTGCTAAATCCAGCGGAAAAATTTCCCCGCTAAATTCAGCGGAAAACTAAATCTAGCGGGAACCCCCCCCCGAGAACAAGTGACCCTCAGTACCCTTCCCTCCTCCTCCTCAAGAGCTGCGCTCTAATTCGGTGTTACAGCGAGTTGTAAACGGCTTTCACTTTCTTGAACTAGAGCCATACTTCCTGGGAACTTGTAAAGGTCATATTTTCCTTGTACTGTGATATTAAAGGGGCTGTGCAACAATTCTCTGACTTCAGGTTCATAGGTGTGGGAGTTAATTCCTACCACCCATGGAATATGGAACAGAAAACCATTTTTTGATACGTGCCCTAGTTTTATTTTAACAAAATAAAAACAGATTGAAATATGTGCTCCCCGCGGCCACTCAACTTTCACACCGTCTTTCCGGTAATGTGGTTGTCCTGTGGTTGTGATGTTTAATGGGGAGGTAGGTTTCGGGATTCGCAGGCGGCTTTGGCTCGGCCCAGCAGGGACGCTGAAAGCTCGCAGCTCGCTCTCGTACCCTCAGCTACGCTGGCATTTAGAACAAAACAGAGTATAAAAAAACTGTAGTTGGGAAGCATAATGACGCACGTTCCAAACGCGAGCCGAATATTCCATTTTGCTCGCCTGGAGCGCTGCTCAAAACTTGAGAGCCTTGAGAGCTACGGGACTATGGGCAAGTGAGCAACGCCACAGAACAGAGAAGGTTTTGTTGACCTCTGATAGATGGCGCCACTAAAACAACGAATAATATTTCGTAATGGTTGGATACCTTCGATACATTTGTTTATGTCAATACGACCAGATTTGTAAAAATAGGCCTTATGTTTAGCAGATAATTGCACAACTTGGCCAATGTTTTACACGTTCCCCACTTGACATCACGTCCACGTCACGCCGGCCCCGCCCTGTGGTTCCGACGACCACCGCTGTTCGGCTGCAGGCCGGTAAAAGAACAGTTTTAAAATGTCTAATTACTTAGTGATATCGCAACATTTCTGAGGAAGGTTGGGTGTTTTCTGTCACTTAGGACAAGGCACATAGGATAAAAATTACAGGCTGCGATTTCTTTCAACGTTAATATTGTTGCACAGCCCCTTTAAAGGAAGGCGAAAACAGCCTGAATCAGGCTGGGTGAGAATTGTGCAAGCAACATAAGTAGTTGTGATTACTTCATGACATAAGGGAACAATGAGGAATGCAAGTTTGTCTGCTTTTGCAGGAGTTGTGGTGATGTCGAAACACTGAGCTCTGATTGAAGGATAGTGGGTAGACCTCAAGGCAGCTTTCTTTGAGGTCTACCTACTATCCTTCAATGGGAGCTCGGCGTTCTGACGTCGCCACAACCCTTGCAAAAGAAGCCGACGAACTTGCACTCCGCATAATGGCTATATCATCCATCCTAAGGTCGTTCATGGACACTGTCCAAGTGCTACAAAATGGGCTCCAGTCAAGGAGGATAGAAGCGTAGGAGAGGGCATGACGACAGCCGTGTAGCCTCCACAAGCCATGCTCCCTTGACGCCTCGCCGCTTTCTCACTTTCCTCCTTACTCTCCTCACTCACCACGCCAACGTGACCACATCACGTGACCATAGCTAGCCTTCGTCTAGCTATGGGGTACTAGAATACACCACAGGCTAGCCTTCGATCCGATAAAACCTACCGGACGAAGCGCGCGCAAACCTGCAAGGGGTACTTCTACAATCAACCAGGCACCTCGCACGTGACATGTCACGCGCACCAATAGCCGGAGAGATCTACGGTCACGTTGGCCACAACATCGTTTAAACTTTTTATGACTAGGCTTCACCAATATTGCAACATGCCCTCTCCTAGTACTTCTAACCTCCTTGGCTCCAGTACAGCTCATAACTTGGGGTATCGTTAGTCGAGGAAATTTTCGTAAGAATTGTGAGTGTACAATCGGGGGATCAAGTGTTTGGGATGTCCACAAAGATCAACTTGCTGCAACCAGCTTGTGGTGTCTCATTTGTAGGTTTTGGGCAGGACAGGTTTTGGAACTGCCTCAATGTTTAAAAATTATGGACTGGAATAAAAAGATGCATATGAATGGCTCTGTATTTTGGGGCAAGTCTCCTCTGCCTAGCACCCAAAAAATTAAAGTTTTTTTTTTTTTTTTTTTTTTTTTTTTTTTTTTTACAATCGCATTTTTTGAAGAATTTTGTTCACGGAGGCAAGATTTCCAGAGAAAATGGATCAATCTGCAATGCAATCTTCCGAAAGGCTACATTTGTTTCTTGCTTTCATGAACTATGTGTATAAATTAAAATTGAGGATTTTTGTTTTTATATTACTTTATTATTCCTAATCTCACATGCTTTATGATCACTTAGCAAACTTCGGTTGGACAAGTCGGAAAGCTGAATGTGCGTGATGCATTTACACATGTTCTCAGATATCAAAGTGCCTAATTATTGGGTGCTGGTAGCTGTCGAAAGATGAATTTCACTCTGAATCAGAAGTTGGAAGCAATTTGCAATGGGAAGATGATTTATTTGTAGCACCTGCTGCATTTGTCTTTGTGCGCACATAGTTCAGGTAACATCACATGGGATGAAACTTCAGCATTATGTCAATATTACCATTATTTCAAATACTTTTATTTGAAAAAAATTTTAAAATTTTCATTTCACACATTTAGCTCTATCAACAAGTTTGTAGAACAGCCAGCTATGAATATGTGCACACATAGTTTTGAATGTTGGAGCTTTGGTGTCTGTGGTAACCAGGGCGGGTCTCGGACCCCCCACTGAGTTTAGCGGACGGTCTGGGACCCTTCCCGACAGCCCCAGCATTAGTGTAATCAAAATCATATCATGCAATAAAATAGCTTGTTTTCAGGGATGTGACATGGGGATTAGCAATTTGAGGGTGGCCGGTACAGCGCGGGCAGAGCCAGCAGTGGGGTTTATTTTCTGTGCATCTAGTACATCTCGTCAGAACACCCACCCCCCCCTCCCAGCTTCTTGTAGGGACCCCCCTCAACGCTGCCTCAACTTACGGGAGACTTTGCATTGGTGGTAACGTCCATACCTGACACTAATAGGGAGAGGGGACGCGGGCCTGTACCTCCCACTGCATTGCCAAGAAAAGTTGTGGTGGGGAAATTACAATATATTCATAATGCAGTTTTTTTTTTTTTTCGCTGATAAGACATATTTGTTTAGATATTTAAATACGAATATAAAATACGAACTTCCGTGTGATGTCAGCTGTTCAATTAGTGTCACTTGCACATGGTATGATAGTTGTGAACAAAAAGAGAGGGATTATACAGTGGCGCCACGAGGGTCAGCGGCAACCGGGGCGGCACCCCGCCGCGACACACCCTTTTGACGCCCACTGGGATTAACCACCACCAGCTCGTTTGCGCGCTTACCTTTTGTTCAGGGATTATATCCTCTTTACTCTTTGTTGCAAAGTTTACTGTGACAAAAGAAAAAACACACAAAAAAACTTGGCCCGTGAGGGGATCGAACCCACGACCTTCGCGTTATTAGCACGACGCTCTAACCAACTGAGCTAACAGGCCGGGCGAATGCTTGGGAGTTTAAGCTTTTATAAAAATCTTACTCCTCAATCTGCAATTTCGATTTGTATTTGTAGTTGTTTACAGTTATGGTTTGACATGCTTCTGGAGATTTCCAGCTGAACGTGTAGGGAAAAACAAAGGAGGACAGAAAAAAGAGGCACACATTGCTGAACTCACCCATACATAGAGTTATTATAATGTACGCTAGAGGTTCAACTGGCGCTAGTGTCTATGCGACTTCCGTGACGCAAATTGAAGCAGACAGCAACCAGTCTACTTTTTCAGTCTTCCTGTGTATTCCTATGGGAAAGCGCGCGTGCATTTTGTCTCTTCGCCGGAAAATAACACGGAACACTTTGGTTATTTGGGTCGTACCGAATAGTATGTACCTTGATTAACACTGTAAAAGTGTAATTGCTTTAGTTGGCGCAGTTTTCTTCATCAGTGACCTATGTTTAACTTCGCCACATTTCAGTCCCAAACGTGTGTTCCGCAGCAGCTGTGTAAAAACAAGCGACGATTCGGAGCAAAATTACAATCGAAAGGAATGTAGAGTGTGTTCAAGGCTCGCCAGCAATCCGGTGACGCTTATATATTGATAATATGCCAGTCCTGTCACTATATAAAAATGACCCCGTCGTG